AACGAGGACAAGGGGCCGAGATGGGATGGATGGCTTACGTTTCTGAAATCCAAGGCAGCGTCAATCTCGTCCATGACGTACAGAGGCGTCGGCTTGTAGTGATGCAGGGCAAAGACAAGCGCCAAACTGCTGAGCGTCTTCTCGCCACCGGACAAGTTGCTAATGTTCTTCCATGACTTCTTGGGAGGCATGACGCTGAACAGAATACCCTCGCTGAAGGGGTCGAGGGAATCGACCAGCTCGAGTTCGGCGTTGCCACCCATGGTGATCATTTGATACATCTCCTTGAGGCGCAGGGAGATGGTGCTGAAGCCCTCCATGAACCCTTCGAGGCGCAGACGCCGGAGCTCGTCACAGCGCTTCTTGGCAGCGTCGCGCTGGTCGACGGCGCTCTGAAGGTCGGACGAGCGGGCGGCGTGCTCCTCGACACGGCGGCGGTACTCTGCGAGCACACCAAGGTCAACGTTGACGTTCTGCGTCTTCTCCTCCAAAGCCGCGATCTCCCCCTTGAGCTTCTCCTTGCTCATGTCGGCAAGCTCGTCAGGGGTGTACACAGGCAGCTCCTGGGGCTGGCTGGAAGGTCGCTCAGGCTGTTGTTCGGGCTCTTCGTCGCTCTCTTCAGATTGCTGCGAGTCATCCCTGTCGACTGCATCTTGAGTCACGGTCCGGTCACCCTCACCCTCGCTCTCGTCGCCTTCCTCTCCCTGCGCAGGTGCTGGTGCAGGGGCAGGCTTGGGAGCGGAGCTTGAGGTACCGGTCAGGTCATCCACGTTCTGGAGCGTCAGCTTGGAAAGCTTGTCGTTCCAGTACATGAGCCTCTTCTGGTTCTCGGCCAGAGTCTTCTGGTTCTCTTCAAGCTTGTTGCGCATCTCAATCTCGATTGCACGGGTGGCGTTCAGCTCGGTTGTCTTCTCGTCGAGTTCGGCTTTGAGCGATGACAACTCCCTCTTCTTGTCCGCCAAGCCCTCCTCGGCCTCCTCGACCCGGCTCTGCAGTGACTCGGCCTTCTCGCCCTGGTTCTCGATCTCGTGATCGAGCTTGTCGAGATCCCGGATTGCCGCCTCGATCTCCTTGGTTGCCTTGGCGTGATCTCTCTCGAGCTTCGTCTTTTGCTTCTCGGCCTTGACCTTGCGAACCTCGGCGTTGGACGTCTCCTCATTCTGAGAAACGATTTCCTCCTTCAAGGAATCGACGTTGGCCCTCTGTAGGCGGAGCTTCTCACCACCGACTTCCATAATCTTGTCTTGGAGGGCCTTGATCTCTTCCTCGACACCGGACGTCTCGTCGTGGAGCTTCTCGACCTCTTTTTCGAGCTTGGCAATCTCCTTGCGAAGAGCGGCAATGCGTTTGTCGTCCGAGGCCGAAGGCTGGTGCTCCTTGCTCAACTCCTTGATGCGACGGTGAGCGTCGGCGAGATTCCGGGCGGCACTGTCAATCTCCAGAGTGATCTTTTGCATCTTGGTGTCGAGCATGGGGATCTGCTCGTTGAGCTCACGCAGTCTTGTCTCGAGCTGGCGCTGCTGTTCCTGGAAGTCGTTGTACTTCTCTTCCAAGACGTCACGGTCCTCCTCGAGCTTGGCCACTTGCTCCTTGGAGGTCTCGGCGACGAGCTTCGATGACATCAGGCCTCTCTTGACGGTCGTACCACCACCAGACATGGTACCAGACTTATCGATGAGCTCGCCAGCCAGGGTAACAACACGCCACCTCTTGGCACCATACGCGATCCTGTTGGCTTGGGCTAGGTCGTTGGCCACCAGAGTGTCCTGGAGAGCGTGGTAGAAGGCAGGCCGGAATTTTTCCTCCTTGGGAGTGACGAGGTCGAACAGGCGAGGGGCGTTCTCTGGGGTCTGGATCGAATTCATATCTCGCACTCTGAGCTTGTCCAGACACATAAAGTTGCCACGGCCAAGATTGGTCTTGCGGAGGTACTCGATACACTGCTGACCAGCCTCGACAGTGTCGGTGACAAAGTTGTCGAGAGCACCGCATGCCGTCGAGATGGCCACGTCGTACTTCTGATCGATGGCGCCTAGGTTACCGAGTCTTCCGTGAAACCCGTCGATACGGCCAGATTCGCGCATGCGCATCAAAGCCGTGAGCACGTTGCCTTGCGTCTGGGTCTTAGACAGACTAGAGCGAGCCTCGTCGGCCTTCTGCCGGGCGTTGGACACCTTTGAGCGAATCTTGGGCTCGTGGGCGTTGAAGCGAGCCAGTTCCTGTTCGACCTCCTTTGCCTCCTCCTCCAGTGCCGCCTTCTCGGCTTGGCACTGCTTGAGTTCCTTGGCCTTGGCGGTTCTGGCGTCTTCGATGGCGGCTATCTTGGCCTCCGTCTCGGAGATCGCTACCGAGCCAGCGTTGGCCTTCTCCTCGAGGATGTTCATCTCGCTCTGGGCGACGGCAATGGCGGACTGCTTCTGGTTGATCTTCTCCTTCCAAGGCTCCAGAGACTTTTGCTTGGCTGCAATCTGGTCGGAAAACTTCTGTGTCTTGCCCTTGAGGCTGTCACGGATGGCCGCAAGCTCGACCTCCTCTTCCTGCACCCTGATTTCGAGCGAAGCAATCTCTTTGGCACGGTCTTCGATCTCCTGGGTGCATTGGGCGATGGTCTCCTCAGCTTCCACCGCAGACTTCTCGGCATTAGCGATAGTCTTCTCCAGCTTCCTCTGCTTGTCGTTGAGGAACTTCTTCTTCTCGTCGAACTTGACACGCTCTTGCTCGAACTTGGCCATCTCCTTAACCAGGGCCTCAGTCTCCTTTGCCTGCACCTCGAACTCTTTGTTGCCGCGAGAGTATGCTTTTTGCAGCTCCTTGATGACCTTTTCGCTGCCGTGGTGCTTTTCTAGCTCGTCATCCAGCTGGGCCTGCATTTGACTAATGGCCTCTCCGGTGACGGCAAGGTTGTCGTTGCACTCTCCAATGTACAGCTGGTAGAGGGCGGACTTCTTGAGCGTGAGCTCGTTCTCGTCGCGGATGTATGCCAGCGCCTTGTTCTTCTTGTCTTCAAGACTGTTCTTCTCCTTCTCGACATGCTGAACGCGGCCGCTCTTTTCCATGCAGATTTCGTTGAGGGTCTCGACCTCGGCGGCGGATTCCTCTATCGGTGCCTTGTACTTGGACGTGCCGATGATGTCTTCGAGATATTCGAGAAGGCCGTCGTCGTGCTCGTTGGCAGCCTTGGGCTTCATCTGGGCGATGGACTCGACCTCACCCTGCAAGATAAGGAAACGCTTGTGGTCGAGGTCGATGCCGCGGTCGCGGAGGAGGGTGGTGACGGTGGTGAAGTTGGAGGTCTTGCCGTTGATGTAGTAGGAGCTGGAGTTGTTCTTAAAGGCCTTGCGAGAAATGATGAGGTCGGAGTCGGGAATTACTTCGTGACCACCACCGGGCTGCGCCTTGGTCAGTTGCTGTTTACAAAAAAAGAAAAAAAAAAGAAAAAAAAAAGGGGGTCGCGGGTGAACAAACCTGATCCATGACCTCTCGGAAATGCACAGAAACCTCGCAGTAATCAAGGTTGGGGTGCTGCGCCGAGTTGTGGATGAGAGCAGAGAGCTTGCCCTGACGCATCTTGCTGGCACGGAAACCAAAGACGAACAGGAGAGAGTCGATAACGTTGGACTTTCCGGAGCCGTTGGGGCCGACAACAGAGGAGAAGGAACCGTGGAAGGGGCCGACTTCCTGCCTTCCAGCGTAACTCTTGAAGTTGGTAAGAATCAAGTAGGAGATGACAAGGCGAGGCTTGGGGGTCGTGTCCTCGACGACAGGAATCGCAAGGTTGCGCGACTTCAGCACAATGTCCATGGGCTTCTCCAAGACGGTGTCCATGGCGCGGACAGGCTTAAATGGGGTTTGCGTATCATCCGGGGTCGATGTTTGCTCGTTTACACTGGCAGCTGTGATATCGGCGAGAGGCTCTGCCTGGCGCCGGGAGGGCTCGGGCGTGGCGGAGGGCTTTTTCTTTGAAATGGCCGAAGGGGATGCTGATTTTGTGGATGCGCGAGGGGCGGCACTCTTCCTGGGGCTCCTTGGCGAAGACTGCGGCTCGGTTTTGGTGACGGTCTGGTCGGGATCGAAGACTTCGGTGGGCTCTATCGAGGGAGCAACGTCAAGCGTTGTGGGCGCCTCAAGAGTCGACGGCTCCTCGACTGCTGAAGGCTCCTCCGTTGCTGCACCTTGCTCTGCAACGGAAGGCTCATGTACTGTGGAAGGCTCCTCGAGGACGGTCGAGGCCTCAAGCGTCGAAGGGGCTTCTGAAGGCGCGGGCTCGGCGTTCTTTTTCGGCCTGCCGCGACGGCGCGGTGCTGTCGTCGTAGTAGGCGCGACCGGGGCGGCAGCGGCAGGTGCAGCGCTTTTGGTCTTGCGGGCTCGTGTTGGTCGGCGCACCGGGCTCTTTGAGGGCTCCGGGGCGAAGTCCTCCTCGCTCGACTCCCTCTTAGTAACGTTGGCAATCTCCTCGTCATCATCCGACGAGTCGACGATGGCCTGGCGGCGCGTCGCGCGGCGCGGGCGAGTGGACATTATGCTGGCGTAGGTAGGTTCGGTGGTGGTTAGTCGTGAGAAACGAACGGGATTGGGGCGCGAAAGACGTAGAAGGCGAGGGTATCTCAATCACGAAGCGACAAGAAAACCGAGTGCGGGCGAAGAAGAAGGAAAAGAAGCAAGCACAACGATGTCGCGCGTAGCAAACCGGTCTTTTTTTCCTTGGTGGTGTTCGGGATGCGAAAGGGAAAATGCAATTGTCTTGTTTGCTTCCCCCACTTTGATTTGTTTGAATTGGTCACCGATTAGGCCGATTGTAAACAAACAAGCCACAAACCGCCCAACCCCACACGTCACACGCCACATTCTGTGCGGAGCCACGTCAACTTCGCGCGACTGTGGCTGGTATCCAATGAATTGACGTGCTTGGTGTGGCTAGAGCTCCCCGGCCGCGAGCAGGACGAGAGCAAGTAATCGGCCGGCCAGTCGCATTTCATGCCGCCGAATAAAATAAAATAAAACATCTAAATATCAACCCAGCCCAGACCAGCCAAGCCCAGCTCTGAGCTTACTCGTCCAATTTTGTGTTTTCTTACCTGACCGAGGAAACCGTCCCGTCACACGCATTACAATGTTTGACTACACCAACTTTGACCATGTCTTTGGGGCGCAACAATTCCCTTACGATCGCAAGGCCATCCAAGAGATCGACACGTTCCGTAAGAGTCTTGATGGCGCCCTGTTCATTGACCGGGTCCTAAAGGCCCTGGGTCTCACCAAGGGTACGATATTTCTCCTCCTCCTCCTCCTCCTCCTCTTCCTCATTCTCCTCCACCACTCCCAAACGGTAGCAAAGGAATTGACTGACGCGAGATAACAGCCAAGACTTACCCCCCGAAGACCGAGAACGCCCTGCGCACCCTACACCAGCAACTCTGCGAAGCCGCCATGTCGACGCACCACCGGCTATCGATCTTCTACTACATCCTGCTCGATTTTGACACCAGCCAGACTAGACCGCAGGCGTCGTCCAAGTTTGCTGTGACTTCAGGCGTCCCGAAGAACTACCAGATCTTCATGAAGGGCCTGTGGCTGATGGACCATCTGCAATTCGAGGTGCGCCCCGCCCCGTCTCCGGCTCCCACGGTGTTGCCCTCTGCTAACGTTTTTCTGTGACAGAAAGCACTCGAGTACATTGCGCACCCCTCGCTTACGACCGACTTCGCCGACGAGATCATGACGGCCCTCGTGCGGCACGCGCCCGAGGGGGACTACACCTTGCCTCTGTCCTATTTCCACACGGTCCAGCCTATCCTGAAGACGTCTGCGGCACTGGAGCTGCTGTTCGACGCCATGTCGCGCACCAGCGTCACCGAGGCGTTGTATTTTTCCAGGACACACGCTGAGGCGGTGAGAGCACAGCTCTTCCGCCAACTGATCGCGATAGTCATTGGCGCCCCTGCGAGCGAGGAGACGGCTGCGCGTGCCACCGAACTCGTCGGCCTACCCTTGGATGCGACAGAGGAGACTTGGTTCGAGGAGTATCTGTCGCAGGAGGAAGGCAAGAAGCTGAGAAGAGCACGGGATACGTTGCTCATGCGCAAGCTCGTCACGGGACGATTGAGCGAGGCCGTCAAGGATAAGAATCTGGGAGGCAGATGGGGAGTGGTCTTGGAAGGCATCAAGAGCGGATTGGGTGGCCGGGCGGAGTAACGACATGTCGGCTGGGAATGGTCTTTGGGTCATGGCTGGTGACGGGATCAACGACTGAGTTTGGCATAGCGTTGGCGTTGGTGATTCTTATTTCTGTTCAGATTCAAGGGGCAAGAAGCTTAACTGGCTCACATCAACGGGTGACTCTTAATAGTCAGCAAAGAAGACAAGCTTGCAACATTGGACCTCTCATATCTGGCCTGACGCCTGGTGCTTCAACCAGGCCGAGCACCCCCCGCATCCTCGTAGGTGAGCTCGTTGAGCTCGGTGAGTAGTGAATGTACCGGTATGTACCATGTGATTACGTAATGAAGTAAACCAGGTGACCCAGTTACACCGAGACTAGACCGAGGAAACATGCGGGTGACTAAGCATCCATCGAGTCACACTCGTACCTGTGGGCTGGGCTGCTCCAGGTCCCCCCCCGCCTTACCGGCGCCAATACCACCAGGCCTTACACCACCGCCAAAAACTGCTACACCGTCTCATTCTCGTGCGCATCGCTCATCTCACTCGACTCACCCGGCCGGATACTCGCGGTGACGATGCTTCATTCGCGCAACGCTTGTCCATTTCTTGTTCCGTTCGGAGTCACTCAGGCCGCAGAACGATGAACAACCCGGCCAAAGGCGTCAAGTTTGTCGGGTCCGACGCTTCGGGGCTTCCTCTCAAGCGGAAGCAGGTCCAACAGGCCTGTGAATCATGCCGTAGGAAGAAGGTTTGTGTTATGCGCGACGCTTTCCACACGATGCGCAATGTGTATCTGATTTGGTCATTTTTTTAATTTTATTTTAGAAACGATGCATCCACGCCGAGCCATCGTCGGCAGAGCCCGCGCAAACCAACGGGCATGACGGACCTGCGGGTTCCTCGCCGGCCAAAGATGTGTTGGTTTCCCAATCTGGCAAAATCTGGATCCAAAGAAGAAAAAGACAAAAAAAGGAAAAGAAGAAAAAGAAAAGCTGACACTCGCTTTCAAGACATACGGCTTCGGGCATCGCCTCTCCCGTCAAGCATCGCAACTCGACCACTGCAGCTCCTGATGCCTTGTCCATGTCCCCGTCCCGCCGCGACTCGTCCGTGGCAGGGCAGCCGGATCATGCGCAGACCCCTCAGACACGGTTCGTCGGCGACCTGAACCCCGAGGGCATGTTCGCCGAGGCCGCCGACCCGGAAGCGGCGGCGAACCCTACCCAGAAGGCCGAGGTGGGCGTGTGGCTTCCGTCGGTCAACACGACGGCCGCCCAGTCGACCGCCAGCGTCGTGTCGCGTCCGCTCGCCATGGTCGACAGGGTCCTGTTGCCCTTCGTGAGGGAAAACTGCCTCAAGTGCGTGCCGCCAGAGAAGGATTTCAAGCATCTGCACCGGGTGTATCGCGACAAGATCCATCCCATCTTTGCTTTGATCCCCGAAGATGTGGTGGATGACGGCGACTCCCCGACGGCCATTGTCATGCGCCAGGTCGTGTCTCTGGCCGCCGCCGCCGATCCCGACATGAAGAGTCATCTGCGCCTGGCGAACCAGGGAAACAAGAAGTTATCCTACCAGGACTTTTCGCAGACGCTGTCCGGCTCTGTCCGGACCATCTTGGAGACGAGCCTCATCACGGACCGGACGGTCCATATTCGCGCCCTTTGCATGCTGTCGCTATACGTCCAACCTTCGAGTGCTGATGAGGCAGACTTGCCCGCTCAACTGGGCGCCAAGGCGGCCCACCACTCCCAGACTCTCGGCTTGCACCTTTTCCACTCTAGCGATGACGCGCTGGATACGCTGTTTTGTGCCGTGTGGGCCCTCGACCGCATCAACGCCGCAGCATACGGAAGACCCTGCGTCCTACACGAGGGAGACATCGGGCCCGGCCTCGAAGACTGCTTCCGGAGACAGCGGCCGTGTTTTCGACTCTTCCTGTCAGTCGTGCAGTGGCTGGACAAGGTCATTGAACTGTACAGGCCGGGCGTCATCGCCCAGTCGCTCGAAAGCAAACCGTATATTGACCTGCCGGTTCTAGAGCCCATGATATTGGAAGCCGAGGCCTTGCAGGTTTCCACGCCGCTGCTTGGTACGTGCTTTTTTTAAAAAAGAAATTAGGTTTTTTTCCCCCCTCTTTGGGTCCATCTTTCTGACCGGCTTGCCAGCGACCATAGAAGTCTTCTATCACGCCGTCATCATCCTGTCCTGTCGCCTTTCTCGGCCCGGCCCACCGGCGCAGTATGCATCCTCCATCCCGCCTGCCTCGGCCAATGCCCGTCGCTCCCTTGCTGCCGAGCGCATATCTTCAGCCATCCGCCGAGACCATCTGAGCCCTGTGCCTCTCGTTCCTTACGCCCTCTCGCTCGCCCTCAGCGTCGAGTACAGGAAGATGCGGCACAGTGCCCTGCCCATGTTTCGCGCGCGTGCCCGCAGCGCCTTCAAGTCCAACTCGGAGCTGATGAAGCGCTTCGGCGACGTCTTCTGGAGTGCGAGGGTGGTGGCGGGATTGGGAGAGCGTATCCTACGAGAGATGGAGCGGGCGGCCAACTCCATCGCGCAGGGAGCAGCAGGGGCGCCCTTGTCGTCGTCCATCACGGATATACCTACCAATGGGAGGGCTGAGGCGCCTGCCGCCGTGGCTACGGTGCCGGATGCAGCTCCGCCAGCGTCAACAGCAGCGGCGACCACCTCTTCAAGCACCGAGTTCCCGCCCTTGGATGCCATCGACTTCTCCATCGTGGACGCGATGCCTCATCTCGACGTATTTGGCCACTTCGACCCGAGTTTCAATCTCCCGGCAATCGATAATGCATTAGAAGCCAACCTTGACATCGGGTTACCCCTTAACTGGGGCGAATGGGACCACTTTGCCGGTTGAGCGCTAGCCTTATGACGGGAGACACCCAGCAAGGCTTGCTGTGATCCTGTGCTCAGTACTTTTGGGGTATGCAGCGCCATACTTGGGACGATATGCAAGCCCAGTGAGATGCGCAGGTGAGTACGAAGAGGGTACATCTTTACTGTACATACCAGCGCTTCGCCTGGGTAGCAGAGTCTTGGACGAGGCAGCTAGAGAAGATTTAGTAGCCGCCGAGTCTGTGGTGTTCGACGCCAGATCGAACCACTGATTCACCCTCCACACCCCGCTCGGCAAACGATCTTAATCACCAACTGGTATCTACGCTAGATATGGTGGGACTGGGTCATCATTGCGTAGCCGCGTTGGCGGTTAGTGCATTGGCACAGCCTCGTTCCTGAGCAGCAAGATTTGAAGCTGAATCGCTTTAGTCTAGACGGCCAACAGCATGTTGCCTGGTATCGAGTGTCATCGTATACAACTGGATCTGTAAGGGCATTTGTCATGAATTAGACGGGTTAAGGGTCTCTGGGGTGCCTCCAAAGGGTGGAGAGACAGTATTAGACAGTCGTGTTCCTGGTTTCGCTACAAAGAGACACATCACACATATACTGCTGCTGGCTTATTTCCGAAAATGAGGAAGAATTGCCGTCGAGTCCTACAAAAAATAAAGAACCTGCGGTTCAAGAGTCCAATGCTTACAAACCCACCCTGCGCTGTGGTGCGATCAATGTCGAACCTTAATCCATGATGCTTCCATATATACGTGCTGACTCAGCAGCAGGGGTCCTTGATCCCCCGCCAAAACCGAAGCTCCGGGTCGCCACCAAGGCGGCGAGATCCACGGAAGCTTCATCTACCGCGACGCATCACGACGCATTTCCAACCCCTCCCCTTACGTCGCCAACGATACCCAGGTCCCCGTACCTCTCGCGCCACTACATGAACTACGCACAACCGATCGTGCTTCCGCCATGGCACCGCCCTTGAACTTGCTGATCCGCGCCCTCGTGGCCTTCGAGGACGTGATTATCCGACAGGCGAGCAGCATCCAATGCGCCGTGTTTTTGCGTCTGACAGGCCCTTGAAAGGCTTGCGTCTCGTTTGCCATATGACGCACATGCTGACGTCGAGTTCTGGCACCAGATCCTGAGGAGTCCCGGCTTCCACCGCGGCGTCGGCCGCATCCATCGATACATTGACGAGAAGCGCCACGGGCCCCTGCCGCATGAGCCGTTGCGCCAGGGCCAGGCATCCGGTATGTTTGAGCCAGGAAGGGCGACATAAAAAAAACTTTAAAAAAAAAAAAACTTGCTGTGATGGGAAAAGGCTGACCCGGCGTGTGTGCAGCGAACCCGGACGAGCAGGGCTTTGCGCGGTACTTCTTCGAGGAGCTGAAGAACCAGCTCCGCGGGACGCCGACGAACCCGCCGCCGCCGCCGCCACCCGGTCCGCCCAAGCGATGATGACGATGAAACTCGGACGCGGTTTTCCGAACGAGACGCCGTTTGCTTTGCATTCGAGAGGGCAGGCTTGAAATACTCTGCACGCGTCGATTGCACGAACGAGCGACAGGATGGCAAGCGGGAAACGGCAAACGAAGCGACCCGGACTGCGTCGGTGAAGATTTCGTACCCGGAAAACTGTCTATTGACTGCGTATTTCGTATATTATCACTCGCGCCGCCCGCGCAACGCCGACCTCTGAGTATTGCAAGTTATTGGTGTACAGAGAGAGGGGGGCATACGGGCATGGTCACGCTGCAATCCTGGATTTGCGCTGGGCAGTCGATAACTCGCCAAGGACGTGGATTCTGTCGCAGGGACCGCCGCATCGGACTAGGATCCGACAGCGCTCGACAACCTCTCGGGACTAAGGGCCCGGCGTGTCCGATGCCTTGAGAAAGCAGAGTCCCGGACCGGCCAGCGCCAGGCGAAAAACTACGTGCTCGTCCTTTACTGGATACTTCGGGTTCATCAGCCGGCACGCATCGCAAAAGTCTGAGACATGCCGCGGGAGCCCCTTTGGAAGAAACGATGGTTTTCCGCCTATCAAGGCCCTTCAAGCCCGACAGGGATGCCCGGGGAAGCGGATGGCATCGCACGTATAGTGAAAAAACCAAGCGTTCCGTAGCGAGAACCACGCTCAATCTAATCCGCACCCTTTGCAAGCCTCCGCTAGGCGGTCAAGGACTTGGATCGACGCGTCACAGAGTGAGATTTGAATTCCGAGAGCTCGCTTTCAAATAATCGTAAATCGAACCCTTCCCGGCTCCCCGGCCCCCTCCCATCTGGTCCACTCGGCGCGGATCCGATTGAGGGGCGGAGCCCGGAGCCGGACGCCCGATGCCCGGTGCCCAAATTGCCTCTTTCGGAAACCCCAATCTGCGTAATGCAACCCTCGCTCGTGTGATAAAGCGCCCTTCCGAGGCATTAACCCTGCGCCCTTAGGAATGGATAGTCTCGCTGGCTTGTCGGCCTTCGGACTACTGTACTGGCGGATAGCCTAGTTTGACGTCTTCCCTGCTCGGTTGCCGTCGAAATCCAGCTCATTCCGCTCCTTGTCCCCCAAGTCGATGCCATATTCACACATGATGTCCCATCAAACACAGCAGTTGTCATGAGGCCATCCGGACTCAAACCCAGGGCAAGGTTTGCTCCTCTCGCTTCTGGATAACCAGAACGCCGTTTGTCTAGTATGGGAAAGCTACGGCACGGGCCAAGAGGCTTTTCACAATGCCATTGATGAAACGGGCGAACAAGCCCCCCCCCCCCCAATGCCAAGGTGCCGTTCGCCGCACCACGGCCAACGGAGGCAGGTGGATGTGTTTTCTCACGATTTACCTAATTTGGCACGAATTGGCAGCAATTCAGGAATTGATCATAGATTTATGCAGATGAAAACCCTGCGATATCAGACCGCGGTGTCTGGGATGCTAGGAACAATGTTTGTTTACTTTGCTCTGATTATAATCAGAATTTGGAGTTTTGAATTAGACAGAAGAGTATTGTTTATCAACACGACTTAAGAACCCCCCCAAAGCCAAGGCTACTTAAAACTTGCATCAGACCACGCATTCCAATGCTCGAAATTCAAAAAGTTCCACACGACGTTCGGGTCGACGAGGTTGGCGTCCAAGTCGCCCGGGATCATGACGGCGTCGCTGAACTCGGCAGCCCCGACAGGAAACCCCGCGCCCTCTGACGACGTGAAGGCGGGCGTCGCGTACGCGGCCAGACCGCCGCCGCCGACGCCGCCGTCACCTTCGCTGCCGTCCGGCGCCTTCGTCACGGGCCCGGCCTCCGCCTGCTCACTGCCGCACCGCTGCTGTGGCCCCGAGTGCGTTCTCGCGCCAACGTGCAGCAGCTCCTTGACGATGTCGGCGCACCGCCTCGCCACCGCGAGCATCTTCATCGACTTGAAGATGTCGAGGCTGAGCTCGATGTTCTCCATCACCTCGTCCGCAGGGATGGGGCAGATGTTGGAGATGAGGACGTGGAGGAGCACCATGCAGGCGTCCAGCAGGTACATGCAGTTGTACCACCTATTCCCCCCCCCCCCCCACGAGTTAGTCTTCTAGGACGGAGATGTCGCCAAAAGAAGGGCTGTTAGTTCTACGCACCATGTTCTAAAATACGGCCTGTGGAGGTAACTCGTGTGCATGAATTGGATGGTCTCGGTGGCGGCCTTGACGCAGGACGTGACGTGCCGCGATATCGTGTTCCGGTCTGCTTCCAGCGACTTGGCGATTATGAACTGCCGGTGGAGCAGGATTCTCGCGTTCAAAAACCCTAAACATCCTTTGTCAACGAGGCGATCCAACCCGTGTTATTGTGCTTCGAGGGGGGGCGTTGTACGTAGTTTGAGGACGGTCTTTTGCTTCATGGCAAACTCGCCGTCTTCCAAAGACGACATGTCGAACCGCAGCTGTGGCGGGAGACCGGACCGCCAATCGTCGAGGTCCCGGTCCAGGCTCAGCGCCGTCTGCGAGAGGCGCTGCAGCGACATGTGGTTGCTGTGCACGCTCAGGTTGTCCGTCATCCACATCAGGATCTTGGCCAGGTCGACCATGGGATTGATGAGACAGCAGGCAGAGTTGGGAAAGTGCTTGTTTCTGCTGTCAGCGATGCGAATGTCTTCATCGTTGATGGAGAGTCGGGGCGTTGACTGACAGATGTATTTGGAAACGGGATTGAGTAGGAATTCGGTGCTCGCAAACCCGATTGGCGGCCTGCCGAGAAGCACATCTCACTTGGAAAGTCAGCACTGATCCCTTACGGGCGCATGGTTATACCCTACATTTCGTGTGAATAGAGCGACCTTGGACAGTTAGCTTCTTGAACGTCGCAGACAAGAGCAATGTTGCCACTCACCACCACAGCAGGCTCTCCGGGCTGGTTTCTGAGCGGATGTTGTTTGGGATTCCCATGGCAGAGGCTGTCCTGATGGCCATGCCACTATACATGTAACAGCTATGTGGTTTCAGTGCATTTTGGCCAAAGACGGACTGATTCATCCCATGTTAGTAGAAAGACTTGGTAAACACCCTTCTGCCGATTCCCGAGTGCACCCGACGTACCATGAGGAACAATGTCTGAGCAGTCTCAAGGGAACTCGACTCGCAAATGTCTTCCAGATGAAGCCTCGATCTCTCAAAGAACCTCCTGGCCAGGCGAATCGGCGGGTACAACGAGTCTTCCTCGCCCGGCTGCTGCCTTGTCCGGTCCAGGAACTCCCGGGTGTGGTCCCCCATGAGCAGCGACGCCTCCCCGGCCGTGATCGCCCCGATGGCAACGACCACGTTGTAGAGGGCGAGGAACCTGGCCTCCCGGCGCATCTGGGAGCACATTAGAATGTCCGACCTCAACGGCCTCGACCAGATCTCGTCCTCGCACCGCTGGAGGAACGTCGTCTGCTCCAGGATGGGGTGGATGTTGTGGAGGTTCTGGAAGTAGAGGCGGGCGCATTCGCGCTCGATTTCGGTGGCCAGCGATGCGTCCGCAGCACTCAGGAGCGCTTCGGCGCCGCCGAAGCCGCCCTGTTGGAGCGAATCCCTCCTCGCTACGGTGCTCTGCGGGCTTCCCTTGCCGTACGGGCTTTGGCCGAGGACCCGCGAGTCCGGAGGCGTCGAGTAGTCTGAGCTGTGCAGAAGGTTCACGATGGAGCTCTGACTCCTTTTGACGCCGACGTCCGGCCGCTTCTGCGTGTTGGCCCGGGAGCGCAGCCGGGCCAGGAAGTAAAAGGTCCCGGTCGGACCGTAGAACTCGGCACCCTCGGTGTGCTCATTGACCTGGCCGAGGCCGTCCACTTCCTGTTCTGAGGAAGCGGTCGAGCCTCTTTCGCGTTGTCCATGCTCTTGCAGGCTCAAATGAGTTGAAGGCTCATGCTTGATGGGATCGTCTGAGCTGGCCGGTGACGGATGAAGACACTCAGGTAGAATTGCCCGCGGCCGAGGCGTGGACTGCGGTTGGCACAGAGGCCGGAACTGCTGAGGCATGGGCTGAGGTTGCAAAGGCTGCTGGATTCTTACAAGTGGCCCATAAGAGGGCGTTTCTTGTCTCGATCTGTAGAGGCAGTCAGACACGAAGGCAGAGACTCTTACTCGGACACACTTACGTCTCGTTCTGTGTCTCTCCATATGAGCACGAGAACTCGTGTCCTGAGTTGAAGGAAGGAGAGGTTAGTGTTGTCCGAGACGCGGATTACATCTGATACTCACGAACACAGTTGGAGCATGGCGAATTGCCATCGCACTGAGGAGCACATCGTCAGCACCGGCTATTTGCCCCCCCCCCCCCCCTCATAGTAATTGGCGGAGCGGGACAAACCTTTAACTTGCGAGCTCGACATGTACCACAAGCGACCGGCGCCCTTAGCCTGCGCTTCCTTTTCAGACCTGTAGAGCTCGGTTTAGCCGAAGGCTCATCACCCAGTGGGATGTTCTCGGTCTTCATGGAAGGCAAATGGCAAAGAAATGACTCGTAAACGTTCGTTGAATGGTTCAGAGGCGCGGGAGGGGATGGAGGGTCCACGAGATTATAGACGCGAATTACGGACGGGAATTCGGGATATAATGGAAGCCATAGTACTTATCTTGTGCATTTCATCCGACCAGAACCATATGCGGTCGATTTTGAGGAAGATGTGAGACAAGGAATCTCGAGTAAAGTTTATAGCACGAACCACACAGCGTCATGAACACACACTGGCGCGTTGTCAAAGCTCGGACGACTCGACAAATCGCATGGAGGCACTCGGGGGAGACGTAGGCCTCGAATGAGATGCCGCGGATCGGGAACCTTTGCCTCTTCGAAATAAAGCCTTCAATTATATGCTGTTGAGTATCTCCTAAATAAAGACTATGCCAAACCTCACTTCTCGTCTGGGTTGAAAAGAAAGAAAAAAGAACCCCCGCCTCGAGATAACCAGCCTACTTCTGGTTGTACGCTTTGACCGACTTCAAAGACCCAGATAATGCTTGGTATCAGCCAGCCTCCTGACCCTAAAGCCACATATATCGCCGGTCATTCATCATACAATGTACCGGCAGATGCCCATAATGATGATGTTCTATACCAAGTGCCTGCTCTCATAGTAGGTGGCGGCCCTGCAGGTCTCTTAACGGCTTACATGTTGTCAAAACACGGCGGTAGGTCAAGCAGCGCCATTCCGTACGGCACTAGCTCCGTTGGAAGAGGACGCTAACGACATTCTAGTCAAGTCCCTTCTGGTTGAAAAATATCCGGAAAGGCTAGCTGCACCCAAAGCTCACGCGCTTTGTCCCAGGACCCTCGAGATTTGCAGGCAGTACGGTCTTGATACCAACGCCATCCGCCGTCTTGGATCTCCGCGGGAGGACGCCTGCTGGGTTCATTTCCTGACAAACCTCAGCGGCGAGAGGATTGGATCTCTCCCGTACGAGCGTATGGATGCGGATGTGTTGGAGAGTACGCCCGAGGTAGGAAAGACACCCCCCCTCCCCTCGCAGGCCTTGCCCAGCGAGCACTTAATAAACCGCTGACATGCCGTGACTGTTTCCAGATGCTACACAACATCCCCCAACCCGAATTTGAAAAGTTCATTTCCGACCAGCTACGTGGCGACCCTAACGTTGATATCCGCAAGGGCGTTGGTTTTGTATCTTGCGAACAAGTGAGTGTGACTGCAAACCAATGTCCAAAAAGGCTGTCAGAATAACGTCCAAACCTCGGTTCAGAGAGATGACGGAGTAGTCACTGTACTTGAAGAGTACGCCACCAAGAAGAGCTGCGCCATCAAATCAAGACACGTCATCGGGTGCGATGGGGCAAAGAGCCAAGTCCGCCGTTCGCTCGGCATCGAAACCGAGGGGGAAGACGGATGTAAGTACCTAACGGGAACGTCGGGTTGCGTCTCTGCATTGCTGACGGCTCTCAGACGAGACCATGATGACGATACATTTCAGCGCGGATCTGCGGTCAGTTGTCAAAGACCGTGTTGGCATGTTACACTGGTTAGTCGATCCCGCCTGTTCTGGGTTCATCGTAGCGTACGATCTCGGCGGAAACCAAGTCCTAATCAGCAATGTTGACGTGAGTTGCCTGGCATATCATATCCCGACAAGGGGGGTTGTAGCTAACGGCGATTCTTAGCCAAAGAGGCAACCGATAGAAACGTGGAACGAAGAGGTTGCCCACGCCACTGTGTCTGCCGCGATTGGGAAAGATATACCGCTCAAGATCCTCAGCTACCGGCCTTGGGTGTTGAGTCGGAAGGTGGCAAAATCCTATCAACGGGGGAACATATTTCTGTAGTACCATCCAGCTTGCAACTGTGCATCTCGCCGTGAACTGACAACATGGCAGAGTCGGCGACGCAGCGCATTCATTCCCTCCCACGGGCGGCCTCGGGCTCAACTCCGGCGTGGCAGACGCGCACAACCTCGCGTATAAGATCGCCGCCGTGCATCAGCGGCGGGCGGGCCCCGGACTCCTCGAAACGTACGAGGCCGAGAGAAGACAGGTTACCGTTGACGCTGCGGCACAGAGCGTCAAGAACGGGAGGTCGATCTTTTCGTTCCTCAAGGCTGTTGGCGCAGCCGAGAGCGAGGACCTGATCGAGGCGCGGAAGCGCATGTACGAAACGATACATGACCCAGCGAAGCAAACCTTGATTTCGGAAAATGTCGAGGGACAGCGGGAGCACTTTGACAATGTTCGTTCCCCTTGAGTCCCGCTGCGCGGAGGGGTCCCACAAGGACAGCATGGCCGCGACAGTCTCTCGATATTGGGATGCTGACTTGGACTGCGAAACAGCTCGAGATTCACATCGGTTATGTGTACGGCGAAAAGAAGCCACCAGCGAACGCTTCGCATTTCACACCAAAGTTCAAGGCCGGAGCCCGGCTGCCGCATGCTTGGATCGAGCTCCGTGGCCGGTTCGAAGGGCTTCCGCAACAGCCGATAGATACATCATACGTCACGGAACTATCCCACGAGCAGGTCGCCGCTAAGCGGTTTTCTACGCTGGACCTGGTGGCACCGGGGACCTTCAATCTCATCACCGGATGCCGTTCGGCCTGGGGTGTAAGGTTTACCGAGGCGGCAACGGCATTGGGCGGCGCCGTGGGTTCTCGGCTGTGGGGTGCCGACGAGGACTTTGCTTTCTGCAACGAGAGCCACCGCAGGCTATATGACCGAGAGGGGGGGCTCTCTCAAGGAAATGCCATTCTTGTACGACCTGATCAGCATATCCTTGCATGCTTGGGACCTGGGACGTCTGCACTGGAGTTAATAGATTGTGTCAAGAGGCATCTGGACACAGTATAGTTGATCAGTTGACTAGAAGAGAAGCCTAGTAGTAAGGGCCAGGGAGATGAATAGGTGCGTGGGTAAGATTAGGGATAGAACAGGACCAGGGTAGCTCCCTGTCGCATTAAGCTTTCCACGCCAGGTACATGACAATGGAGATCCGCCCAAGATCCTGGTTTTACAGTCCATCAATACGAAGGGGCTTTGCGAGTGCTGGTCTTTTAGTGAACCATTTTCGTTTTGCCCGGAGTTCACGGATACAACGTTGCCAAGACATGAGCGCGCATACCTAACGGGCGAGCACGAGGGCTTTGAAAAGACAACATCAACCAATCTACCACTGTTTATGCCTTTTCTTCTAGAGGCAACTCAAGTCAGATGCTACAAAACCCGACCTGTGTTGGCCAGTGGGGTTGTACCCGGCTTTGCGGAGCTGACAACGTGCCCCCCCTGCTGTAGATACTCAACTTGGTGGTTTTAATCAGACAAGGTTTTGACTATCTGAAATGACGAGCCACAATTACATAGATGACCGAGAGCTCCGTGGACGCCTTTATAAAGCATTCCCTTTCCTGATCATGAACTCGCCTCGACCTCTTCAACTTGCCAAGAACCCGGCAAGAACACCCAGGTGTCAGTATGTGGTCCCCTTCACTCCTCCTCGTGGCCTCGCTGCTCTTGGGAGCGGCCGGGGCTGCCGGAACTCGCAAGACGTATATTGTCCACATGCAGAACGCGGAGGAGTCCGGTGTGCTCCGCCGGTCCCTCATCTCTGCCTCGCTGGACGCCGCCTCGGTCGACGCCGACCACGTGCTCTACACCTACCAAAACACGCTCAACGGCTACGCGGCCAAGATCACCGATGAGCAGGCCGACGCGCTCAGAGCCCAGCCCGGTGTCCTCTCCGTCAGACCCGACCATGTGTATCAGCTTCAGACTACCCGGACGCCGGCCTTCCTCGGCCTCGAGAACTCAGCCCTGCTCGGCCGGGACGCCTACGGCGTCGGCCCGGAGAGCTACCTGGAGGAGAGAGACGGCCTCAACGGCACCAGCGCCGAGTCGAACCTTGTCGTCGGCGTCTTTGACGGGGGCATCTGGCCCGAAAGCGCGAGTTTCTCCGACGAAGCGATGCCGCCCATCCCGGCCCACTGGAAGGGCGCGTGCGAACCAGGCCCAAACTTCACGACGGGCAACTGCAACAGGAAGATCATCGGCGCGAGGATCTTCTACAAGGGCTTCGTAGCCGGGTCCACCGAAGAGAATGGAGGCAACTTCACCTGGGACGGGATCACGCAGTCGCCGAGGGACGACGACGGGCACGGCACGCATTGCGCCTCCACGGCTGCCGGTGCTGTGGTGCCGAACGCCAGCATCTTCGGGCAGGCGGCCGGGACCGCGCGCGGTGTGGCCCCGGGCGCGCGCATCGCCGTGTACAAGGTCTGCTGGGGTGACACCGGGTGCTGGGACTCGGACGTGCTGGCGGCCATGGACCAGGCCATCGAAGACGGCGTCGACGTCATGTCTCTCTCTTTCGGCGCTCCCGAGCCTCAGTTTATCCCGGATGAAGGTCTGGTCGTCGGCTCCTATGCCGCGATGCGCAAGGGCATCTTTGTTGTCAGCGCTGCCGGGAACGCGTGAGTATAGCCTTCTCGTCTTTGTTAGATTGCGTTACGTGGATGATGCGGTTCCTGTAGTCTGTTCTAACTTGCTCGACTCACAGGGGACCTTCTTTCGGAACGACTGTTGGGCTCGCCCCTTGGGCCTTGACTGTTGCAGCCAACACCCTCGACCGGGATTTCCCTGCACATCTTACGCTTGGGAACGGCAAGACTTACACTGGCTACACTCTCTATACCAACGGTTCCGTTGCCGACGAGAAGCCTCTCACGGACGGCGAGGTCTTCCCGCTGATTCACGGTGCCGATGCCAGCAACGGCAACAGTACCAGCGGAGCTCTCTGTTTGAGTGATAGCCTCGATCCTGCTAAGGTCGCTGGGAAGGTCGTCCTCTGCGTGCGGGGCCAGAACCGCAAGGTCGAGAAGGGAGTAGCTGTCAAGGCTGCCGGTGGACGCGGCATGATCCTCGTTAATCCGCCCGCCAACGGCGACAACTTGGTCCCGGACGCTTACCTGCTCCCCGCCATGCACCTCAACAAGGAAGACGGGCCCGAAGTCGAGGCCTACGCCAAGGCCGGCGGCGGAACGGCCATTCTGGACTTCCCCGGCACCCGCGTCGGGGTCCCGGCCCCGGTGATGGCCGCCTTCAGCTCCCGAGGCCCGAACATCAAGGTCCCCCAGCTCCTCAAGCCGGACATCACTGGTCCCGGCGTCTCCATCCTGGCCGCGTGGATCGGCAACCAGGGCCCCAGCAGCCTCGCCGAGGATGCCCGCAAGGTGGACTTCAACATCATCTCCGGCACGTCCATGTCCACCCCGCACTTGGCCGGCATCGCCCTGTTCCTCAAGGCCCGGCGTCCGGACTGGAGCCATGCCGCCATCCGCTCCGCCATCATGACCACCGCCTACACCACGACCAAAGGCACCCAGTCGCCGCTGCTGGACTACGCCAACTCCCAGCCCGCCTCGCCATTCCACTACGGCAGCGGCCACGTGGACCCGGTTGCTGCCCTGGACCCGGGCCTCGTTTACGACATCGCGCCCGACGACTACGTTGGCTTCCTCTGCGCCGTCAACAGCACCTTGGAATTCGTAACCGGCATGACGAGGAGCAATGCCACATGCGACAAGAAGAAGACGTATAGCGCGTACGACCTCAACTACCCTTCCCTCTCCGTCTTGTATAGCAATCCAGGATCCAGCGACGGCGCATATACGGTTAAGATCAAGCGCATTGTCACCAACGTCGGCGGCCCCAGCACCTACACGGCTGCTGTCTCGCTGAATGACGCAAAGCTAGTCAAGGTCTCTGTTGAACCCGAGACGCTTGAATTCAGCGCGGCGGGCGAGAAGAAGAGCTACGAGCTCACTGTGACGATGAGCTCTCCACCTAGCGCGAATGCTACATCCTGGGGGAGACTGGTGTGGACTGATGGCAAGCACATCGTAGGTAGCCCGCTGTCTTTTGTATGGGGCGTCTAGCCTTAAGGAGATAGTTTTTTATACAAGTCCACAGATGGCAGATTTAACCAGCTGCTTATGCCGTAAAGACTATTACAATACCCAACATGTGAACTTGGTTATAAACATTAAAAAAAAAAAAAAGGGGGGGGGGGGGGGGGGGGGGAACAAAAACATACAACACCAGGTATTCGCTGGTCGTCACTCGTATCACTGCCTCTCGCCCCCCTTTCTCCTTTTCTTAGCGCTTTCTACTTACCTCGGCAAGACGGAGTCTGGTGTTGTTACATAAATCTTAGTGGCCAGACGTAGAATATCTTCTGCCTTTTCTGCCATGATAAGGTTGAAGCTTGGCCGAACCTCTAGATGCTGACTCATTTTCCCCTGCAGCATAAACCATATTTGGAGCGAGACAAGCTCACCTAGTGAATTTTGACGACATGGGCGAACTTGCATTAAGCTTCCTTCCACTCTTTGTTAAAGACGACTGTTTCTAGCCAGTACTTACTTGTATTTGTAACTAACGTTACGTTATTTGGAAGGAGTTTTGTTAGCCGGATAGTGTCCCCGATGACTTCAACTGGGCGCGCGTAACGTTCTAAAGATAGGGGAAGGGATAATAATGACGACGACGATAGTAGCGACGATGGTGATGACGATAGTAGTGACGATAGCGACGACGATAGTTGCGACGATAGTGATGACGATAGTGACGACGATAGTAGTGACGATGGTGATGACGATGGCGACGACGATAACGACGACGATAACGACGACGGTAGGCGAGTTCTTCAAAGCAGTGTCACTCAGGAGGGAAGATGTCTCCCACATTCTCTGGCTGCTGGATCACTGACGAGGTAGAGGTCGGTATTTGATGCAATCGTCGGCTCTTTCATTATTACGCGGAAAAAAAAAGAAGACCTTCTCCTGGTCTTCTAAAAAAAACAAAAAAAACGCTACCATTACTTTGTAAAACAACCACCACCACACACGCAGCCCACCACCGGGTCGAGGTCCCGGCACCCAAGGCGGCGCCCCGTTCCCTCCTCCGTCCACAAGCACTTCGGATGGTGGGGGCACAGCGGCGCGCAGCTGCGGGCGCACAGGTTTCTCGACTTGTTGGTGGTGCCGTCCTCGAGGAAGGCATGATGGGGGTTGACACAGGACACCGTGATGCCCTTGTCGAAGTCGAAACGGCCCCGGCCGCAGAGATGGCTGACCTCGAGAGCACCACGGGCCTGTGCCAGCTTGTCGGGATTCTTTAAGAAAAAAAGGATCCGGTGGACCCCCCACTTGTTCCCCTCGCCCCGAGCAGCTAACTTCTTCACCGGGTACCCGGTATTGTTGGAGGCAGCGCCGGGGAAGAACCAACAGTCGTTGGTGGACACGGGCGGCGAGGCATGGACGGCAAGGATAATCTTCTACTACAGAAGCATTAGAATTGCATGTCCTGTCTCTCAAGATTGTAACGACTAGACGAAAATTAGACACCAGAAAACTTACGTTTATCAATGGAAGTCTGCTTGCGTTTCTATTTCTCCTTGCTCTTGCCTGGCGGACTTTGAAAGCTTCTGATAACGCCACCCTTGATCATTGCCTGCTGAGAGGGCGTTGCCGGTTGGGAGGATGTTGCCTGTGATAATGCACCGATATTTCGCTTGTTCGTCACTATGATTGTAATTATGAATTAGCTTCATTTAATCATCACTTCTGCGCGGGTCTGGACAATAAATCAGCTACTTACCGATTGATATGACCTTTGGAACTTTGCCGCTGACGGCAATTAGTTGCCTTTCAATCGTTTCGACGGATTCCGTGCCACTTCTGACCGTAGAGTCAAGGAACTCCTGGAGCTCTTCAACAGTTGCAACCCAAAAAGCAGCCCAGACATTCTCTGTGACTTTTCTCTGGTCAGTACGTCTTTTGGGCTTGTTCTTGTCGGGACACTGGCTGGGGGATCTCTTCGTCGCTGACCGCTTTGAGTATGATCAACTTTTCTTCCACACGACCAATGTAGCTGATTTCAGGCAAGGTGGACGCGTTCGTCTCGTTTCCGACGTTGGGGTCAATCGCTGCTGATTCCATGGTGGTTGCGGACAGGACGACAACGCTAACGAGAGAGAGGAAAGATGAGATGATATATGGAAGGAAGCACCGACGGGATGGGACGGTGGGTAGGTGTCTAGGGTCTTGATCAGATAAGCGCCGTCCCTGGGAGGTGCCGTTATAGTGAAAGATGATGATAATTGTGCTTGTTTTCTCTAAGTGCTAGGTTGTGCTCTTCTCAGCTAAAAGTATGCTTTGCTGACATAACTATGCACATCCCTTTTGAAATGCCCCAGTGTTTGGCTGGGTTGCTCCTCCCTTCAATAGGTAGGCACCTCGGCGGTGATAACCAGGTTGTCGTCACGGAAGGAATGACCACCGCGTCACAGAAGGAACGATCACCACGTCACGGAATAAAGCTCGCTGGAAGATGCCGGGCGGTTCAAGCTTTGCCATTGCCCACGTTCTTCACATGGGAAATTACTCGCTCAAGCCAGATTGAATCTTTGTGTGTATTTCATGCAGTCATGCCAATGATTTTTCCTTTCAAGCTGATTCTTAGAGCTAGATAGAACCATCTGATGTCATTCAGAATGTTGAGGCTCTTGGACCTTGAGAGCCCCAGGCCCCGGCACCGAACCCCCTACTAGACCTCTCAGCTTGCCGATTTCCGGCAATGAGCTTGCTTCGGTGTCTTTCGTTCCAGAAGCTTCAGGTGCCTTGCAACGTTTCTATCAAGCCGAGGAACACCAAATGCGAGGCCATCTCGGCTAAGATGGTAGAGATTTCTGATCCTGCAATGCTGCATCCACAGTCTACTTGCGATACCACATCCTAGTCACCTTTGTCTTCTGAATCTTCCTCTGCAATCGAAAGATGGCATACAGCAATGCCTCGGCTGTCGGCGGGCACCCAGGGACGTATATATCTACAGGCAAGATCCTGTCCACACCCCTCACTACACTGTAGCTGTAGTGGTAATATCCGCCGCCATTCGCACAACTACCCATACTAATCACCCACTTCGGATCTGGCATCTGATCGTAGCACTGTCGCACAGCCGAAGCCATCTTGTTCGTAACGGTGCCGGCGACGATCATTACGTCCGACTGCCGCGGCGAGGCCCGGAAGATGATACCCAGGCGGTCCATGTCGTAGCGAGGCATGGAGGAGTGCATCATTTCGATGCCGCAGCAGGCGAGAGCGAATGTGAGGGGCCACATGGAGCCGTTGCGTGCCCAGGCGACGAGCTGATCGAAAGTGGTACTGTCTCACAGCTACATTAGCAACAGGTATTCGCGAGTGACTTGGACCGAGTCGTACAGAACATGCTCAGCTACGCTTGTTGGTCGCTGTTCGGCGGAAAGACCGAGAGGAGAAGACAGCGGCTTGCAGGCAGTGGCATTCTTGGATTGGTGGAAGCGCGGGCTTCCATGCTGCTGCTTTCGGTTTACATAGAAAATGCTGGGACTGTGTCGTGCAAAGGTGTTGAGGTAGTTGCGTACGCCTGCCAGACGGACTGTTGGACTTAGTATATTACGTGTGTAAGTCGGCCATGATGTCGGGATTTGCTGACCTTTTGACGGCGACATTGCAGTCATCTCTGCGAGTACAGCGAGAGATGATATGATATATCTTGAAGAGAATTAACAGAAAGATGAAGAGAATTAACAGAAATAAAATGAGAAAAACAAAAAGAAGAGGTTTTGAGCAATGTTTGCCCGAGAACGCTGACTTCTGGCGTCGTGCCGGGAAATTCACACATTGAGGGTCGCAGACGAGGAAGGCGCCCCCCCCAGTCCACCCAAGTGGCGCATATCCCAGGGACTTTACCGGAATAGGCAGGGGTGGGGGGGGGGTCCAGTGGCTGCAGCCACGGGAAAAACACACATTGTCCGTCCTCGTTCTCCAACGTCCCCTCGTCACATCTGTCATGACACCACACCACTCCTAGCAGATCAGCAAGCAGCCTGGCACTCTTTGAAAATCCACGGTTGAGGCTTTGGTTTTTACTTGTTATCTGAAATTATGCAGAGTCATGGCGGGCCCCGGTCCAATCACTGAGACCACTGGGCCCATGTCTCCGAGGCCTGTAGACTGTCCGGTCTGCCACCTCCCCGTCGCCACACCAGCCAAGCTGTCCGGGCCACACGCCTGTCCTTTCTGCAGGAAAACCTTCATACGAGTCGACAGTGCCCGCAGACACACCAAATATTCTTGTCGTAAACGAGAAAACCAGCCATTGCCTGCGGTAGCCAGGCGAGGCCGGAAGCTCCGGGCTTGCGATCGATGCTCCCGCGTCAAGTCTCAATGTGACGGGAAACTGCCTTGCGGCCATTGCAGCGCGCGCAAGCTTGATTGCACTTTCGAACGCTTCTGCAGCGATGAATCTCATAGAAAAAAGTCCTCCGGTACACAAGCTGCTGGGACACAACAGTCGCAGTTGTCCTTCTTCCTCCACTTCACGGGCCCAAGAGGAGGCCGAGCCATTGAGCAGGAGATGGCCGCTGTTCCAGAAGTCGACATCCAAGGTCCTTTCGCCACCAACAAAACTTGCGATTCAAGCACCATGGTTGCCTTCAGCGACTGCATTGATCCCTCGCTTCTTTTCACAACTCTTTTGGACCCGTGTTTCGACCTGGACCCGACGGAAGTGCCGCCTGTAGACATGCTTGATTACTCCGAGCACAATGCTTGTGGCGGCATAACTATGGCATCGCCCACGGACGTGCTCGCTGTACGAATCATTCAACTTTCTGAAGAACTGTCGCGAGTTGCTTCGTTAGATTTAGAACTCGGCTGCTTCGACCCTCCATCATTCAACAAGGTCTTCTCCAGCCATCAGGTTCATGCGTTCTGCAAAGCCTTCTCCCGGAAGCGTCATTACCAATACCCAGTAGTACATTGGCCAACGTTTAATATCGAAACAACTTGTCTGCCTTTGCTGTTGGCCATATCTCTCAACGGCGCGGCCTATTCCAACTCTTCTTCTCCTTCTTCTTCTGATGTCGCCGGGAGCAGACCCAAGACACGAGACTTCTACCCTGTTGCAGACGCATACATCTTCCAACAATTAGAACGCTCCATCAAGAACGATCGCCAAGAATCTCATTCCGAGCCAACGGTTGGTATCCTCCAAGCTGCGTTGCTGATTGTTGTCTTGCAGATATGTTTTGATGACGGTCGAAAAGGGGTAATAATCTTCAAGCGTCTCCCGCTACTGATATTTTCTCTCAGGCGATTTGGTCTCACTAGGACGAAACACGACGATGAGGGAGACTGGTCAAATTTCATCCAACAAGAGACGCGGATCCGTCTTTCGACATGGACGTTCTTCATGGACAGTCTCTTGACCTTATTCTGCAACACCCCGCCGTCCATGTCCCATGCTGAGACGCTTGGGCATCTTCCATGCAATCAGGTTCTGTGGGATGCGGAATCCGAACAAGTCTTTGACCAGCTAAGGCTCGAGGCTGGACACGAATCCGTCTGTTTGGGAGACTTGACAGTTGGGCTGATGCGGGATGAGTGGCCGATTGAGCCCGTGCCCCCGTTTGATCGGCTCACGCTTCATCACTTGAATGCGGTCATTGTTGGTGAGTTTGCAGAGGGCTCTGGCGTCGACTTAGGCTGACCAATGTGTGATCAAACTCCTAGCCCTGCAACCCGTTATTTTCAATTTGCATCCATTTTCGCTGCACGACACAGGCCGGATCAATCTGCTTCGAGCCCTCGACCGGTGGACGACACTCTGGAACGCCGCGACCCATACTAAGCAGCCTGAATCTCTAGGTGTCGAACGTAACAGCCCCGGTCTAGCATTACTATCAAGGAAAATCGTTCAAATCACTGGTACCGAAGCAGCAAGGCAATGCGCGTACTTGCAACGCGTTCCGAAGCATGACTTCTCAGATCTTCACCGCTTCATCAGAGAATACTGCTAGTAAATCGCTCTACGGTATGTGTGGTTGGCGATAGAGACGGTCAGCGCCAACAACGAAGTCGTCGGTGGTGTCAAAGTTGAGGGTGAAGCTGTTGCCCGAGCCGTCAAGAGATGGTTTTCATTCCGTACCCAGCTTAGGTACCCGGAACTCCCTCCCGGACTTTGTTTCTGTATCCTTGAACTCTTCGCTTTCAACATCAGTCATCATTGCTGTGGAGGTCATGTCATTCTCGTCATAACTCAATTGCGTGAGCGAAGAAGGATGCTGGTGAGATATCTCGGACTGCCTAATTCGAAAAAGAGGCGCAGTCAGTGATGACTGGTTGTTCTATATTTCACCGTCACAAGTGCTTATCTATGAAAGTGGCGTCATTTGCAATCGTCTGACCAGTACACAGCCCCTTGAGCTGGGCTTTTAGCCAAGATGAGCCACGCTGGGAGGAATCGCGCGTGACCAGTATTATCATGCTGACCTCTGTGCTCTAGCTCATAAGCAGCGCTCCCCCCGCCTAACATTGCTTCAATGCGACAGCACTTCTCTAATTCGACCTTTCAACAAAAACACTCGAAGTTCTGAGCATCCCACGGTTCGAAATTCCGCCAAAATGGATGGTCTCAAAGGCAAAGGGCGGCGTTTGAGCGACGGTCGTCCACCTCCTTACTCTCAAGACAACGAGGAAACCCTGACATATCAAACACCCGGTGCTGGCTTCGCCAACCTGCCTTCCGACTCAAAACCCCCTTTGAATTCGCTAGTCAAATTCCCTCCATCTTTCCAATGTTACCTTGACAAGCAGGAAGGCTTCTATTACCTCGGTCCCGTCTCGTCAGAGGAACGCCTCTTTGCCTTCTCTGCTAGCGCAAGACTCCAAACCACCATGCAACCCCTCCATCTCCACAATGGGCCGAGCGAGAGGGACCCCATCATCGTCAGGATGACACAGAAGAACCCCCGCTCCGTCAACTTTGCAGCGACAATCACCCTCCACGATCCGTCAGACCCACACGCCGTCGCGGAAGAGATTTCCTACGAAAAGCCAGTGAACCCGCGATCCAGCTCTGTGTTTGCCTCGTGTCTTGCCTTCCGGGTCGGGGTTGGCAAAGAGGGCAGAGAAGAGGAGTTTCAATGGAGGCGCTCGAGCGGGACGGAGGTCAAGGAGCTCGCGCGGCATTCGATCGGGGGCAAGTTGGTGAGGATGTCCGGGCCAAAGGCTGGCGCCGGAGGGAGCAGAAAGGCGCGCGAGCAGGGCTTCTCGAGTGACGGGAATGAAGTTGTTGCGGTCTTGGCACCGAGGTCGAATATCGGCATCGCGAACGGCTTGAAGTTCAAGTTTATGGGGACAGCGTTGACGGGGGATTTGGGAGAGAAGTGGGAGAGTGTGGCTGTCATCACGGGGTTCTGGTTGTTTGGGATTTCTCGCGCGCGCGAGAAGGATGATTAGCGCGTGATGCGAATGATGGTCTCTATTAGATCCACAGGCAACCTCTTGATATGATGTGAATATAGCGCGTTGATTCATGACAAGCGTCCCAAGTTCACTGCTCGGGGAACATCGCCGCAGAGCCGGTTGATGCGCCGGAACACAGATGGTCCGGTCCACCTTGGTCCGAAGAGGGGTCGCCGTTGGCTCCGGCGTGGGTCGCCGGTCCATGCAGGCTGAGTTTTCCGGCACATTTGAGCCACAATCGTGCAGAGGCTGTAGAGGCTCTCAGACATGTCAGCGCCCATGTACGTGCTCGAACTCTCGTGATAGAGTCAATCCCAGAATTCATTGCTCATCATCTCTGATAGGCCAACGCTGTCCAAGTCACACACTCTGATTAAACCTGGACAAAAAACATCAAAAACATACAACACCAGGTATTCGCTGGTCGTCACCGACCCAACTACTAATCCGGCCCTCATTGGCTTATCTATGGGAGAGCGGACGGGATCCCGAGTTTTCCAATGGGTATGGTCGTATGTGACAAAATTGGGAGATTGAGTATACTATATCAGAAAAGACTACGGAAGTGATGGGTAGCAGGCATTCGCTGGTCGCCACTAACTTATGTTAAGACCGATTACAGCCTGATATCTCTATTTGAACGTTGTATGTAATCACAGGCAACCTTCTTGAGGTTTTTGCCGCTCTGTGAATAGGAACCCTTAAGCACTGCTCCAGAAAATGCGGCTTTCCTATGTTGGAACTGCGCGTCCGGATGCCGTTGTAGTGGTAAGGCAGCAGGCCCTTCCCCGATTTTCCCTCGCAGAATCCGGGATGAACCCCCGTTTATGATTTGGCCTGCGAATGCACCGTCCTTGCCGGGTCTCGCGGCGATGTCTTACAGTTGCTTGTAAACTTCGTTGGCTACGGAGATAGAGAAGACGTCGTGGACAGGGTTCAGGTCAACCATCAGCACTCTGAGGTCCGCTCCCTGTCTCAAGCCGGACCACCTCAGGGTTCATCGCTGTCCCCTGTGCTGTTTCTTTTCAACGACGTCGAGTTGATCCAGTACCAAATGGATGAGAATAGAGACTTGAGAGAGCCGGACGATGAAGCCGGCCGGGCCGTTATATTGACGCCGACGCAAAGGGTTGTCACCACCCTGTTAGGTCTACTACCGCTTGCTGTATATATCACGTCATTTGAGATGATCTATTTGCCTCGGTGAATCTATCCCCGACTCTTCGGAGGCAAAAATATCGGGGCCATGGGGACTTATGGGATGGTCTTTTCCGTACTCATCGTACATCCGCATTGACACCTGCCTGCGCGCGGCCCAATCCTGAGAAGGATGCACTTTCTTGAGTACGTGTCTATGGGTGTTGAACACTGCACTCTTTAAAAAAAAATATGATTTTCAATAACCACCAGAGGCTTTGCGCAAATCATTGAAAATTACTTCCCAGACAACTAAAACGCTTTTGAAAGCCAGCTATCTGCGTAAGTAGTGCAAAACGTCATGCCCAAGCCTTCCGACTCTCCTCGTACGCTGGCAAAGCCCACCTCTTCATCCAAGCCATGTTTAACACATCCGCTGCATTTGGCCGCTCTCCAGGCCTCCATGCGAGCATCCAGTGTAGCAGCTCAAACAGCGCGGCCTTCTCCTCTTCGTCAATAACACTCATACCACAAGACTGTCTCGGCTCTTGTACCCATTGCTCGAACCGCCTATCCCACGTCCATATGTCACGCTTATTACTGAGCGGTGTCCACGCCTCGTCGAACCATTTGAACCGTTGTTCCCAGTTATCCCACCACTCCGACGGCGGAGGTCCTTGTAAGTGGACCTGCTGCGCCGTGACTTCGTCCTGAGGCGTAAGAATTCCGTCGATAAGAGACCTGTGAGCAAGTAACTCGAAGATAGTACAACCGAGGCTCCATATATCCGACGCAAAGGACAGAGGCGTCGTCGGTTCAAAGAACGCCTCGGGCGGACGGATTACGAGGGGTGTATACGATTTAAACCGCGACTTATCTGAGGGGCGAAATGCGACACCGAAGTCGCTAAGTAGTAGCTTAGCCTCCTTTATAGTGATTTCATCACTTGCTTTTCCAAGCCACACAGTAGGGACGGCGTATGAAGGAACCCCAGCTTCTGAAGAGGTTGAGTTTTTGTCAAGACGGACGACAGGCTCTGGCTCTGGAGCTCCAAACTTGGCATACAACTGATCCACCGAGAGATCGTTGAGGGAAGGAGGTAGCTGAAGAAGAAGGTTGCCAAGATGAAGGTCTAGGGGAGGACGTTGTCATTATCAGAGAGGTGTCAATGAGGATGAGAACCACGTACCTCCATGGGCATAACCCTGCGAATGAACAAGAGAAATGGCTATGGCAAGCTGGGCAGCTAGAGACCGAGCAACATCAAGCTCAAACAGTCTCGCGTCTGACGCCTCTTTCGCATCCATAAGACTGCATCTTGCCGGGACTGTTACAAAACAAGGATGAGTCCCATTGGGTCCACCAAGACTAAAACGATCGATGACCGTAGGGATCATCGACGCCTTGTGTGCGGCGTGGCTGCGGTCCGCGACTCCTGTAGTAAGCTGAGATAGAATATCTACCTCTCGCGTGTCCGCATCTGCGGTGCCAACTTTAACGGCGACGTAGTTTGACGTCCATTCGTCAAGAGCAAGCCAGACCGTCGAGAACGTGCCGTAGCCAAGCTTGTGTACTATGCGGTATCGCTTGTGAAGACGATCGTCGATTTGGATGGGATGATAACCACCCGGCCGATAGTTGTCGAGTCTTTCCACGTCTTCAATGTACCCATACTCAAACTCCGAGGCTGACATCGCCGAGCGGGGCACCGTTGAGAAGATGCGAGATTTTCGCGTTGAGAACGGAGAACTTGATTGACACGGTCGTCGCGGAAACACGCGTCGCAGTAGGGTCTGCCGGGAGTACCAGCGTTTCATGTGTGGCCTCGTGTGCAGGCCAAAAGAAGAGATGCTGCTGATGAGATGATTGCATGAAAGAGTATAAAATCTTGTAAACATAGTAGATGGGGGAGGAGCCTAGGTAGGGAGCAGTTCACGTAGCTGATGGCGGCGATGCCAGACTTGTCGGTGGGTGTTTCTTTTGTTTGAGTGATGTTGCTGAGCACAGTAGTAGGCGCTCGGTGGGTGGGGACTGCCAGCGGTTGGTGATATAGTTATCACCCCTGGAAGATACACCTGTCTGTAATAGCGGCGCTCACACCCACCGAAAAAGATCAAGCTGACGGGACCGCAAAGTACATATGTGTCATCCTCGTTAAGCTTCTTACTGATTCGGTTGTCTGTTGCTGACTTAGAGTTGCTTCTGCTGTAATAAGTTGCAGAGAAGGGACCTCATTTTCTAGATCCAACCTCCCGATGTATTGCCGCCTGCAGTACCGTGCGACTTCTTCTCCAAGTTCAATTTTCAGGTAATCAGGACCGGCTTTGACTGCGGTGGACCTGACTTACGTCCAGCGTTGGCTGTATGCAATAGGATTGTGCGATAAGCAGGTGAGGTCTCCCTCCCTGCTGCGAATCTCCCCTTGTCTGGTGTGCACAAGCCTGAGCTTGTCCAAAAGAGCAAGGACTTAAGGTCCAGCTCCGTTGATCATCTAACCGCGTCATCTTTAGACCGGTGAGCAGCTTACCTTTCTACAATGAGTCTGCGTCTTGCATGTATCACACTGCAATCCTGTACGCAGCAACCTTGTCGGTCATCTTCCTTGGAGCCTACTCACGGAGTAAAGCCTGATCGGCTCTGGGTTCGAATGTCGACTGCTTCGCCACATCGTTCATTAATGTGCTGCATACACGAGAGTGATCATGAGGGGTCGGACTCGTCGAGGCACTCGAAGCAGAGTGCGATATACCGCTTTCAGTGTAGTTTCTCTAAGCATAACTTTGACGGAGATTTCCATGTGACGACTATCTCATTAGATATTGTACCAGTCTATATTTCTATATTTTGGTCTCTTAGTAGCGTCATCAACCATCTTTCTTGCCTGGACAATCTGTAGAGATTCTGGCAGCCAAGGACTTCATTAAACAGAGGCAACCATAGAGGTCATTACTACAACCAGAATCGCGCTCAAGTGTCTAGAGGGATTGTTTGCAACAGCAGCCGAAGAGGTTGTTCCATGTACGATCAGCCTAATAGCCCCAGCAGTACGGAGGAGTCCGTCAAAGATCCTTAGCCATAATGCCAAGATCAAAAGTGGAGTACTCCAGCCTTACGTAGGGCTTCTCCGTAGTAAGATGCTATATTGCTTACGCCCCTGGTCCTAATATTGATTGTCGTTTAAGTAGTCACACATCCTCCTGGCGCCTGGCCTAGCGACACGCTAGCGTGGCTTGATCGTCGAACAGTATATCGGATGCCCCATTGCATCCGGCTTGGCTGTAGCCCATCCAGAAGGTCGGTTGCATTTTGCTCGTTACCTCTGTCTTGGCCCTCGGCCGAGGGAGCTATCCCTCCTCTACTCCCTTCCTTCCCTCTATTAATCCCCCTTAACCCTGGCTAACATCCCCCCTCCTGACCCCCCGGCTGGTCGGCCTAACCTAGCGCTGCTAGGGCTATAGGCCTGCGTTACCAATTTGTTTGTCTAATTATAAGAGCAGACAGTAACGCCTATATAAGGGTAACTGTTGGTCTTCACCAGGTAGGTGATACGGTTAACCGTATGCATCGGTGGCAATTAACGGATACTAGGGGTGACTGTTGATCTCTACTATGCGTGTTGGAAGAAGGGCAACTATCGTGGGCTGGCTGGCTGGCTGGTTAAGTAGCCAGATTGCTGTGGGGCTGCCTCGGGAGCCGGGCACGAATTATCCGGCAATAGGGGTAACAGGCCACATCGCAACAGTAACGCCTCTTTTTGAATTTGCAACGCCCTCTAATAATTATTTTTCCAACTGCTACTTACAAGAGGCAGTAGTAAAGTACGGTTACTAAGTACTGAGTAGGTAAACAATAAACGAAACTGGGGGTAGAGTCTATTGAAGGGTAGACCGATTGAATATAGAACAAAGCAATTCTTCCCTTTTTATGAAAGAGATAAGCATGAAGTATTCTAGCTAGTAACTGATATAAAACGGTATATCAGACAGTTGGTTGTTTTAGGTTGTTTGATATAAGGGTTGCCCTGCGTCCAAACCGGCTGAGCCGGGTTACATAGGGACGAGTTGAAAAAATAGAATGAAACTAAGGAGGTAGTTTTTCTGCTCCGAGGCTCTGATCTGTAGGTCAAGACAGCGGTACCTAGAGCATGCCCTGCGTCTAAACCGGCTGAGCCGGGTTACATAGGGACGAGTTGAAAACATAGAATGAGAAACTAAGGAGGTAGATTTTCTGCTCCGACGCTCTGTAGGGGGCAGACTATAAGGCGCGCCTGGCTACTGTGGCTCCGACTGGTTTTTGCTTACGTAGAGCTTAAATATGTTTAGACTTTATCCCTTTTGATTGCAAACGGACCGCACAGAACCTCAGACCAATAAGACTACAGCAATTCAGCCTGAATATCCAAAAGCAGTTAGTATCTCTCAAGATAGTTCCACTGTTAGATTCTGTCAGATTCGTTCATAATCGCATGATCAAGATAACATACCAGATTAATAACTGGAATCCCAGCCATACTACTTCGGCACTCGGCGTCACCGATATGTAAAAAAGCTTCTAAAGTGGAGCTTTGTGATGGGGAGTATTCTGAAACCTATTTTGTGTTGTGACAGGATGATCCTTCAACGTCGCAATCAGTAAGTCCGAACCTCTAACGGGCGATATGAGGTACCTGTCTAGGGTGATCCGTGTTTAAGTAGCATAAGTATATAACGCCACTTCAACATGACTTAACCCGCTAGACTTCGACCTATAGAGCTCGTGACAACTTAGGATCACGGATGCAAGTGCTGCATAACCCTGCGTTGTGAGAATAACCCTACACCGTACTACTGAGATCCTAGATCAGCCCTCGAGCTGAAATTATACAAGTCATATATTTGGGGCGGCCCCACCTCAGGTCACCCAAGTATGTAACGCTACTCTTCAAGTCTTATTACAGTCAGAGGATAATACAGCATAAGTACCAGGCCCGGTACTCAACTTTTAACTAAAAACAACTGTCATTGTTAAACACAGACATACGTGCCGCTGAGATAGTCTTGACGATCTACTGCCGCCAAGCAACTAGCCTATCTTTCTTATCACCACCTCCTCTCTGTTTCCCTTGCGGCTCTCTATAAGTCGCGCACTTTCCTTTCTAATTCTTCGCAAGGCTTTTAGGCCGGACCTTGGCTAAGCTTTTGGATCTGCGGGATGCCAAGGGCTTCAAGACTTCGAAGCCATAGTACTCAGAAAGTTGTCGAAGGGAATCACGATGCACCTAAGAGAGGCACGCGCCCTCTACCTAGGCTGCCTCACTTTTCTTGTCCTTCTCTTTGGAGTCCTTGGCTATCATGTCTGGCTGCACTCCGACACGGATGATTCCTCTCTGCTAAGGAGCGCTACCGACACGCTCACGGATCATGGCGCGAAGTCCTCAGTAACGAACAAGCCGGATCTCAGCAGGCTTAAGTACGCCTTTATTATGCCAACCTATGTAAGCTAAACCCCTTTACTCCAGTCCAACTCTCAACATAATTGTTATTAAACTAACTACGCTCTATGCTCTAGACGGCAGACATACCACTCGCCATCAAATTCCTCCAGTCTTTTGTATGTCTTTGTAATGACTATAGGGAGGTTAATATTTACGTGATTGTGTCCGACTCCTCTGAGCACGATCTGTTTCTTAGCGCGTTAGATGGCCTAATGCCCTGCAGAGAGAGGTTTAGCATTTTCCCTGTGCCGCCAGGGAACGTAGGCAAGCCAAGGCCTAACATTAAGATTATCAACCTTTACGATATACTACCGCCTATAATCCACACAACAACAAGCGGTAGTATGAGCCCTAATGACACGTCAGCCCTACTCAAGGAGCGTGGCAAGTACCAGTACCAAACAATCAAGAAGCTTGCAGCAGCTGCAACACTTGATTATGACTGGGCGCTCTGGATAGACTCTGAGTCTATTGCTGTACAGCCCTTCAGCATACGCCAGACCTTTGACACCTACATCCAGGCCCCAACCATATGGCGGTCAACGATGGCTAACACCGACATGATGCGCGGCATCATGCAGAGCTCAGCGGACGTACTACGCCTACTTACAGACTCCTTTGGCCACAACCTATGGAACCTTGAGAGCCAGCAGTGGTTTGTTGAGAAGACTATTATCCACGACCTCATCCAGCACGTTGAGGCCATGCATGGCCAGGAGTTCTGGAGCGTGTGGGCCGCGAACGGCGGTCCCTGGGAAATCAACCTATACAACATGCACGTGCTCTCAAGGAAGCTAGAGACGACCAACCCTTTGTTCACGAAGTTCCGCATTATAGACGTAGAGATGGAAATGAAAAAGTACGGCGTGTGTAAGTAGAAGCTCTCCTTCTACCCCCTAGGCCTATACCGCGTAGTGTTTATGACTTGCAAACTTTTGGCTATCTTACTTTTCTTTCTATCTTTACTAATTATTCCTTTTTATTTTTTGCTCTTTACAGTATCTCCAAGTACGCAGAAAATCAAAGACGGTATGATTGGCACAGGGCTACTAGAAAGAAGCTTCTGGCTCCTCCGGGGGGTGCCGGGCATAGCGCCGAGGCTCTCCCGCATGCTGCAAGCTCACGACATAAAAATTTACAGGATGGACTCAACCGATGACATCTTGCCTGAGGAGGTCGACCGACTCCTCCTCGACACGCCGATCAACATGCTGTGCTCGGCCGTGCCCCCGCTGCACGAGTGGTGGGCGGAAAGGAACGTAAAGATCGGCTCGTGAAGCCTGGTCGTCTTATTACACTGCCGATTCAATAGTCAGGCACTTTTCTATGGGGTTGAAACCAGGGTTTCGTTTTTATTGTAATGGATGAAGGTGGATGGATGAGGGCCTACAACGCCGTCTAAGTATATCAGAGCAGCGCCCCAAGAGGGTGGCTGGGCATGCCAAGTCTAGAGAGATGAGGCGTGCTTTATTGAAGTAACTTCGTTGATTAGTGCCTCAAGCGCTGTCCGTTGAAAGTCACGTGGTGGTCCATCTTACTCGGCTGGGGAGAGGATTTGAGTGCTCTGACGAGATCTCCGCAGCGATGCTAGTAGGCGCCTCATCTGAGCTGGCAAAAACAGAGGGGAAGAGAAAAAAGGAAAAAGAAAGAAAGAGGGAGGTCCTTGTTGCGGAACCGATTCCCCAAGCCCATGGCTGGTTTCAGTCATCTTGAGATCGCAAACGACTGACTCCCCCAGCATTCACGTCTGAACGCATGATCCTACGTCGGAAAGTCTCTGGTGGCGGCAGACGACTGACTCTCTGTGTTGAAGCCGATGAATGTCGGCTAGTTAGCTGCCGACCAAGTGCACGCTTCGTCCCCCTAAGAAAAGTTAAAAAGTAGCAGGGTATAGGTTTTATAGATGTCGTAGAAAGTGTATAACCCTAACCTATGGAGCACGACAAGCTATAGTATAGCTGGTTGAAAGACCATACGAAAAAGAAGTAGAGACGCTAAAGATAGGGCGTATAGCTAGTTGTCTAGAGAAATTTCAAATAGCCATACTCTTATTACTAATAAAAACCTATGAGAATACTATAGATGGAAAGTGTAGAAAGTACTCTACATATATTTATACTATACTAATAGAGAATAACGTCTATACTTATGTTCTTAGAGTTTCCTTTATAACTTTAGAAATATTCTAATATAGTTAAAGAGGGAGTATATATAGTGAGCAACCGCAGGCGCCATCTCATCTTCGCACTGCAAGAGTTGAGCATGACGAAACCCCATGGGGCCCTGGACCTGGAGCCGCTCGTGGCTTGTCTTCTCCAAGGACCCGGACAGCCAGTTCAACTTGTGCAACGACCGTGCCGTATACAACGAGAACACCAACACGCCGTCGGTCACGGTGGGCTACCCTCCCAGCATGTCCTTTGACGTGGTCGATGGCCTGGGGTGCTCGTACGAGGGGTCGGGGGACTCGGTGGGTAGCCTCTCCTGCACAGGCATCTCCAACGTCCGGTGCAAGTCACTGGACGAGTTTGTCCCGCGCGGCATCCTCAACAACCCGACGATCAAGGCCAGGGTGTACTGCTTGTGGGGGTAGAGCCGTGAAGACTTCTGTCAGGCATCGCGCACACTGCAAGCTTGGGCGCTACTCATATTGGACAATATAGGACATCTGCTCGAAACTAGATTGACATGTAGGTAGCACTGTTAGTGGTCTCGGTGGTGTAGGTATCGAATTTTCCCCTGTACATTGCAATACCCATATTGTCTTCATAATGGCTGGTACGGTGCTCAATGCGACGACAATTTAATAAGGAGACAGCCTTTAGTTAGAAATCCGAGCCTTCTCTTTGGAAGAACTTCTCATTGAAATAAGCACTAGAAGATGCTCACTGCAGGGTCGTTCACTCACCATGATTCTTAATATGCTTAATAAGAGAGAACCTCTTTTAATTAGCCCAAAGTGCTTGTTATACCGTAGAACGAAAGACACACTTCTGCCTAGCTAGCAGCAATGCCCAGGAAAAGGAGGCTGGCGAATGAAGAGTGAGGGCCAGACTAGCGTAGGGAATTCTGACACTGTTGTGTCGCTCGTCCAAGAAGAGGGAATGAGTGATAAGAGTGGAATTGTTGTATCATACTAGATCAACTTATCCAATGATGTGATGCGCCACATTCGCTATTTGGATCGCATGAGACCTATAGATAAAGGCTCACGCACATAACCAAGGGAGCAAGACCATCATGTAGGCAGTTCCGCCACACCAGCATGTAAGTCACTAATCATAATCACAAAGAGCGGCGGCCAACAAGACCAGGCTGCCACGCGTGCACCTCGAGACGACTTCTCCTCGAGAATGGAGATAAGCAGTCTCCCATCTCCCCCCCATTCATTGACGTTGATGGACTGCCAACCTTCCACAACTGTGGTGGCTATGTGTGTAATTATTGTTATATCTGGTTGCCCACTATATCCGTACAGGATTTTCCCTTCCCAAGGGGCAAATGTAAATGCACATGCCACCAGATTTCGCCGTTCTAGGTGGCGAATTCCGCCCAGATAATGCAGCTAATAAATGATGGCGGCACACGGTCCTAGCCGCACTTACACGCCCACTTTGACAACTTCATTCCTACCTAAGCTCTCAGACTGTCGCAGGGGATGTTTGAAGGCACATCGGTGGGGTTGACAAAGTAATCGTGGTACCAATACAGCTGATGCTCTGGTTTGGTTGATAGATTAGGCGCCGCATCGACTGATTGGTTTGTCTTTAAAACAGTGTACTGAGTTTTGTAGCTGTTTGACATGGTTAGTTTACTGTTCAAGTAGAAACTGCAAGAGCCTATGATATGGGCGTCACTCACTATATCTGGGAACAGTTGCCCGCCCGAAAGTTATTCTCAATACGTCCGTGGGCCTCATAAACAGTTGCGGTGGCGTTGTTGTCGACAACGTATGTCACGTTCGGAAAATGCTGATTAAGTAGCCAGTCAGCTCTGCTCACACTCTTGTTTGCTTTTGCTAAAGGATCCAAATGCGTAATTGAGACATACTGTCAGGGTCATGCTGCCATCATAGGGCAAGAATATCCGTTTGCATTTCGTGATTGCGTCCGCGCCAATACAGTGAACACTTAAGGTTGTCTGCATGCCATCCGGCGTGAAGAAATCGGTATAGGCCGTGGTAGCCTTAGGATCCTCTGCGGGGGTGACCAGACTAAACTTCGTCTTAGTCTCCGGGTCAATCTTTGGAAATGAGAAAATAGCAACCTACGCGTTAAGAAAATCCTTAAACTCGGGCTGCACACCGGGCTGTGGGTCGTAGTCAGTGAAGTTGATGGCCGTAACGGAATGTGCGGCAAGAAGTGTAATAAAGGCCGATATGGACCGCATTTTGTCTGATCAGAGTATTTTACGGTTGCTGAAAAGGTGGCCTGAAGCAACTTTGGATTGGTAGATTATGAACTGATGCGTAGTGAATAGCGCTCGGAACGCGGCTATCTAAGACATTAAATAACTACGCCTTAGTCTCGCTTTTTCGACCAGGGCTCAGCGAAAGACTCTTTAAGTGCTCACTTACAATGTAGTATAGAAGTAGATTGCAGCAGACAATATCGCGCGCTTTGATTTTAGCCGAAGCTTAATATATGAATCGGACCAGGAACCTACTTTGTTTACGAGACTTGCAGCCAACCAGACAGGACAAAACAGCGGGTGCTCTAATAATGTTATGGGGCGTTTCTTGGTCTACGGCGCTCCCGAGCTAGGTACACCTTGTCGGATTGCAGGGCCTCAGCCTCCATGCCTATTTCCGGATCACCCGGCTCCATCGGGGAGTGTTAAGATCGGCTCACCTGGTCGGGCGCCAGGGAGAAAATGTGAACTCTTTAAAGAGCATGGATATATCTCGTCAACAAACCTTTATCCATCATCTGTCTAGCACATTGTTTGTACAACCTCAACCTGTGAACGCCTTTACAGCCAAGTACTCACCGTACCACCGTCGCAAGATGAAGTCTTTAGCTGTTTTCTCCCTTACTGCCGCCCTTGTCAGTGCAGTCAGCATGGAGCCCTATAAGCCTGCCGCAGGGGTTGATCCGGCCTTTGCCAAGTTTGTGGAGGAGTACTACCTTACATCCGAAGACAAGGAGGCAACCACCTCATTTACGAACTTCTGGCCTGCGGACGGCAAGCTCATACTTGCTGGACGCACGTTCTCCGGGTCTTCAGCCATGCTGGGTGTTAAACAAGGATTGCTTCCGCCCGCTGGGAACAAGTCATGGTGGCATTTGATCCGCGGTGCCACTGTAGCTGATGAGACGGAGGCAGAGAAGAGGTTTGTTGCAGATATTGTGATCCAGACGACATATGTAGGAGGCAACTGCTCGCAAGCGTAGTAAGTCGGCCCCAACGGCTCAGTCCAGCTTGGGATAGAGAGGAAACATTTCAGGCTGTTGCATGTACTAACAGTTAAAAGCGGTAACGCGAGCTTTACAATCTTGAAGGACGGGCAAGGCATACCGAGACTGGAACCTCATTCCGAGAGCCTCAGCGTGTACAACCTTACCGTTTCAACAACAGATTCGCCCACGGACATCCCATGCAGCTCATCTTGAGAAAATAAGACACAGAGAGCAGAGGTTGAGGGTTTCAAAGGAGTACATGATCTGCTCATAGTGAGCTGCTGAGTCAGCAGGGATCCTGCTCCTCTAGATGAGCCTCCCCTCACCCTCACTGGTATCATCTAGATGGAGCAGAGGTAGCATCTTTCGTGATGGCTTTGACAACCTAAACTGGAGGGCGCCGCTCCCCGAAACGAACGGTGTGGAACATAGTGTAGCTGCATGAGATCCGTCTTGGACGGTGAAAGTGGCTGTTAGCGTAATGGACGTTTTCTGGGGCTGATGATGCCCTAGGGTGTGCCTTCAATAATAATCGCGATCCAGGCATCAATATGTTTGCAGAAGATTTCCTTTCTTCTTCATATCTTTTGTTCTTACTTTTTAAGTTCTTGTTAGGACTTTTAGTCTATAGGTCCCCTCTATTACTTATCAGAAAAAAGAGATCAATTTAGAGAAAATAGTTTTACTAATCTCTATATATCATCCCTCTTGTAATAGTAGATCTACTTCTATTCCTACAGAGTATAAATCTCTATGAACCGATACTCTGTATTCTAGTAAAATGCGTTTTATATCTATCAGAAAGAAGCATTACCTAATTAGATATATCAGAATCTTTAGCTTTATTTATTACTTGATAGTAGGGTATATATGATACTCACATATCTTAGTGAAGCCGCGTGCTACCTGCTGCAGCGCGCTGCAACGCAATACCAACGCCCTCAAAAACAGACATAAGCAGGGCGCAGCCAATAGCATTGTTCCTTGCAGCCTTGTAGCCGTTGCGCAGGGCCAGCGACCCTCCCGTCAGCAGGCCTGCGGCAATGCTGTTCCACGGGTCCTCCTTTCGACGGATCCCAGAGATAGCACAAGTATACAGCCCGAGAAGACCACCAAAGGCGGCGAAATTACCGCTCAAGACTGGGACCCGCGCTTTGATAGCTGTCACGGCGCCGATGCGCCGTTCACCGGCCGGCGAGTTGCGCGCACCCTTGACGCCGTGCCATACCGTGCCGCCAATTGCCTATACAGAGTAACGTGTGTCAGGGGGCGTGGATCGCTCGAACGCATCGGTAGGAGGGGAGGTGGCGTACGCCCATGCTGAATGCACCCCCAGCATCCGTGATAATGACCCAGGGGCAGGGCTCGCGTCCGGTATCCATTACGATGGACGGAAAGGTGTATCGAACGACCAAGTGAAGGACTTTCACATTACTAGTTATGACAATCTGGCATCCGTTAACCCTTTCCAGGTGGTTGTCATTGCTGTTATATAGAATGCCTACCAGAGGTAGCCGCTGAGTTCGTCCGACGCTGACATGCTGACCTGGTGGCAAACCGTTATATTAATCCTTGTCTCGAGCTCGACAGTAAGCTCGCAGCCTGATCCACTCTTGGACAGTAATACATTACTGCAGGTGATTTGTGCGATACACATTGTTCGGGTCACTGTTAGCGTATGGTAAAACTAGCGTTGGCGATTTATTGTCATGCCTAGTTCCCGTCTTTGAGCATATAGCCATTTCAATTTCGCCAATGACTTGTCTTCCGCAAATCAATTCGCACCATTTCCGCCCTGAATCAGCCACTTAAATCGACATGGCAGCCCCAAGACCCATCAGCCGCTATAACTGCCTTACGTTCGACTGCTTCGGCACTCTGGTCGACTGGGAGTCGGGCATGTATGCCGCCCTTTCTGAGCTGACGGGCCAGCTGGAACCCTCCCATACGCTATACGAAAACCGAGCCGGCACCATAGAGCTCTTCGCTAAACACGAGGGACGTCGAGTTCGGGAGCAGCCGGCTGAGATCTACCAGCGGATCCTGGAAGATGTCTACGGCGATGTCGCCCAAGAGCTCGGTCTTAAGGCGTCCGCCGAGGCCAAGAAGAGGTTCGGCGCCGGTATCGCAGAATGGGCTGCCTTCCCCGACACTGTGGCTGCACTCAAGCGCCTCAAGCAGCATTTCAAACTCGTGATACTATCAAACGTGGATAGAACCTCCTTCTCAGGGACACTTTCGGGCCCCCTGAGAGAGGTCGAGTTCGACGCCATCTACACTGCGCAGGACATCGGCTCATACAAGCCCGACTCTCGCAACTTTGACTATCTAGTCGAGCATGTCGCTGAAGATCTAGGGGTCAGCAAGGACGGCATTATCCACACTGCCTACAGTTTTCCCCATGACCTCGTGCCGGCCAAAAAGCTCGGCATTGTAGGTGCCTGGATCGAGCGCGGCGAGGAGGTACCGACGGTCATGGGAGGGAAGTTGGAGGATGTCCCGGACCATCTGAGACCCTCGTGGCAGTTCAAGTCACTGCGCGACATGGCGGATGCCGTGGATCTTGACGCTGCGAACAGAAAGTAGCAGTAGGAAAGCTCTGGTTGCTGACTGGGGTTATTGCATGCGTCAATGAGTTACACAAAGTCGATGGTTTCCATTCGGGTTGTGGCGGGTTGGCAGCGAAATCATATATCTTCATGCTTGTTAAAATTATGAAGAGCACTATAATATCTATCATTGATACTTGTGTGATTGTGTTTCATTAAACTCCGAGTATGGTACTCGTCCTATGAATGCTGACTGATCCAAAACCCTCTGCTACTGACCTAGAGCAGAGTCTGCGCCGACGGACTTGCGATCTCGCTGTAGGACGTTATAAATGCTCTCCTGTGTGATGCCTTTCTGTTTGACGTTGCAGGACTTAGGTGAAGTTATCTCGCCGGCGAGACAACTTGCTACTGAAAATAGTTCTCAGGATAGATCAGATCCCCATTATCGGCCCGACAGCCTTCCGCTCACGACTCTGGCTTACTGTCGATATTATGTCAGTCATACTGCAAGCTGTGTTCGTGCCCACTTCCTCAAAGAAAGCTGCCTGTCGCGGCTCCAAAATCCTATAGTCAGACAGAGGAATTACCCATTCTTGGTGGCAATCCATTCAAAACCCCCTTGATGAGAATTGTGGTCGGCTGCTTACCAAGTATCTTTCACATCCGCAGAGAGATCTAGCTGCCTAGTTGGAATACGGTCTCGGTCTCGATTGATCCTTGAGTGTACTCGATCGCTGTGTGTGCCATCACCATTGGATCCTTGATGACTCGAGTAAGACAGAATCGTATAGCATCTGACAAATTGTCAACACAGTACCAGAATCAGTGATATGATGTATGACGTGGTGACTTAAAACGAACATGAGAGAATTCAATAAAACAGCGTAGTCCACCGGGTTTACCTCACTGAGCGGAATCTGGCAAATATTTACCCCTTCTTTCACTCCATTTCCGTATGTTAAATGAGCCTTGGCTTGAAGATTCAGTCGTTGTATTGATCCAAAAGGCCCTCCCTACGAATCTCTAGCCATTCGAGTCCTCCATCGAGATGTCTTTCAAACCTCCAGCTTTCGTCCCCACCCTGCCCTATGACCCACCAGACACGCTCGCCGTCCATGAATTTCTTTTCGGGGACGAGGATGACTACGGACGCCGCCCAAAAGCCGAATCGAAGCCCCCGTTCACTTGCGGTGTCACGGGCAAAGCGTACTCCGCGTTCGAGGTCAAGGAGCGAATCGAGCTGCTTGCGCGAGCTCTTGCCTCAGATCTGGGCTGGCAGGTGAATGAGGGAAGCGAAATGGGAAAAGTGATTGGGATCTACAGTCTCAATACCGTAATGGCAATATTCTCAATACATTCGTGGTTAGTTAGGTACTAATGGCGAACAGATCGACACTTTGACCGTCTCATGGGCAACTCATCGCCTCTCTGGCGTGTCCTGCCCCATCAGTTCGGCCTATTCAGAACTCGAGCTCACGAACCTCTTGAAATCTGTGAACTGCAAAGCTTTGTTTACCTGCAAGCCTCTCCTTGACCAGGCTCTCAGTGCCGCGGCGGCAGTGGGTATTCCTAGTCGTCACGTGTATCTGCTTGACTTGCCTTCTCAGTCCGCAAATGAATCTCAAGTGCCTTTCGGCGCAAAATCAGTCGATCGGCTGATTAAAGAGGCACGTAGCATGACGCCGCTTCCAAGATTGCAATGGAGCAAGGGTCAAGGGGCTCGCCAGACAGCCTTCATGTGTACATCCAGCGGCACATCTGGATTACCGGTAAGCTACAGAGTATCCCATGCTGTCGCCGAGGAATGGGAGTCTATCTGACAAGCCGCTGAAATAGAAATGCGTCAAAATGTCTCACAAGAATGTGATTGCAAACATTCTTCAAGTCTCGACTTATGATAGTATCAGCAATCATACCGAGGCGGAAATGAGCCTTGGCGTTCTCCCCTTGAGCCATGGCTATGCTTTGAACATGATTTCCCTCAATAGTGTCTATCGAGGTGACAGCATTGTCATTTTACAGGCCTTTGACCTCTTCCAAACCCTGGAAGTGATAGAGAAGTATTCCTTGCGGCGTTTATGGCTGGTGAGTACAGTATTTCTCACTATGGACTCACTTGCTAAAGGCTCGGTTTGTGCAGATCCCTTCGATGATCACAGCAATCAGCAAGGCCTTTTCTTTGGTCAAAAGATACGACCTCAGTAGTGTCATGACAGTCGTGACTGCGGCTTCTCCATTGGACGAGGAAACCTCAGTCCTCTTTAGCGGGCTGTTTCCCAACTGCAAGCTGATCCAAGCTTATGGCCTCACCGAGGCATCAGTCATTCTCACCATGGTGGACCAGAACGACATCATGCATGGTTCCAGCGGAAGCCTGCTTCCTGCTGTTCAGGCGCGGCTTATTGACAGCAACGGCCAAGATATCAATGAACACGACCGCGCAGGCGAGCTATGGGTTCGATCGCCTGGGGTAATGCTCGGTTACCACAATAATGAAGCAGCGACTCGAGAGATGATCACCGAAGACGGTTGGCTGCGCACCGGTGACTTGGTGGAGTTCAGGCAAAGTCCCAAGGGAAACGACCAAATCTTCATTGTCGACCGCATCAAAGAGCTCATCAAAGTCAGGGTGAGTCAATACTCGTCGTGCTCAACTAATCCAAGTAGTTGATGATTTCTAACAACTTTTCCTGCGCCACAGGGCATGCAAGTTGCACCAGCCGAGCTGGAGAGCTTTCTTCTGCTGCACCCTGCCATCATTGACGTCGCAGTTATCCCAGTGCCCAGCGAGTCCGCCGGTGAGTTGCCGATGGCTTACGTGGTGAAGTCACCGCTGGCGAAGCATCGTGACGAGTCAGCACTCCGGGAGGAATTATACAATCACGTCAAAAGGTCACTGTCCCAGTACAAACACCTCGATGGCGGTATCGAGTTCATAGACTCAATACCAAAGACGATCAGCGGCAAAACGAGGAGAGCTATTCTTAAGGAGAGGGCTAAGGCTCTTGTCAGGGATAGAAAGATACGAGCCCAAATAGCAACTGAATGGCAGGAACCAGCAGAAGAATACGATGAGTCCGTAATAATTCAAGTCATTGATTTTGACTCGGAGGAGGATGAGGATTACTGAATGTGCGGCCTGTTCTTCTTGAGTAATAGAGTCTTGTGTTCTCCTTACTTGCCTGCTATCTTGATGTTATACACTTTTTGTAGTTTCGCTGTCAAATATACAGATGTCATACTAAAAACGACGCCGTTAGTGGCAGAGCAGCAACTAACGCCTTATATAGGACCTATATAGGTCACAACAACAGAATATTGAAATGAAAGTTTTGTGCTGTGACGAGGCCAGAAACGTGCCTTGGTTGCGTATGTATGTATATCTCAAGGTCCGGTCAGACTCTGTATGTTTGCACGGCGGCTGAATTTGCTATAATTTGCATAGCATTTATGCGCTCTAATTTGCGTTCCTATAGCAGGGCCTCCACAGACTTCTGAACTCTAAAATAGAGATACTACAGATACAATCCAAGGCCATGAATGATATTTCTTTGGCCGATGGCGTAAAATGTAACTTCTTTCATCATACGCATAGGTCGTCAGGTTCTCGTGCCATTGGTCCTCTGCGTAGTTGGCTTACAAGGACTAGATCAGCATGTAACCCAAAAGAACGGACACTGTCCCATTGTCCTGCACCTCGAACGCAATTAGGGGCACGTAAGCTGCATGAGACACTTAACTTATCCTGGTATTGGTAAATCAATCTGACTCAGGGGGATGGTCTGGGTGCCTTCGCTAATGCGGTTCCTACACGCTGCTTAGTAGCCGTTTTTGCTCCTCCTTGGGTTCAGTAATGCTCTTCAATACTGAGCACTGCCTGGAATGTAGCTAGAATAGGCAGATATAGACATTTCTAACCTATACAAGCCTATAGTCGTTTCTCGTAAGAAGATGGGGTGGGAGGAAAGTACTCCTACAGAGCCAGTTGTTAGAAAGTCACGTTGTGAAGTCCTGGACTAATAAAGCAGCAGTACCAAGGGTCTTACTATCAATAAACTGTAATAATCAGGCAATAAAATCAAGCCTCTCATCGTCTTTTTCTGTTCGGTTTGTATCCCAGCTTGAGTCTTTGCGCCTTAATCGAAGCACTATTTGTGTCAAGCACTCAGCACGCAGCCTTCGGTAATATCTCGTCTGATCATCTACGAGTCAACCACATAAACTATTGTTCAGCATTCTATCGATCCCGCACACCACTATGTTCGCGCCATCCGTCAAGACTTACGAGATGAACAGACGTATGGATGAATATGGCGGAGAAGAATTTGACCAAGACTCAGGAAATAATACAGAGCCTGGCCCCTCTATAACTTCCTCAGGCGCTATTGGCACGAGTAATGAAGCACCGGCCACCCCAAGTAGTGAGGCTGTCCTTGAAACACACCTGGCGCCCATCGCTATTGTTGGTATTGGCTTGAGATTACCTGGCAACGTCTCTACAACTGACGATTTTTGGGATCTCTTGGTCAACAAAAAAAGCACTAGATGCCGCGTACCCGGGACCCGCTTCAATATAGACGCATTCTACAGCGATTCCGGGAAGCCGGGCACTGTGAATAGCAAGTACGGCCACTACCTCGACTGCGACATCGAAAAGATGGACGCTTCCTTCTTCTCTATGAGTAAGGCTGAAGTTGAGAAGCTGGATCCCCATCAGAGACTGCTCCTTGAGGTCGTTTGGGAATGTATGGAGAATGGCGGCCAGAGGAACTGGCGTGGCGCAAACATTGGCTGCTACGTTGGTGTCTATGGCGATGACTGGTTAGATCTCTCTGCAAAAGATCCTCAGCGTTTAGGAATGTACCGAATTACCAGCTCTGCAGAGTTTGGTGTTGCGAATCGGTTATCGTACGAATTTGACCTCAGGGGGCCAAGGTAAGACTCGTCAGGCTTGATGCACACAATGATACCCCTTTCCCCTAGGAAACACCATGAACCAGACCAGCCAAAACTAACAGTACTTCTTTCGCAGCATGACAATCCGCACTGCATGCTCTTCCTCGCTGGTCGGGTTACACGAAGCATGTCAAGCTATCTACTCAGGCTCATGCAACTCTGCCGTAGTGGCCGGTGCAAACATCATTGTTTCTCCAACCCTCGCCGTTACACTGACTGAGCAAGGCGTCATCTCGCCTTCAGGTGTATGTCGATCATTTGATGGCAAGGCCGATGGATACGTCCGAGGCGAGGCAGTCAACGCAGTCTACATAAAGAAACTGAGCGATGCCCTGCGCGACGGCGATCCTATCCGCGGCGTGATTAGGGCCACCGGGACCAACTTTGACGGCAAGACGAGCGGCATCACGAACCCTAGCAGGGAAAGCCAAGAAGAACTCATTCGACGGACATATCGCGCAGCGAACATCCCGAGCCCTGGGGATACGGGCTTCGTGGAATGCCACGGGACCGGCACGACGGTAGGTGACCCTTTGGAGACGACCGCTGTTGGGAGAGTTTTTGGCGGACGAGGAGATGTCCTGATCGGCTCTGTAAGTTAATTCGATTCACCATGTTTCGAAAATGATCTCATCGCTGACAAACGCTATCCATAGGTCAAACCAAATGTTGGGCATTCCGAGGGGGCATCAGGACTCACCAGCCTGATCAAGGCCGTTCTGGTGCTGGAGAAGGAGACGATTCTGCCAAACATTAACTTTTCTGATCCAAACCCAAACAGTAAGTTAATCAAATGTTCTCAGGTGTCTCTTAAAAAATTGTTGATCTTGTGCTCATGTCATTATTCAACTTCTAGTAAGATGGCAAGAGTTTGGTCTCCGAGTGCCAACAGAGGCTTTACCATGGCCTACAGGCCGTGTAGCTCGCGTGTCAGTGAATAATTTTGGAATTGGCGGCACAAATGCACACGTAAGAACATCTTTGCCATCCAGTAGCCTCGACGTCTTGGACTCATGTTATTCCAGGTAATTGTAGATTCACCGAAGCTGTTCCAGAGGGAGAAGGTGAAAACCGCAGCGCACCAACCGCATCTCCTCTTGTTCTCTGCTCAAAACCCTGAATCTCTAAAGAGACAGATCTCCCAGGTCGTCGAGTACGCCCGCAGGCATGAAGACCGCCTTGCGAACATCTCTTACACGCTGGGTGCCCGGAGAGAGCAGCTGGCCTATCGAGCGTTCGCGGTTACCCAAGATGGTTGTCCCTTCCAACCGTCCCAAGTAGTTCATAGCACGGTAAAGATGCCTAGACACGTCAACTTCGTCTTCACCGGTCAGGGCGCTCAATGGGCCAACATGGCCATCGATCTACTGGGCGACTTCCCCTCGTTCCTTGCCGATATCAAACACATGGACAGAATCCTCCAAGAGTTGCATCACGCACCACTATGGTCAATGGAGGGTAAGAATTGGGCAATCAACGAGCAGCTGAGAGGTCTAAGCTAACCACTTAATATCTTGTAACAGAGGAACTCACACGTCCCCAGGGTCAGAGCAGAATTGACCAGCCCGAATTTGCGCAACCCATCTGCACCGCCATCCAAATCGGAATTGTTCATTTGCTACGATCATGGAACGTTCAGCCAGTGGCTGTGGTAGGCCACTCGAGCGGCGAAATCGCTGCCGCATATGCCGCTGGTCTGCTGACCCTCGATGCAGCCATGGCCGCTGCATACTACCGTGGACAGGTTACAAGACAGCAACTTCGCTCTGGGGCCATGGCTGCAGTTGGACTTGGTCCTTACGCTGTGAAGGAGTATCTTGAAACAAGTGTTGTTGTCGCTTGCGAGAACAGCGCTTCCAGCTCAACGCTCTCCGGCGATGCGGATGTTCTAGACTCGGTTCTCGAGAAGATCAAGCTTGACAGACCTGGGTGCTTTGTACGCAAGCTCAAAGTCGACAAAGCCTATCACTCACACCATATGCAAGAAGTCGGCGATTTGTATGAGACGCTTCTCCAGAACTCCATAGCGCATACTGTGTTGTCCGACGGCGGCGACGACGGTGACAACGACCACAACAAGAAGTCGCCCATCGCCATGTTTTCATCAGTCACTGGTAAGCGAGCCACGAAGTCTCAGCTAGAGCCGTCATACTGGAGGATGAACCTTGAATCCCCCGTTTTGTTCTCCTCTGCAGTGCGGTCCATGTTGCTGTCTACAACAGAGGACGTTTTGTGCCTCGAGATCGGACCTCATTCGGCACTGTCGGGTCCTCTTCGCGATATCATTAAGTCCGTCGACTTACAGAACTCTGTCATATACGTGCCCACTCTGCTCCGGAAACAGAACAGTACCCAGTCACTGCTTTCTTGCTTGGGACAACTCTTCCAGTATTCCGTCCGCGTCGACATACCGACCACACCGGAGAGCACTGTTCTCATCGACCTGCCCAATTACCCCTGGCAACGCGAGGAAACGTACTGGAACGAAAGCCGTGTATCGCGGGAATGGCGTCTGCGCAAGTTTCCTCCACACGAACTTCTCGGCATCCGTGTTCTTGAGAGCGACAGTACAAGACCAACGTGGAGGAACGTGCTGAAATTGAATGATGTCCCTTGGATCACAGACCACCGGATCAAGGACGACATCGTGCTTCCAGCTGCCGCTTATTTGTCCATGGCCGGAGAAGCGGTTCGACAAATTGCAGACCGTCCGATGACCGATTTCTCTCTCCGACAAGTCAACATCAAGGCTGCGCTTGTCCTACTGGAAGCGGATGGCACGGAGATCATGACACATTTAGCCCCCATGCGCCTCACATCAAGTCTGGATTCTGCCTGGTACGAATTCACCATCGTCTCTCAGCGTGGCACCGCCTGGGTCGAACACTGCAGCGGACAGGTCAAAGCTGGCAACGGAGTGGCCATCATCGTGGATGACATGGAAACTCCTAAACACCCTCGACTCGTATCAAGCCAGGCACTATACAGGAGTATGAGCAGCGTTGGTCTCAATTACGGCCCTCGGTTCCAAGGACTGAAGGACATCTCTACAAAGCCAGGCTCGGGCTGTATCACAGCGAGCATTGACGATGACCATGACCCAAGCGAAGACAGCTACCTGCTGCACCCGACCACAATAGACTTCTGTTTACAGCTACAAATTGTTGCAGCAGCAGAGGGACTCCCGCGTCAAATCAAGCACATCTGCATGCCTACATACATTGAAGAAATGTATGTAGGGCAAGGCTCCTCGGAGATGCTGATCACAGGGCATGCCACCTCATCGTTTAAGGGAGATATTCATGGCTCCGCGAAAGCAACAGGAGATGATGTCTTGGCATTGTCGATAAAAAACGCACGCTTCAGCGTTCTTAACGACAGTGGCCCTGGCCAAGATATAGATACGGTGGCGGCAGCACCGCTACAGTGGAAACCCGACGTGGATTTTGAGTCCCCGGCTGATCTCATCCGTCCGCGCAAGTGTCTCCGGGAGGTGTTGTCGAAGCTCGAGAGACTCACCCTTCTATCCATTGTCAAGACTCTTCATCTTGTCGAGGACACACAGATCACTGGTCATCTGTACAGGTTCCGCTACTGGCTAGCAGATCAGCGTACAAGAGCCGCAAAGGGCCTGTATCGCCATGTCAGCGATGCCAAGGCATTGGCCTGTCTCACTGAGCCAGAACTGTCTATGGAGATCGAGGCCACAATGGAAGACGTGCGGAGAACGAGTGGCCTGGAGGTTGCCGAACTCATTGAGAGAGCCACGTCAAACGCCCCGAGGATTTTCAACGGCGGTGTCAAACCAATAGAGGTTCTGATGAAGAACGACGGCCTTGGGAATATCTACAAGTTCATCCAGTCCCTCTGTGATGCGACGCCGTTTTTCGAGCTTTTAGGTCACGCCAACCCGGGAATGAAGGTACTGGAGATCGGCGCCGGGACCGGAGGCACCACGGCGGAGATCCTCCGTGGGTTTACCAGCGATGTGGGCGAGCGCACGTATGCGCAGTTCGACTTCACAGATATCTCCACTGGCTTCTTCGCGGCAGCGCAAGAAAGGTTCAAAGGCTACAGCAATATCGACTACAAGGTGCTTGATATCAGCAAGGACCCGACTGCGCAGGGCTTCGAGGCCGAATCTTACGATTTCATCATTGCGTCGAACGTTAGTAACCCATCCAACCAAAGCATCAGGCTCATCTGACGTGTCTTTAGGTCCTTCATGCCACTCCACGTATCCAGACAACACTGAGGAACGTGCGCAAGCTAATCAAGCCGGGTGGCAGACTCTTCCTTCAAGAGCTGAGTCCAGGTAAGAGTGGGAGAGATTAGTAGTCGGTCAAGGCATATGTTGGCTAACTAACCATTACCAGAATGGCGCATGATCAACTTTATCATGGTAAGAAAAAACCTCCACGAGTCTATAGATGTACCACTCACAGAAGAAAAGGGCTTCCTCCCTGGCTGGTGGCTAGGTGTATCGGACGACCGACCCGAACCATATATTTCTCCAGCTCGATGGGACTTGGAGCTGCGGGACGCCGGCTTTTCGGGGACCGATGCTGTGGTATACGACGACGAATATCCCTATCAGATCAACGCTAACATGATCTCGTCGACAACTGTTCCGGCCCTCCCACCCAAAGATGTTTCCATTCTTGCTGGGCCTGGCTCTGTTCCAGCCAGTCTCCTACAAGAAACTCTAGCCATGCGTGGCTACAGGGTGCACCTATCATCTCTTGATGACGTCCCAAAACCCGACATGGATGTCATTTCGCTTCTGGACCTGGAGTCGCCCTACTTCCATGACATCTCGGATGAGAGATTGAAGAAGTTGCAAGCCTACTTGAGTGCGCTGTCCCCCGCCACTGACATCTTGTGGGTCACTGGACATTCCCAAGTCAGCTGCGCCGACCCGCGTTACGCCATGTGTATCGGCGCCATACGGACCGTTCGTTCGGAACTCTCGTTAGAGATTGCCACGTTGGAAATCGACGTCCGAAGTGCTCTCGACACTGAGAAGGTTGCTGATGTGTTCCTCAAAATAAGACGCCGGTCGTCGCCCTCGGGCTTGGATCCCGATAGAGAGTTCGCAGTGCTTGGCGATAGGATCGTCATCCCGCGGTACAACTGGATCAACGTGCGTGAGAAGCGCGTTAGAAGTACTGAAAACAGCACAGTGAAGCTCGAAACAGGTCGTGCAGGACAGCTTCGAAGCCTGCAGTGGGTGCCCAAGGCCGTCGTTGACCTGAAGGACCACGAGATTGCAATCGAGCCCATTGCAGTGGGAATGAACTTCAAGGTAGGTTCTGCGGTTAATGGGACCTTTGACCAAGGATACTGACATGAGATAGGACATAATGGTGTCTATGAGGCTGATCGAGACGGCCACACCCGACCTCGGGTTGGAATGCGCCGGTATAGTCCGCGAGATTGGACCTGGGGTTGAAGATTACAACGTGGGCGATCGAGTCATGGCATTTTCTCACGGCTGTTTTGCCTCACGGATCGTTTGCTCGACAGACGAAGTGGTCACCATGCCGGAAACACTCTCCTTTGAGGAGGCTGCAACGGTGCCTTGTGTCTACTCAACCGTGATACACTCGTTGCTCACTGTCGGGGGCCTTGAACGAGATCAGGTAAGGGCGTTTGAACACGGGATTGAGAGGCGACATGCTAAACAAATTGCTCTAGTCCGTATTGATCCATTCCGCAAGTGGCGGTGTCGGAATTGCCGCAATACAGATCTGCAAGATGATTGGAGCCAAGGTAGTTCGGACCCTGTCATCAACAACTTGTTGAGTTGTGCTAACATCAAAATCCAGATATATGCCACAGTTGGAAGTCCTTCCAAGGTTCAGTCTCTTGTGGATGATTTCGGCATACCACGGAGTCACATCTTCAGCTCAAGAGACCCGTCCTTCTACTCGGGTGTCATGGCCTCGACCAAGGGTTCGGGTGTTGATTTGGTGTTGAATTCCCTGTCAGGCGAGCTCCTACACCTCTCGTGGAAGTGTGTTGCCAAGTTCGGCAAGATGCTGGAGCTCGGAAAGCAAGACTTTCAAGGCCACGCGATGCTTGGGATGGATACCTTTGAGGCGAACCGGACCTTTTGCGGAATCGACCTTGCGCAGCTGGCTCTGGAGAGACCAAAGGTTCTCAGAGGGTACGTAACAGCACATCCGGACTTGATCTCGCTTCAGGTATTAACGAACCGCAGGCTACTCCAACGTTGCAAGGGCCTTCTTGAGGAGGGCAGTATCAAGCCTGTCAAGCCGATCACCAGCTTCAAAGCACAGGACGTTGTCGAGGCCTTTAAGTATCTGCAAGCAGGAAGCCACATTGGAAAGGTAGTGGTCACAATGCCCGATCACATCAGCGAGCTACCGCTGGCGTCCGTTGCTCCCAAAACCCAGTTCCGCCACGATGCGTCGTACCTACTGATCGGCGGTCTCGGTGGGCTTGGTCGCACTATCTCAACGTGGATGGTAGAGAACGGCGCTCGTCACATGGCCTATCTATCGAGGTCGGCGGGACAGTCGAACCGGGACAAAGCATTTATCCACGAGTTGGAATCTCAGGGTTGCACGGTGCAGTGCTTCATTGGGAGGGTCGAGGACCCAGAGGCCGTGACGAGGGCAGTCCAAAGAGCGTCCAAGCCCATAGCAGGAGTGCTTCATATGTCTTTGGTGCTGAGGGTACGGAACCCATCCACCCTTCTCGTAGAACTGTGCAGAGAAGCTGACCATTCAATGCAACGTCTAGGACCGTAATATTCTGAATTACACCCACGAAGACTGGCACGCAGCGATCAAGCCAAAGGTGGACGGCGCATGGAACCTACACCATGCGTTAGCCGATACGAAACTGGACTTCTTTGTCCTTTTCAGTTCGATCTCCTATGTTATCGGCCAAGCAGGTCAGGCCAACTACGCTGCCGCGAATGGATTCCTCGCCGCTTTTGCCCAATATCGCCATGCGCAGGGCCTCCCGGCGTCTGTCTTGGACATTGGGATCATGGAGGGCGCCGGGTACATTTCAGAAAACTCGACTGTTCTTGAACACTTCAAGGCGCTGAACTACCACACGCTGAAAGAGGAAGACCTCCTGAAAGCCTTGGCACACTCGTTAACGCACCAGGATTCACCGAAGCCGGCATCCGATGGAAAATACGTCAACGTGGCCCACATCGCAGTCGGCCTGGGCAGCAGCAAGGCTCTTGATGACCCAAGCAACCGGATCTCATGGAAGAGGGATGTCCGAATGACGGCAGCTCACATTAAGGACTCGGCAATGACATCACAGACGGCGCCGGAAAGCCGGGGTCTCGCTCAGTTCTTGGGCGGGCTCGCTTCAAACCTAGCCGCGCTGGATACGACAGAGACACGGGATTTCCTGACGGCCCAAATCGGCGAGTCCATATATGGGATGATGATGAAGAAGAAAGAGGACATTGATGTGGACATACCCCTCGCCGTCCTTGGGGTCGATTCGCTTGTCGCAATTGAGATTCGCGATTGGTGGCATCGCACCTTTGGCTTACATGTCAACGTATTGGAAATCATGGGGGCTAGTAGCATTCGGATGCTTGGCATAATGGCAGTGGATGGTATCAAGCAGGCTCGGCTTCGCTGAATCATCGGGAACGGAACGTGAATTGAGTAGTCAGGTTGTCTTTGCCTATGCACAGACACCGGCGTAGAGGGACTAAGCTTTCGCTGTCTTGTATATGTTTGATTTTGTATGTCACAATCATCGGTGAGATTGTCTATTCCTGCTTGTCTGGTGTGTAGCGATGAAATCAGCTTGCACTGGAGTAGCAAGTGTTTTACCATGAGACTACTGCGTGTATAGTATTTACCATTGGAAGCACAGATTTACATTTAGTACGAGGGGTATTGTAGTAGTTGCAATGGGAGGTCGAGGCAGGGTGAACTGCTCTCTAAACGCATTGCTCAGGGATATTGTTACAGAATCCATGCCAAATATCAACATGATTTTATCCTATTACATTGATAAGACCTCGATATAATCAAGTTCTTTCCAGGCCATCCAATTTACCAAAAAGCCACATCGTACGTTGACAAAGGCTCAAATCAGCCAAGTCGCTTGACTTGAGACCTACTATTAGATCTTCAGTTGGAGGAGGTCTGGATAGACAGGAATTTCAGACTCAGGCGAGATGTCGAGTTTACTGGCCTGTTCTATGCGAGAACAACAGCAGGAAATCACTACTGAACAAGTCAAAATCAATAATTTGTACACAGAAGTTCCATATACAGGCTGGAGAAAATGGATATCTTTTCTCTTGCATTACTCTCTGTTGACTTCAAGGCGCCCAGGGGCCCGTATGTTTCGGTGGTTTGCCTATTTGCTTTTCCCTTCTCGGTGCCTCGCACCCTTCTAAGCTTCAATGGACCATCGATGGCTACCTAGTACGAATTGAATTAGGCATCAGCGTTACCCCCAATCCGTCTGAAAGGATTCTATATACCACTGCTGGATGACGCTGAATCCGGCGATATGGATTCTTCATGCCTGGTAGACGCGATGCAGCCCTGCGTGCGACAAGCCTGCCTTGGGCTGAGGCAGGCGGCAGCAAGCCAAGGGATCCGCGAAGGTGGGAAGCCCCTTGTCATGGTCGAATCGGGAAAGTCTGTAAGACGAATATTACCAAATATTGCCAGAGAAGAGCTTCTGCCCTTCCTTCTGGGCCGACCCTACTGACGTTTGGATGACTATCCGGCTTACTGTCCGGAACGCCAACCCCAATCGGGCCACGGCCCCAACCGTCCTTCCGGGCCGCCCCCGGCCCGCAGACTCCACACCTCCGTCTCGGACCTGGCTCGGGTGGCTGCAAGACCCCAGGTCGTTGTCAGCTTCTGAAGCCGCTCTGCCTGTGAGGCGTCCCGAGGACAACAGTGATTGGATATGTCAACCGCTAAACATGGAATGGGAATAGACTAGAACAGGCCGCAACCAAAATGATGGAGCACGCAGTGATCATGGCGGCGTCCAAATTGGGGCTTTCTGGATCTGTGGTGTGGATGAGATGATGAGACCATCTCGAGTCTGACAAGCACTTCTGTAATATCCGTATTACTGTTTGTCGGCCCACAAGTTGCCACACTTCAGCCTTGCGTGGATGGTGGCAAGAATAGTATCCCGTGTCATGACCACAGCGTCTAGGGACTTAGTAGAGCCCGTATTCATGCGCTTGCTGTTTCCCGCTCTTTCTGAGAGCCAACACTTCTCAACATTGCGGTTCCTTCAGCTCTGCGCCCTAGTCACGATCAATCACTCAACAAGATAGACGCTTCTTTACCTTGGGAAACAGCGCAAGAAGGAGAACAGTTAACGCTTCATAACCGACCGCGCACGATCCGCGCTGACTGTACGAACGCACACGGAAACAAAAATCTAAGAGCAGTGGCCAAAATGAGAGTTGTATCGCCGTTCGTCATCGAGCAGCAGCTGGTTGGGGACGATGCCATCGATCAGGTCCGTGTTCTACGGGTGCCTGCAACTGATGGGGCCGAAGCTCAACTGGCCGTTGCTGTCTCTTTGGCGAAATCCGGCGTTGGGGACGAGACGGAGGTTTCCATTATCAAGCGAGTCCGAAAGGACTTGGTCAAGAGGATGAAAGTGGCCACCAACGGAGACTGGGTCGACAGAAGCGCGATCCCGAAGAAATGGATCATTCTCAAGGAACTCCCCGTGGACGCGTCTGGGGACGTGGACAGCAACGCTCTCCGACAGCAGCTGAGTGCCAAGCAAGACGCAAGCGTGCCCTTGACCAAGAGACAGAAGTTGAGGCGTGCCATTGCGGCCACCCTGCGTCTGCCTCGCTCCGACGTTGTTCCCTCGGCCTCCTTCATCCGTCTCGGCGGCGACTCCATCAGCGCCATCGAAGTCATGGCACGCGCCCTGGATGATCAGGTCGCGGTACACGTAAGCGACATTATGCGCTGCGAGACCTTCGAAGAGCTTGTCGCAACGGCCACCACCGAGGACGCCGTTGTGGCCCGCGGCGCCGCCGAAGCCCGGCCCTTCTCTCTCGTTTCGGAGCTCGATCTCGACCCCTTTTTGGCCAGCGCTCGCGAGCAGTGCCACCTGTCTAGTGAGGCTTCCATCGAGGATGCCTATCCCCTTACGAAACTCCAAGAGGGCTTTATGGCCCTGGCAACGAGACAAGAAGGCTCCTATATCAGCAAATATGCCTTTCCCCTGCCCAAGTACATCGACGCCGTCCGATTCCGGCGAGCCTGGGAGAAGACGCTGTTGCTGTGCACGAACCTGCGTACGCGGATGGTCTTTTTCGGCGGTTCATCTTACCAGGCTGTCGTCAAAGAACCTGTTGTCTGGGACGAGACCTTGGGAAGCACCGTGGCATCGGCCGTCGACGCGATGAACAGCGCCAAGATGACGTACGGATCGCAGCTATGCCGCTACGGATTAGCCAAGGACTCTGACGACCAGGACTATTTCATCTGGCTCATCCATCATTCCATCTACGATGGCTGGTCGATGCGCCTCATTGTCGAAACGCTCCATCGTCTGTACTATGGAGCTGAAATCCCGCCCATGTCCCCCTTTTCGGGAATCATCGACTACGTGCAGAACATAGACCTGGACTCCGCTAGCGTTTATTGGAAAGCCCAGCTCGCCGACGCGAAGAGACCGACGTTTCCTCTCGTCCCGTCCAGCATGACAACTTCGTCGACGAACAACGGCGCCGTGGAGACGGTGACACGACTCGAGAAGCACATGATTCCCCTGCAAAACTCAACTGGAGTGGCGTTGACCAGAGCAACTGTCATGCGCGCCGCGTGGGCTTTACTACTGGCGCGATACTGTGATTCGGACGATGTTTGCTTCGGCACCACCGTCTCCGGTCGTCAAGCACCCGTCCGGGGCGTCCAGAGGATTCCTGGTCCGCTCATTGCCAGTGTCCCTGTTCGTATTCGGCTTCATCGCACGCAGTCTGTCGTCGCCTTTCTACAAGGCATCCAGGACCAAGCAAACGAGATGACGGCCCATGAGCAATATGGCCTGCAGAGTATCGCCAAGCTCAGTCCCGAAGCGCAGGATGTCTGCGACTTTTCCAGTCTGCTCGTTATCCAACCGGACAGAATCCTCGGCTACCCGGACGTTGCCGGCCTTCGGGTGTTGCTTCCTTTGAACGAGGCAAACTTCGGCCCCGATCAGATGCTGGAGGGTTACTACAACTACCCTCTTGTGCTGCAGGTCCATTTGTTTGAACATCAGGCAGAGCTCTCTGTGACCTACGACTCACGAGTTTTGTCTCAGGCCCAGGTGCAAGCGCTGTGTTACCAGTACGACCACGTTGTCCAGCAGCTGCTTAATCCCAAGGATAGTGTGCTGGGAGACATTGCCCTGGCTGGGCCGTGGGATATGGAGCAAGCTCTCGAATGGAACAGCGATGAAGACCCGGAAATCGTTTCGTCCTGCGTCCATGAGCTCATCCACGAACACGCACAAATTCGACCAGATGCGCCAGCGATTTCCGCCTGGGATGGCGAACTGTCGTATCGCCAGTTGGACGAGGCAGCAGACAGGCTTGCTTTATACATGCTTTATAAGTTTGGTCTCGTAGAGGATAGTCTCGTCCACGTGTGTTTTGAGAAATCTGTTTGGTTCTTTGTCTCCATACTGGCGATCAATAAGGCGGGCTGTGCCTGGGTTCCCCTCGACCCTGCGCATCCGCTCGATCGTCAAAAACAGGTGGTACATCAAACACAGGCAGGGCTGGCATTGTCATCCCCCACGACAAGAAGCATATGCGCAGACATAGTGCCTCACATGCTGGTGGTCTCATCCGACTTGGATGCAATGCTTCAGGGGAACTCGTCGCTCCAAGTCGACACTACGACCACGGGCCGCTCTCTTCCCAAGGTCAGCCCCCGCACGGCATCGTACGTGCTGTTCACGTCTGGTAGCACGGGAACGCCGAAAGGCTTGGTGATGGAGCACGAGTCCGTCTGCACCAGTCAAAGATGCATTGGCCAAAGAGTAGGCATATCCCCTGCCACGCGGATGTTGCAGTTTGCATCATACGTGTTCGACGCCTGCATCGGAGAAGCAATCGGGACCCTTACAGCCGGTGGCTGCGTCTGCGTACCGTCTGATGAAGTACGCATGAACAACATCGCCGACTTCATCACCCAAAACTCGATCAACACCGCCCTGCTCACACCGTCCTTTGTCAGAACGATTCGACCTGCCGACGTGCCATCCTTGCGGGTCCTGATGCTTGCCGGTGAAGCCGTTGGACGAGACATCCTCGATGCGTGGTTTCAACCCGGCAAGATCCGGCTGTTCAACGGCTGGGGCCCGGCAGAAACCTGCGTCTTCAGCACTCTCCATGAGTGGCAATCTGTGGACGAGTCTCCACGCACCATCGGGAGGCCTGTCGCTGGCTTCTGCTGGATCGTCGACCCGTCGAACCCGGAGCGCCTAGCGCCAGTAGGCTGTCTGGGCGAAGTCGTCATCCAGGGTCCTACAATCCTGAGAGAATATCTGGCTGACCCGACTCGTACTGCGGAGAGCACATGGGCCTCACCGAGTTGGGCCCCGAGACGCGAGATGCCCCGCTGGAGTCGCATCTATCGATCCGGGGACTTGTGCTCCTACAACTCCAACGGCACAATCGAATTTTCCAGCCGAAAGGATACTCAGGTCAAGATCCGTGGGCTCCGTGTCGAGCTCGGCGAGGTCGAGTTCTGCATCAGAGCTGCGCTGGAGGGGGCCTGCCAAGTCGTTGTGGACGTGTTCAAGACGGACGCTGGTGCCGTGAATCTCGCGGCTTACTTTTGCTTCACCAACGATACGAAAACCACGAACAAGTCGGGCAGCAACTGCAGTGACATGTTTCTCCCTCTTACGGACGATTTGGCACAGCGGATCAACCATGTAATCGGGGAGCTCACCGTCAAGTTACCTCGGTACATGGTTCCGGCCCTCTTCATTCACTGTCGCTACATGCCGGTCATTACCTCCACCAAGATCGATCGTAACATGCTGAAACGACACAGCTCCTCGCTTTCGAGGGCGGAGTTGTCCACGTATTCTTTGCAGGGAAGCAAGAAGCGTGCCCCGGAGACCGCCATCGAGCTCAAACTGCAGCGACTCTGGGCGGACGTTCTTCAGATCCCGGTTGATTCCATTGGCTTGGACGACAGCTTCCTGCGCATCGGCGGTGACTCAATCGCAGCCATTCGCCTCGTTGCTCTAGCCCGAGGCGCCGGGATCAAGCTCGCGGTCAGAGACATCTTTGATGACCCCAGGCTTCTTGGCATGGGTGAGCGGGCTTTGGCCGGGGTGCACGATGAGTGGCACGCGGATAAGGCAGAAATTCTGCCGTTCAACCTCTTGTCTGAGCCGTTGCGTAAGGTCTTCACCCAAGTATCAGAGTCAACCGTCGACACCCATGATTCTGCTTTGGTCAACGCTACAATCCTGAAGCAGTGCTCGCTTTCGAGCAACCAAGACATCGAGGATGCCTATCCTTGTACCAAGCTCCAGGAGGGATTCGCTGCACTCGCCATCAAGCAGACTGGGTCCTATAAGGGAAGATACGTGTACAGGATCCCGCCACATGTCGACATTGCCCGGTTCAAGGAATCTTGGGCCCGCACCGTCGCCCTTTGCCGGAATTTACGGACGAGGATCACCTTTGCGGCGGGGCCTTCGGTCCAGGTGGTTGTCAAGGACGAGTTTGCCTGGGACACGACCGAGGACTGCAACCTCCTCGACGCAATCAGTGTTCTAGGCGGAATCGAGATGACAGAAGGGTCGAGAATGTGTCGGTATGGCTTGGCCAGGGACACCAACGATGAACTGTACTTCATCTTGGTTATTCACCACGCTGTCTACGATGGCTGGACGATGCGTCTGGTCATCAACACCGTGAACCAGGTCTACACAAACGACAAGAGCCCGAATCTTACGCCATATAACCACTTCATCAAATACGTCACTACCATGGACGATGAAAGAAGCGCTGAGTATTGGAAGAAGCAGCTCGAGAATGCCAAACAAGCAACATTCCCACCCATTCCCGGGTCTCTCTCATCCCGAACAGGGGGGAACGTGACTCGGGTTCTGCGGAAGACCATTCAACTCTACCGCCCTCCCGACTCATCATCCTCGATAACCAAGGCAACGATCCTTCGTGCTGCATGGGCGATGCTCCTGGCGCGGTGCTGCGACACGGACGATATCTGCTTCGGGACTTCGGTATCCGGCCGGCAGGCGCCTGTGCATGGCATCGAAGCCATAGCCGGGCCTCTCGTCGCCACGGTGCCGGTTCGAGTGCGTCTGGACCCTTCCAAACAGGTCTCGGAATTTCTTCAGCAAGTTCAGCAACAGTCGACAGAGATGACAGCTCACGAACAGTTTGGTCTGCAGAACATCCTCAAGGTTAGCACCGATGCCCGTGACGCTTGCGAGTTCTCCAGTCTTTTGGTCGTTCAACCGGCGCAGCTGGTCAAGTTCTCCGAGGACGACTCCGAGAACCCCGTCTTGGAGAACGTGAGCTCGGAATACTTTGGACAGGAAGAGCTCCTGGAAGGCTACTTCAACTACCCGCTCGTCGTTCAGGGTCTTGTGCACGAGACGTGCGTCGAGCTTGTGATGGTCTACGACTGTCGCAGCATCTCCGAACCTCGGGTCAAGGCACTCTCACGCCAGCTCGACCATGTCGTTCAACAGATGAATGCAGAGAAGACCGTCCTGGGCGACATCACCATCGCAGGGAGGTGGGATCTGGAGCAGGCCACCGCCTGGAACAACCACGACGGGGCGGGCCCCAACATCATCAATGCCTGTGTTCATGACTTTGTCCAGCAGCACGCAGCCAAAACCCCGGATGCTCTCGCTGTCAGGGCCTGGGATATGCAGCTCACTTATGCCCAGCTCGACAGCGCCGCCAACAGACTGGCACACCACCTTGTTGACCAGTATAACGTCAAGGAGGACGAGTTCGTCCACGTTTGCTTCGAGAAGACAGCCTGGTTCTTCGTTGCCATCCTCGCCATCAACAAAGCTGGCGGTGCTTGGGTCCCGTTAGAGCCATCGCACCCCGAACAACGTCAGGTGCAGGTCGCCCAACAGACCGGAGCTCGGTTGGCCTTGGCCTCCCCCGCCAATGTTGATATATGTCGTCGTCTGGTCGACAAGGTGGTCCAAGTCTCTGTTGAGCTCGATGACGAGTTGAGAAGCACCCTTGGGGAGTGCAGCCTCCAGCCACCACAGCGTGACATCACACCGAGCAACGCCGCATATGTTCTGTTCACGTCGGGAAGTACAGGAGTCCCCAAAGGCCTGGTCATGGAACATGAGTCCGTATGCACCAGCCAAATAGCCATCGGAAAGCGCGTCGGCCTGCACAGGGGCGCTCGTATGCTCCAATTCGCGTCATACGTCTTCGATGCTTGCATCGGGGAGACCGTTGGCTCGTTCATCGCCGGCGCCTGTGTGTGCGTGCCGTCTGACGAAATGCGGATGGACACTTGCCGCCTCACAGAATTCATTCGAGAAACAGATGTCACTTGGGCGCTGCTCACCCCGGCTTTCATCCGTACCATCCAGCCTCACGAGGTCCCCAGCTTGCAAGTGCTCATGCTAGCTGGCGAGGCCGTGGGCCGAGACATCCTGGAGACGTGGTTCGGCAAGGTCCATCGCCTGTTCAACGGCTGGGGCCCTGCCGAGACGTGCGTGTTCAGCACATTGCATGAATGGAGCTCATCCAGCGAGTCCCCCTTGACCGTCGGTCGACCAGTGGGCGGATTCTGCTGGATCGTGGATCCAAACGACAGCAGCCGTCTCGCACCAACGGGCTGCATCGGCGAGATCGTGATCCAGGGCCCTAGCATCCTCCGCGAGTACCTCTCCAGCCCCGAACAGACAGCCAAGTTTGTCGTGGAGGCACTTCCCGAATGGGCTCCGCGAAGCTCTCTGCGCCGATGGAATCGTTTTTACAAGTCAGGAGACCTGGGTTACTACAACGCGGATGGGACTATCGAGTTTTCCAGCCGAAAGGACACGCAAGTCAAGATCCGCGGCCTCCGCGTGGAGCTGGGAGAAGTCGAGCAGCACATCCGGGAACTTCTGCAGCCTGTACAGCACGTCATCGTCGACGTCTACAGAGCGAACGGCATGGCCAACCTCGTCGCTTTTTTCACCTTGGACGAGGGACAGCAGCCGCGGTTGTCAGGAGGAGAGAGTCTCTTTATGCCACTAACACCGGCATTGGAGCAGCGCATGACGACTCTCCACGGACAGCTCAGCATTCGACTCCCTCGTTATATGGTCCCCACGCTGCTTATTCCCTGTCGGTTCATGCCAGTCATCACGTCGACCAAGATTGACCGGAAGAAACTGATACAGCTGAGTGGCCAACTTGACGAGAAAGCGCTAACTGCCTACTCACTTAGCAACAGTAAGAAGAACCCACCGCAGACTCCCAACGAGGTCTGTCTCCAAGGCATCTGGGCCCGCATTCTCAAGGTCAAGCCCGAGTCCATCGGCCGCGATGATAGCTTTTTGCGTATCGGTGGCGACTCCATCGCGGCGATCCGCTTGGCATCTCTGGCCCGCAGGGCCGGCCTTGAGGTCAAAGTCCAGCATGTATTTGACGATCCTCGACTGAGCGCCGTCAGCGAGCGGGCTGTGCCACTGGGAGAAGACGACGACGGTTCGAGCGCACCAATCACGCCGTTCAGTCTGCTCGAGCAGCCTCACAGGTCAGCCATCGAGGCCCAGGCCGTCGCACACCGTCAAGGGCCGAACGGATATGCATCGCTTCGTGTCCAATGTGGCCTGCCGGACGACATCGTTATCAAAGACGCCTATCCCTGTTCCAAGCTTCAGGAGGGTCTCATGGCTATTTCCGAAAAGGATCCGGGCACTTACATCGCGAGATACGTCTACAAGCTTCCGACATATGTAGACGTGGCCAAGTTCAAAGCCGCTTGGGAGCACATACTGTCTATCTGCGGCAACCTTCGTACCCGCATTGTCTTCTACGAGAACAGGCATGTCCAGCTTGTTGTCGAAAACGACACAGAATGGGATTCATTAACTGGCTCCGACCTCGCCAGCGCTGTTCGTATCTCTCGCACTGCCAAGATGTCGTACGGCTCGAAACTCTGCCGCTACTCTCTTGCCACGGCCGACGACGGCAGCCATTACTTCGTATGGACGTTTCATCACGCCATCAACGACGGATGGACAATGCGCTTAGTGATGGACTTGCTCCATCAGACCTACCGTGACACCGTCTCACTGAGTAGACCCCAGCCATATTCGCACTTCATCCGATATGTGAGCAACATGGATCGAGACACCGGCTTGATCAACTACTGGAGAGAACAGCTACACGGCGCCAGTCGTGCCAGCTTTCCGTCCCAGTTGGCTGTCCACCAGGATCGCTCGGTCCGTTCTTTCAAAAAAGCCGTCGACTTCCCCCCTTCCAACCACTTCTCATCCGCTACAAAAGCCACCGTCCTTCGTGCAGCCTGGGCAATTGTCCTTGCACGATACTGCGAAACTGACGACGTGACCTTCGGGACGACCGTGTCAGGAAGACAAGCATCTATCCGCAACGCAGAAGCCATTGCTGGCCCCCTCGTAGCAACTGTGCCGGTCAGGGTCCGCCTCGACAAAGAGCAGTCGGTGGCCGACTATCTGCGGTCGATTCAGCAACAGGCGTCCGACATGGTCGCCTATGAGCAGTTTGGTCTGCAATCCATCTCGAGGCTAGGTCCCGAGTTTGAGGCCGTGTGCAACTTCTCGAGTCTTTTCGCAGTCCAGCCGGCCGAGCAGCTTGCCGACCCCGGAGACGGTACGGAGCCAATCGTGGTACCTGCGAATGCCGAGGTGTTTGGCTACGACGAACTTTTGCAAGGCTACTTCAACTACCCACTTGTTGTCGAGGGTCTTGTGTACGATGACCGGGCCGAGGTCCTCCTCATCTATGACACGGGCTTCCTCGGCGAGGACCAAGCCTGTGCGCTGTCAAACCAGATCAACCATGTTGTAGGACAGCTCCTATCTCAGGGGGACGCCCGTCTCGGTTCCATCTCGGTGGCCGGACCATGGGACCTTGAAAAGGCAGTAACCTGGAACGTTGAGACTCCAGAGTTTGTTCGGGACACCCTCCACGGTCTGTTCCGGCGGCAGGTTGAGCGAACTCCAGAGAGAGAAGCCGTCTGGGCATGGGACGGCAGCCTCTCCTATGCCACCTTGGACGAGCTCTCGACACGTCTGGGCGTCTATCTTGTCAACCTCGGCATCCAGCCTAACACATGGATTCCGATCTGCTTCGAAAAGTCCATGTGGGCCATTGTGGCGATGCTGGGAATCCTCAAAGCAGGGTGCGCATTCGTACCCCTCGACGGTGACCATCCTGCACAGCGCCGAAAGGCAGTGGTTGAAGACCTGATGCCCGCTGTCATAGTTACATCCGCAGCGATGGCGCAGTCGAACATGGACCTTGGGTGTCAGGTCGTGAGCATCTCTCCCGAGCTTATGGCAACGCTGCCTGTCTCCGGCCATGTTCTTCATCCCGCCAACAGCACCTCCCCAGAACTCGCCTACACCATCTTCACCTCTGGATCAACGGGAAAGCCCAAGGGCATTGTTGTAGACCATCAAAGCATCTGCACCAGTGTTATGGCCCAGGGAAGAATTCTTCGACTCGCCGAGGGAGGCGATTGCCGCTTCCTGCAGTTCGGCAACTACGTATTCGACGCGTGTATCACAGAGATTTTCACATGCCTTGCGTTCGGCGGCACCACCTGCGTTCCATCCGACACTGAACGCCTCCAGGATATTACCGGATTCATGACGAGAGCCCGGGTTACCGTCGCCCTACTGACACCTTCGTTTGCCGGGACGTTCGGTCCGGCCGACGTTCCGACCTTGAAGACGCTGCTTCTCGGCAGCGAACCGGCAACTAAGAACATCATCAAGACATGGCATGGCCACGTAAAGCTAATGAATCTCTACGGCCCCACGGAGACCTGTGTCTTTTGTACCGCCTATGAGTATCCATCACCAGATGCTTCACCGGTCAACATTGGCCGGGGCTTCAGCAACCGTTGCTGGGTTACAGAGCCGGAAGGAAACACTTTGGCACCTATCGGGTGTGTTGGTGAGCTGGTTGTAGAAGGACACGCTCTTGCTCGAGGCTATCTCAACGATGCGACGCGGACACAAGAAGCGTTTCCGGAGACCGGCGACCTGACCTGGCTGTCCGATGGCGCCCACGGCGCTTCTTCCGTCGGACGCCGCGCCTACAGGACCGGTGATCTGGTGAGGCAAGAAGCCGACGGATCACTGCTATATATCGGCCGCAAAGACATCCAGGTAAAGCTGCGAGGTCAGCGCATGGAGCTTGGCGAAATTGAGAACCATGTAAAGGATCTCTGCCCCGACGTGTGTCAAGTTGCGGCCGACGTTGTTCAACAGGAATCCGGAGATGTCCTGGTGGCGTTTGTGTCTTTCGAAGACAACATGCCAACAGAGTCATTGTCAGAGGATATCGAGCACGAGATCGTCCCCATGACAGACGATTTGAAGCAACAGCTCGCCACGCTATCGGAGGACTTACATGGCAGACTGCCAAGCTACATGGTCCCAGCGTTATTCATCCCCTTGCGACAGCTTCCCGTGTTCTTGGCCTCGATGAAGATTGACCGCAAGAAGCTTACTGCCCTAGGCCGCAGCATCTCCTCGCGTCTGGTTGTAACCTTGGCCCCCGGAAACCGAATCAAGACTGAACCCCAGACGGAAATGGAGTTCCAAATCCGTGACGTTTGGGCCCGGCTACTGGGAGTCGATGCTGGCGATATCGGCCGCAACGATAGTTTCCTTCGTATCGGAGGCGACTCACTCAGCGCCATCAGACTTGTCTCTGTCCTGCGACAGTCCGGTATAGCGCTGACAGTTGCGGCCATCTTCCGAGATTCGAGACTGTCATACATGGCCTCGATCGCCACCGTGGAAGAGGAGACCGAAGAAGACGCACGCCCGCGGCCCTTCAGCCTGATCTCTGCCGGAGACCGTACATGTCTCATCTCAGAAGCCTTGAAGGCCTGCGAACTGCCAGAGAATACCGTCATCGAGGACATCTACCCATGCACCCAGCTACAAGAGGGCCTAATGGCTCTGTCTGTCAAGCAGACAGGCTCGTACAGGGCCAAGTTCACATACCAGCTATCAGAGTTCGTTGACAAGGCTCGCTTTATGCGAGCCTGGGACGCCACTCTGGCTTGTTGCGACAACCTCCGCACACGCATTGTATTTGCAGCCGGCTCTTCGTATCAGGTCGTGCTCAAACAAGATATCAGTTGGGAATCGGCAGAGACGAGCGACAGCATTGCGCACGATGAAATGACCTATGGCTCCAGACTCTGTCGCTATGCGCTCGTGAGCAGCAGCGGCGGCTCTACGCGCTTTGTCCTGGCCCTCCACCATGCAATCTATGACGGCTGGGCCATGGAACTGATGATGGAGACGTTGAAGAGCCATTATTACGGAAGTTCCTCACAGGATCTGCCAGCCTACTCTCGCTTTGTCCGTCTCACGACCACCGGACTCGATCACGCAGCGAGTCGGAGGTTCTGGGAAGAAGAGCTGCGCGAAGCGAAGAGGGCAACTTTCCCTCCGCCGGCCGTCTCGTCCACGCGGGAGCATGAGGTCCTGTCCAAGCCGCATACGGAGTCTTTCCGTAGGATCATGAGCTTCCCGCGCTCGACAGCATCCAAAATCACAAAGGCAACTATCCTTCGCGCGGCCTGGGCGATGCTGCTGGCCCGCTACTGCGACTCTGACGATGTCTGCTTCGCCGCAACAGTCTCGGGACGCCAAGCAGCCGTTGAAGGCATCGACAGGATAGTTGGACCTACACTCGCCACCGTGCCTGTTTATGCCCGGGTCGCCGGCGACAGGTCAGTCGAGCAGTACTTGAACGACGTGCAGGACCGGGCAACGGCGACAATACCACATGAGCAGTTCGGCCTGCAGAACATCTCAAGGATCAGCGGCGACATGAAAGATTTGTGCGATTTCACCAGTCTACTCGTCGTCCAGCCGGGCTGGAGCATGGCGTTTGCCGATAACGAAGGCGACGCTAATATCTTACACGAGGCCAGCGACCAGGAGGACGTCGCAGCATCCCAGACCGTCGACGGGCACTTTAACTACCCTCTGGTGATGCAGGGGCGGATTTACGACGAAGAGATCCATTTACTGGCCGTTTACGACTGGTCCGTTCTCGCCAAGTCGCAGATCGAATTGCTTTGCGAACAGCTCAACCACGTGGCACAGCAACTTGTCAAACATCAGGATCACAATACTGCGCTCCGCGATATCACCATCGCCGGACCCGCCGACTTGCAAAAGGTGCTTGCATGGGACAACGAGGAGACGGAGGTCTATGATGCGTGCCTGCACCAGCTCTTTGAGAAACAGGCTCACTTGGCGCCCGATGCGCCAGCCGTCCGTTCCTGGGACGGGAGCTTTACTTACGGCGAGCTCAACGGCGCGGCAAACAGGCTGGCTCACTACCTTGCCGCATTTGGGGTACAGCTAGACGAGCTCGTTCACGTCTACTTTGAGAAATCGGCATGGTACGTCGTCGCCATTCTCGCCGTCAACAAGGCCGGCGGAACGTGGGTGCCCCTCGACCCCTCGCACCCCGACGAGCGGCAGCGTCAGATTGTCTCGCAGACTGGCGCCCGGCTGATCTTGACATCGCCGCGCCATTCGGCAACCTGCCAGAGACTGGCAGAGAGCGTCATTGAGATCTCGCCGGCTCTTGACGAGAATCTCATCAGATACGCGCCTTCTTCCAACACCACCCTCTCTGGCCCCAAGAGTCTTGTCCGCCCCAGTAACGCCGCCTACGTGCTATTCACGTCGGGAAGCACTGGCGTGCCAAAAGGTCTCGTCATTGAACACGGTTCGGTGTGTACAAGCCAAGCTGCCATCGGAAGAAGGCTGCGTATCACTCCAGATGTGCGTATGCTTCAGTTTGCCTCGTACGTCTTCGACCTGTCCATCGGTGAGATCTTTTGTCCGTTGTTACACGGCGCGTCCGTTTGTATTCCCTCCGAGGATTCGAAGATGGGTGATCTCTCTGCATTTGTTCGGGAAATGGACGTCAACTGGGCCATCTTGACACCCTCCTACATTCGGACCACACATCCCGATCGATTCCCCGGCCTGGAGCTGCTTGTCTTGGCCGGCGAAGCCGTGGGACGCGATAATCTGGACACCTGGTTCGGAAAGGTGCGTCTCGTCAACGGCTGGGGGCCGGCCGAGACCTGCGTCTTCAGCGCAGTTCACGAATACAGTTCGCTCGATGACTCGCCGCTGACCGTGGGACGCCCGGTTGGGGGTTACGGATACATCGTCGACCCCGTCAACGCCCACCAGCTCGCCCCGGTTGGTTGTCTTGGGGAGCTTGTCATCCAGGGTCCGACCATAATGCGCGAGTACTTGTCGGATGCTGAGCGAACTGCCGCAGCCACCGTCCCGGCGGCGGACTGGTCGCCTCACAGCACCTCGCCAAAATGGTCGCGGTTCTACAGGTCGGGCGATCTTTGTCGATACAACGCCGAAGGGTCCATCGAGTTCGTCGCCAGGAAAGATACGCAGGTCAAGGTGCGAGGTCTGCGTGTTGAACTGGGCGAGGTCGAGCATAGCATCAGGACTTACTTGGAAGGGGTCGAACAAGTCGCCGTCGACGTGCTGCAAACTCATGGCGCCGTCCACCTCGTGGCTTTCTTCACCGTCGTCGGCGAGGTGGAGAAGACAGAATCCCTCACCACTGACCAGAGCATGTTCTTGTCGCTCTCGGTGGACCTGGAACGCCGCGTCAACGACCTCATCGGCGTGTTGGGCGTCAAACTCCCCCGATACATGATTCCCACCCTGTTCATCCCGTGCCGCTACATGCCTTTCATCACCTCGACGAAACTTGACCGCAACCTCCTCCGACGCTTTGCCCTCCAGCTCGACCATGACCGGATCTCCCGATACGGTCTGGCTAACACGGAAAAGCGTGCCCCGGAAACACTCACAGAGGTGAAGCTGCAGAAGATATGGGCCGAGGTCCTTGCACTACCCCTGGAGACCATCGGCCGGGACGATAGCTTCCTCCGGATCGGGGGTGATTCCATCAGAGCGATTCGACTGGTAAACCTCGCGCGAGAGTCCGGTCTTGGATTGACCGTCAGAGACGTCTTTGCCGACCCACGCCTGTGCGGAATCAGTGCAACGGCCGTGGAAATCGACATACATGCCCTCGAGCAGAACGCTGGCACACGGCATGGGAAGAATGACGTTGTTCCCTTCCAGTTCCTGAGGGAGGATCTCCGAGACATGGTACAATGCCGGTCCCCCAACGATCGCCTACGCGACTTGTGCGGGCTCTCAGAGTCGGATGTCGTCGAGGATGCGTATCCCTGCACCAAGCTTCAAGAAGGCCTCCTGGCCGTCGGCGAGCATCAGACCGGCTCCTACGTCCTCAAGGCCGTCTACCGCCTCCCAGAACTCATAGATCTAGACAAGTTCAAGCCCGCCTGGGAACACGTCGTGTCAGTCTGCGCAAACCTGCGTACAAGGGTCGCCATTGTCGAAGGAGAGGCAATTCAACTCGTCGTCAAAGACGACATCGTCTGGGAGGCAGATGTGAACAGCGGTGCCGATCTACAGTCTATACTCTCGGACATGAGAAAGTCCCGCATGACCTATGGAACGCGCCTGTGCCGTTACGCCGTCGCCGTCGCCGAGGGCGTCCATTACTTCGTGCTGTTCCAGCACCACTCCATCAGCGATGGCTGGACGATGCGGATCATGATGGAAGCCCTCCAGAACGCGTACTACAACGTCGAAATACCGCCTCTGCAATCGTTCGCCGAGTTTGTCGACTACGCGAACAATCTCGACCTGGAAGTCGAGGCTCGATACTGGAACGATCAACTGCAGCACGCCAAGCGGGCCGCTTTCCCGTCTCCTGTGGCGCCGTCGACGACTCCAACGCCCAGAAGCCGGAACGTCACCAAGTCGATGAGGTCCGCGATCGACTTTTCCACGTCGAAATCAGCATCCGTCACCAAGGCCACTGTTGTCCGTGCTGCGTGGGCTATCGTCCTGGCTCGGTATAGTGACACCGACGATATAACCTTCGGATCGACGGTCTCCGGGCGCCAAGCACCCATGCCGGGGCTGGAGAGGATGGTGGGAGCTGCCGTGGCGACCGTCCCTGTCAGGCTCAAGATTGACAAGTCCAAGTCCATCTCCCAGTTCCTACACGGGGTTCAGGATCAAGCTATGGACATGATTGCGCACGAGCAGTTCGGTCTCCGCCAGATCTCCGAGACAGCCCCCGAAGCAAAAGACGCCTGCAACTTTTCCAGCTTGATCGTTGTTCAGCCGATGGAGGAGCTTGACCCAGCCGCTGGACTGAAGAATTCTGTCCTGGCCCCGGTGGACCTCGCCCATCTGACTGGAGAGTCGGATGCTGCATTCCAGGACTATTTCAACTACCCCCTCGTGGTACAGGGGCAGATCTCCGACGACCGCGTTGAGCTGGTTCTCGTATATGACTCCGGGCATCTTGAGTTTGCTCAAATGGAAGCCCTCTCGTCTCATTTCAACAATGTGGTCCAGCAGCTGCTCACAGAAGACGAGAAGCCGGGTTCGCTCGGCAAAGTTTCCGTGTCTGGCCCATGGGACTCTCAGAAGGTCATGTCCTGGAACGGATATGCTACCATGCTTGTTGATACCACCATCCACAAACTTGTTTCAACAAAGGCGGCCGCGCACCCAGAGAAAGAGGCCATCAACAGTTGGGATGGCAAAGCCACATACAACCAACTCGAGTACATGTCGACGGCCTTTGCCAAGTACCTCATCCGCAACGGCCTGAAGCCCGGAGGCATGGTCCCAGTTTGTTTCGAGAAGTCTATATGGACAGCTGTTGCGATGCTGGGTGTCCTGAAAGCGAGGGGTACATTTGTCCCCATTGATCCATCTCATCCTGAAGCTCGGTATCGAGAGGTGATTGAACAAACGGACGCGCAGCTCCTTGTCGCGTCGGTTTCTGCAGCACAGGCATTTAGCCACTTACCGCTACGTGTTGTCACCCTATCGGAGCAGGACATGGGAAGAATCAGCGCACAGGAGGCGAAGAGTAAGGACGAGATCATCCTCCGCGATGCTCGTGGCAGCGATGCTGCCTACGTCCTGTTCACTTCCGGCTCAACAGGCAAGCCCAAAGGAATCGTCGTCCAGCACCATGCAATATGCTCGAGTCTTACGGGTCAAGGCAAGATCCTTGGCCTATCCGAGTCTAGCCGGGTCCTCCAGTTCAGCAACCACGTGTTCGACGCCGTGATAACCGAGATATTTGGGACTCTGATCTTCGGCGGGACCGTCTGCACGCCGTCGGACGCAGCGCGTTTGCAGGATATTCCGGCGTACATGAGAGAGGCAGACGTCAGCCTGGCCCTGCTGACGCCGTCGTTTGTAGAAACATTCACGCCGGCGAGCGTTCCACATCTCGAAACCCTCGTCCTGGTGGGCGAGGCTCCAGCACCGGACTCGATCAGTGCCTGGTATCCTCACCTACGACTTCTGAACGGGTACGGTCCAACCGAGACATGCGTCATATGCATGTTTCACGAGTATCCGTCGCCCGACGCGTCCCCGCGGACAATCGGCCGGGGATTCAATAACCTATGCTGGATCGTCGAGCCCGACGACCACAGCTGCCTCGCTCCCGTGGGGTGCACTGGCGAGCTTGTGGTTCAAGGTTACGCCTTGGCCCAATGTTACTTGAACGACGAAGCTCGAACAAACGAGTCCTTTGTCACCAACAAGGCGGATGATCCAAGGCTATACAGCACTGGGGATCTTGCACGGTACAACTCCGATGGCACCATTGAATATGTCGGGAGGCGCGACAGTCAGGTGAAGCTCCACGGCCAGCGTATCGAGCTGGGCGAGATCGAGCACAGGATCAGAGAGTCGAGCCACCGGGTGGAACATGTCGCCGTAGATGTTGTTACACGCGACTCTGCGACGCTTCTCCTCGCATTCGTGTCATTTGCCGACTTTCGCGGCATCGGGGCTACCGATTTGAGCGGCTCTTCCGGCACCTCAAGCCACGGCAGCCGTCTTTTGCCCATGGACCCGTCACTACAGTCCCGTGTGGCAGCTCTTCAGGAACACCTCCGAGCCAAGCTGCCACCGTACATGGTTCCCAACGTCCTCTTGGTCTTGAGCGAGATGCCGTTCAACTCCTCCATGAAGCTGGACCGCAAAGGTCTTCGCGCGCTGGCTGCTGGACTGGATACCGACAAACTCAAAACATACACCCTCGCCCGCCGGGATATGGTAGAGCCAAAGACTGCTATGGAGTTCCGGATGAGGGAGCTCTGGGCCCAAGTCCTGGGAATATCTGCCGAAGAGATCAGCAGGACCGACAGCTTCCTTGCCATCGGCGGGGATTCGATTTCTGCAATCAAGCTGGTGACCGTCGCCCGCGAGACCAGCAACATGGACATCACTGTCACATCCATCTTCAAGAACTCGCGTCTCGACAGCATGGCTGCTGCCGCTGGTGTCATCAAAGGCAGCCTGGAGGCCATGGCAGAGACCCAGCCGTTCTCTCTTCTACCAGCACCTGAAATAGCCAGCCTCGTCTCCAAGGCCGAGGAGCAATGTGGGTTGACCGAACCGGGCCTCGTCGAGGATATTTACCCCTGCACAAGCCTACAGGAGGGTTTGATTTCACTGTCTGTCAAGCAGCCTGGGTCGTACATCAGCCAGTTTGTTTACCGGATCTCAGACACTGTCGATATGGCCCGTCTCATTGATTCATGGGAACATACCCTCTCAATCTGCAAGATCTTGCGGACGAGGATTGCGCTCCTCAATGAAACAGCCGTGCAGGTCGTCGTCGCAGAGGAAGCCCACTGGGAGACCGTCAGTCACGACCACGGCCCATCAACACTCCAGGAGACCCTTTCTGTCATGGCCCAGACGGATATGGGATATGGCTCAAAGCTGTGCCGGTACGCACTAGCCAAGGGGGACAATGGGATGAACTATCTCGTCTGGAAGCTTCATCATGCTGTCTTCGACGGCTGGACCATACGACTGATTGTCGAAACATTACACAGGGCATACTATAGCAGTTCTGGTGCTGACCTGGCCGCTTCGCCTGCATATGCCAAGTTTATTCGTTATACCATGTCTCTCGATACGAAGGCTTGCAGCGAGTATTGGAGAGACCAGCTGCAGGAGGCTACGCCTGCAACCTTTCCCCCGCCCAACAAGGGGAGACCTGGAAACGCGAGCCGGACGTACCATCACCGTCTTGCCATGCCGAACTCGACCGGAACAAGCATCACCAAGCCAACGATCCTTCGAGCCGCGTGGGCTATAGTGCTAGCTCGCTACTGCTCTTCAGACGATGTCTGCTTCGGTGCCACCATCTCCGGCCGCAACGCCCCTGTCCACGGGGTCGACAGCATGGCCGGTCCTGCCATTGCGACCATTCCTCTGAGGGTGCAGGTCGATAAGCAGACAGGCACGATAACCTCGCTCCTCAACGACATCCAGTACAAGGCCATGGAAATGGTCCCGTTCGAACAGTTCGGCCTCCAGAACATAGCCAAGGTCAGCCGAGAGGCTCAAGAGGTGTGCGACTTCACCAGTCTTTTGGTCGTCCAGCCGGTCGCCGACCTCTTGTACGCCGACAACCCAACGAAGCCCGTCATCGAGCATGTCGACGCCGACGAGCTGACCGGCCATACCATGGATGGCTTCTTCAACTACCCGCTTGTTGTCCAGGGTCTGGTCCATCGCGATAGGGTTGAACTGGCGCTTGTCTATAACCCGGACGTGTTGTCCAGCGCGCAGATCGACTCCCTTGCACACCAATATGACCACGTCGTGCAGCAACTGCTTCGGCAGGACGAGACGCCCCTTGCTGACGTTGCCGTCACCAGCGCTTTGGATATAGAAAAGGCCGTGGAGTGGAACAGCCGCGAGGTACCGGACATTGTTTCGACTTGCGTCCACACACTCTTCGAAGAGCGGGCGCGTCAGCAACCAGCCGCGCCAGCGGTCTACGCGTGGGACGCGCAGCTAAACTACCACGAGCTGAATGTCACCGCCAACAAGCTCGCCCATCATCTCGTCAACGAACACGGGGTAGAACGTGACGATATAGTCCACGTGTGCTTCGAGAAGTCCGCGTGGTTCATTGTTGCCATTTTAGCCATCAACAAGGCGGGCGCCGCGTGGTCAGCACTTGATCCAGCACATCCGCCAGATCGTCATCGTCAAATCACCCAGCAGACGAGCTCGAAGCTCACGCTCACATCGCCAACCACCTATGAGCAGTGCGTAGGACTCACGGCTCGCGTCGTTGTAGTCTCTGGGGAGCTCGACTACGAGCTCGACTACGCACTGGATGCGTCTCTTGGCCTCCATGCCCCAGAAGCCTCGGGTTCACCTGACAACGCGGCCTATGTCCTGTTTACTTCTGGCAGCACCGGAGTTCCCAAGGGCTTTGTGATGGAGCACGAATCTGTTTGCACCAGCCAGACCGCCATCATCAAGAGGCTGGGCATGGGATCAGATGCCCGCATGCTGCAATTTGCATCCTACGTCTTTGATGCCGTGATCCTCGAGGCAATCGGCACCCTGATTGCGGGAGCCTGTATCTGCATTCCATCGGACGACATGCGGATGAACAATCTGACCGAGTTTGTGCGGGATGCTCAAGCTACCTGGTCACTCCTGACGCCTTCGTATCTACGCACGCTGACGCCGGACGACATACCAAGCCTCAAGGTGTTGATAGCCACAGGAGAGGCCGTGGGCAAGGACATCGTTGACGCATGGCATGGCCGGGTGCGTCTCTTCAACGGCTGGGGACCTGCCGAGACATGCGTGTTCAGCACTCTCCACGAATACAGCCCTGCCGACACTTCCCTCACCATCGGTCGCCCGGTTGGCGGTTGCTGTTGGATCGTCGACCCCGACGACCCGCAACGTCTCGCGCCCACAGGCTGCGTTGGTGAGATAGTCATACAAGGACCGACTCTCTTGCGCGAATACCTAGGGAATCAACAGCTCACTGAACAGAGCATGGTCCGGTCGCTGCCCAGCTGGTCGCCCCGGCGTGATGAAGCACACTTCAACCGGTTTTACAAGTCAGGCGACCTTGCCCTCTACAGCAAGGCCGACGGCACCATCGAGTTCGCAGGTCGGAAGGATACCCAAGTCAAGATCCGCGGCCTGCGCGTGGAGCTGAGCGAAGTCGAACATCACGTGCGTGAAGCGCTCGAGGAGGCCTGCCAAGTCGCCGTGGATGTCTTCAAGACGGAAGCCGGGACACATCTGGTAGCCTACTTCTGCTTCACCAACGACACGCAGCCTGATGGCGCCCTTACCGGCCCCGATGGTCCCTTCATGTCCATGACAAGCAGCCTCAAGCGAACTGTTGCAACCATGGCCGGGCAGCTCGCCGTTCGCTTGCCCCAGTACATGGTCCCCACGCTCTTCATCCCCTGTCGGTACATGCCCGTCATCACCTCCACCAAGTTGGACAGGAAGAGGCTCCGGAGTGCAACAGCCGCCCTCGGCCGACAAGAGACTGCCTTGTACTCGCTCGCGGACGGAAAGCATCGCCAGCCCGAGACTGGAGCCGAAGTTCGCATGCAAAAGCTTTGGTCTGATCTGTTGGGTCTGCCGCTGGAGATGATCGGCCGCGATGATAGCTTCCTACGCATCGGGGGCGACTCCATCTCGGCCATCCGTCTAGTTTCTGCCGGTCGCCGGGCAGGTTTCTCCTTTTCGGTCAAGGATATCTTTGATGACCCGAGACTCTTGAGTCTGAGTCTCATGGTGAAAGCCGCAGAAGACGGCCGCGGCGAGCACGACGACCGGATCACCACGGGCTACCTCCCGTTCGGTTTACTACCACAGCCCCTGCAGGATATCGTCAAGCTTGAATCCCATTCGCGCTGCAGCAGCAACTCTGTCGATGGCCAGATTCCGCCCCCGTCCAAGTCAACGGTTTCGAGCCCCTCTTTACACGAGATCTGCCACTTGCCGGAAGATGCGGTCATTGAGGATGCATACCCCTGCAGCACACTACAAGAAGGCTTGATGGCGATCGCCACCAGGCAAGCCGGCTCCTACGTGGCGAAGCATGTCTACAGATTGGGAGATGTCGACATCGGCCGCTTCAAGACCGCATGGGAGACCACAGCTGTCTCGTGTGCGAACCTGCGCACGAGGATTGCGCTTTTCCAGGGCGAGTCCATCCAAGTCGTCGTCAAGGATGACATCGCTTGGGATACAGACGATGATGAGCCCGAAAGCGACAATGGCGCCATGGGCTACGGCTCGAGGTTGTGTCGCTACAGAATCACCCAAGAGGCCGATGGCGCCAAGTACTTTGTTTGGAAGATCCACCACGCCATCAACGACGGCTGGACGGGCCGTATTATCATGGAAACACTCGACAAAGCCTATCGACACCCGGAAGCGAACGTTCGGGCACCGGCCCCGTATTCTGACTTCGTCCGATACATTCTCGGGTTGAACCAGGAGCAAAGTGCTGCATACTGGACCGATCAAATGCGCGATGCCAAGCGGACACTGTTCCCGGCAGCATCACGGTCCTCGGCGCTGGCGACTACCGATGGCACCGAGGATAGAAAAACGCGCATTCTGAAGACCAGCATCGCCTTCCCGGGGTCTACCGATACCCGTGTGACTGCGGCTACCGTCCTTCGTGCGGCCTGGGCTCTCGTTCTTTTCCGACACACCGAATCAGAGGATGTCTGCTTCGGAACTACCGTGTCCGGTCGGCACGCTCCGATGGAGGGCATCGAGGATGTAGTAGGACCTGTCGTTGCTACAGTTCCTGTCCGAGTCCAGATCGACCGACAGCAATCCGTCTCCAGCTTCTTGGACCAGATACAAAGCCAGGCGACCAGCATGGTTATGCATGAGCACTTCGGCCTGCAGAATATCGCCAAGATGAGTCCCGATGCTAGAGACGCCTGTGATCTGTCCAGCCTGTTCATCGTCCAGCCCGCACAGCAACTTGAATTTGCGGGCATGGACTCCTCGTCACCGATCATGGTGGCTGCGACGGGAGCCGAGGACATGTCCAACACCTTTGAGGGCTCAAGCTATGTCAACTACCCCTTCGTTCTACAGGCACACACCTACACCGGCCGCGTCGACCTCGTAGCCTTTTACGATGCGTCTGTCATTCAAGAGTCCCAGGTCCAGATGATTGCGCACCATTACGAGGCCGCGGTACAGAGTCTCCTGGCGCAAGACGACAACGACGCGTTGCTCGACAGCCTCAGTCTTACGGGCGTTCAGGACATCTCACAAATCATGCTCTGGAACAGCAACTCTCCTCGCCTCGAGAACACGTGCCTGCACGATCTGTTGGAAAGGACATGCGCCGAGAACCCCGATAAAGAGGCGATTTGCTCTTGGGACGGAACTCTTACCTACGCAGAACTGGGTCGTCTGTCGACGGAGCTCGGTAGACACCTCGCAGGGCTTGGCGTTGGGCCCGAAACAGTTGTGCCGTTTTGCTTCGAGAAGTCTCTTTGGGCAATCGTGGCCATTATGGGCATCGTGAAGAGCGGCGGTGCGTTCGTGCCCCTCGACCCTTCACACCCCTCATCACGACACGAGGCGATCATGCGTCAAGTTGATGCCAAAATCGTCCTCACTTCTCCCAGCTTAGCGGCGTTGTTCCGGGACAGGGTCGCCACGGTCTTGTCTCTCTCGGACGATTTCTTTCCCGAACCCAGTCTTCTCGGCCAGCCAGCCTGTTCTGAGGCCGAGAGCAACATCGTCAACCCCGCCAGTCCCCATAACGCCGCGTATGTCATCTTCACGTCTGGGTCAACAGGGACGCCCAAGGGCATTGTGGTTGAGCATGCTGCCCTTTGCACTAGCTTCCTCGGCCTCAAAAACGAGTTTGGGGACAGCCTCGGCTCTCGCGTGCTGCAGTTCTCCAGCCACGTCTTTGACGCCTCGATCATCGAGATTCTGGGAACTCATGTTTTCGGGGGGACGGTCTGCGTGCCTTCGGAGGCGCAGAGACTTCAGGACATTGCCGGTTTTCTCGCCGAGGCCCAAGTCAACACGGCCATAGTCACCCCGTCGTTCGCGAGCACTATTCATCCCGACACGGCGCCATCAGTCCGAACTTTGGTACTCGTTGGAGAAGCGCCCGACGAGGACGTCGTACGAACCTGGACGCAACCAGGAGTGCGTCTTCACAACGGATACGGGCTATCGGAGACCTGCATTGTGTGTATGACTTACGACTTCGGGACCAGTAACACCAACGCGAGTCTCGCTGCCACCACCATCGGCCGCCCGTTCAACGCCCGCTGCTGGATTGTCGAGCCTGATAACCATGATGTCCTGACACCTCTGGGATGCATCGGCGAGCTTGTCGTCGAGAGTTATGCCCTCGCCCGTGGCTATCTCGGAGACGAGCAGCGAACAAACAAGATGTTCCTCGAGCACACTGCCTGGTCGTCGACAGCAACAGGGGCCAACGGACCGAGATTGTACCGCACGGGAGACTTGGTGCGTTACAACGTAGACGGCACCATGGCATACGTCGGCCGTGCCGACACGCAAGTGAAGCTCCGCGGCCAGCGCATTGAGCTGGCGGAAATCGAACACCACATCAGGAGCTCCTGCGTGGAGATCAGCCACACAGTCGTTGATGTGGTCCATGGCGACTGCGGCGAAACTCTCGTAGCCTTCCTTTCCTTTGACGACATTGACGGCTCCGCCGGTCCCGAAGATGCCGATATCGCGCTACTAGCCGTGGAAGGGCTTGTTCAAGCTCGCCTGGCCAAGATTCTGGCCGACCTCCAGGCCGGCCTGCCGAGATACATGGTTCCGGGGCTTTTCCTCCCCCTTAACAGAATGCCTTTCGGCCAGTCGATGAAGCTGGACAAGAAGCAACTGCAAGCCATTGCGGCAGAACTCTCACAGGAGAAGCGTGCCGTTCTCGCGAGCTTGATCAGCCACCGCGAAAGAGTGGCCCCTTCGACAGAGATGGAGTTCAAGCTACGCGACCTCTGGGCGCGGGTGCTCAACATCAATCCCGAAGACATCAGCCGCTACGACAGCTTCCTACGCATAGGCGGGGACTCGATCACAGCCATCAAGCTGACTACTCAGGCACGCCTCCTCGGGATCGGCATCACAGTGGCATCCGTGTTCAAGGAGTCCCAGCTTGACATCATGGCGGCCAACGCTACGATCTTGGGAGACGAGGTTGCTTCAGACGCCGAGCCGTTCAACTTGCTCCCCGCTTCCGAGGTTGACCTTGCTCTCTCCCATGCTGCCGAGCAATGCGGTCTTTCGGTCGAGGCCATTGAGGATCTTTATCCCTGCACGAAGCTTCAGGAAGGACTTATGGCATTGGCCGTCAAACGGGCCAGAACGTACATCGCCCGTTTCTTCTTCCGGCTTGCGGACGATGCCGACGTCGCCCGTTTCAAAGCCGCGTGGGAGCGCACCGTCTCGCTCTGCGGTGTTTTGAGAACCAGAATCGTCTTCTACAAGGGATCTTTCTACCAAGTTCTGGTCAAGAATGACGTTGACTGGACCACGCTGGGCTCCCACGATCTCGACTCTTCGGCAATTGCCAAGAGTGCTCGGGAAGTCGAGATGACGAGTGGCTCGAGGCTATGCCACTATTCCTTGGCCAAGAGCCACGACGGATCTACCCACTTCACATGGGTCATTCACCATGCCGTCTACGACGGTTGGTCGATCCGACTCATCACGGAGGCTCTGCATCGTGCGTACTACGGCACCGAGACGATCGAGTCGGCTCCTCGACCGTATTCAGACTTTATCCGATACGTCAACGGCCTCGATCGTGAAGCCGGTGCCGAATACTGGACAACTCAGTTGCAGGACGCCAAGCGTGCCAGCTTCCCTTCGCCGAGCCCATCTTCAGCTCCCGCATCAGGGAGCGATGCTAGCCGCTCTCTCCATCAGACAGTACAACTGCCTCCTACTACGGGGATGCATTCTTCCATCACAAAGGCCACGGTTCTCCGTGCGGCGTGGGCGCTACTCCTATCAAGCTACTCCGACAGCGACGATGTCTGCTTCGGCACGACCATTTCCGGTAGACAAGCCCCGGTTGCGGGCATCGAATCCATCTCCGGGCCCATCATCGCCACGGTTCCCTTGAGGGTGCGCCTCGACGGACGCCAACAGAGGACCGTATCGGACTACCTTGTCGATGTCCAGAACCAGGGCATCGATATGGTGCCGCACGAGCAGTTTGGGCTACAGGCCATCGCCAAGCTCAGCCGCGATGCCAAGGAGGCATGCGATTTCAGCAGTCTGCTCGTCATCCAGCCCATCTCTCACCTCGCATACTCGGACAGCTCCTCCGGTGCGCTTCTGGAGTCGTCGCGGTCCAGGGAAGAAGCTACGAAAGAGCTCCAGGGATACTTCAACTACCCTCTTGTGGCCCAGGGCCACGTTCACGACGACCACGCCGAACTCGTGCTCATCTACGACTCTCGTGTCTTGTGCGAAGACCAAGTCGCCACCCTTTCGCGCCAGTTTGCCCATCTCGTGCAGCAACTGGGCGACGCGCACAAGGACAGGCCTCTCGCGGATATCGACATGGCAGGCCCATGGGACCTGCAGCAGGCACTAGAACGGAACAACAAGGAGCCCGAGGTCGTCGAAGACTGCGTACACCACTTTATCGAACGCCATGCTCGTAACGCACCCGGGTCGCTCGCCGTCAGCGCGTGGGACGGCGAGCTCACCTATAGCCAGCTCGACGCCGCCAGCGACAGGCTGGCAGCCCATCTCGTGAGCGGTCTCGGCGTTGCCAACGACGACATGGTGCATGTCTGCTTCGAAAAGTCGGTCTGGTTTTTTGTATCCATCGTCGCACTGAACAAGGCCGGATGTGCTTGGGTTCCTCTCGACCCGTCGCACCCACTCGAACGCCAACGCGACGTGGCCCGTCAAACGGCGGCAAAGCTCGCGCTGAGCTCGCCCTCAAATGCATCCATGTGCGCCGAGTTGGTGCCGCACGTACTCGAAGTATCCTCGGCGCTTGACGACATGCTCCGTCGGTCTGACCCGGGGCTGTCCTGCTTATCGGGCCGCGGTGTCACGCCGAGAAATGCCTCTTACGTCCTGTTCACCTCGGGCAGTACGGGAACGCCCAAAGGCCTCGTCATGGAGCATCGGTCTGTTTGCACGGCCCTGGTGGCTATTGGTAAACGGGTCGGGATTCATCCCGGTGCCCGGATGCTTCAGTTCGCGTCCTACGTTTTCGACGCGTGTATCGGCGAGGCCCTCGGTGCCTTCGTAGCCGGGGCATCCATCCACGTTCCCTCCGAGGAGATGCGGATGAATTCCCTGCGAGAGTTCATCAGAGACCAGCAAGTCACTTGGGCGCTTCTGACGCCCGCCTTCATCCGGACGCTGTCGCCTGATGACGTGCCCTCGCTCAAGACGCTGATGTTGGCCGGTGAGGCCGTCGGCCGAGACATTCTGAAGCAATGGTTCGGAAAGGTTCGTCTCTTCAACGGCTGGGGACCTGCCGAAACGTGTGTTTTCAGCACACTTCACGAATGGGAATCGGCAACGGACTCACCCTTAACGATCGGCAAACCCGTCGGTGGTCGCGTTTGGCTTGTTGACCCGGCGAATCCTCAACGGCTGGCCCCCGTTGGATGTGTTGGAGAAGCCGTGGTCCAAGGCCCGACGATTCTGAGGGAATATCTCTCCAACCCCGAAAAGACAATGGATTCGACCGTCACATCCCTGCCTCGGTGGGCGCCGCGCCGGGACCAACCGGGATGGGACCGGTTCTTCAAGACCGGAGACCTGGCGTGCTACAATCCTGACGGCACCATCGAGTTCGTCAGCCGCAAAGACACGCAAGTCAAGATACGAGGATTCAGAGTGGAACTAGAAGAAATAGAAGGCGCTGTCCGCGACACTCTCGGAGGAGTGGGACAAGTGGCAGTGGACGTCTTCCGCGGAGAGAGCGCCGGCGTCCATCTCGTCTTGTACTTCTGCTTCAGCCATGCTACCCATACGACCGGCACCAAGGGCGGAGACGAAGAGCAACATGTCTTTCTTCCCTTCACAACGGATCTCAAGCAACAGCTCTCGGCTATGATTTCTGCCCTGGGCAGCAAGCTGCCTCCGTACATGGTTCCAACAATGTTCATCCCCTGCCGGTCCATGCCGGTCATCTCATCGACCAAGCTCGACAGGAAAACACTCCGCGCCCTGACGTCGTTGCTCGGAAATGAACGTTTGGCCTCGTATTCACTCGTCGACGCCGAGAAACGCCTACCCGAGACTCTTCTGGAGTCCCGTCTGCAGTCGATCTGGGCAGAGGCCCTGGGCATCCCGGCCAGGACGATCGGTCTCGACGACAGCTTCATCGCGCTGGGCGGCGACTCTATCGTAGCCATCTCTGTCACTACGACGGCTCGCGAGCAAGGTATCTTGCTGACCGTCGCCGACATGTTCAACGACCCCCGCCTCTTCGCCGTGGCAGCGACAGCCAGGCTCGTGTCGGCCGATCTGCCGACGGACGAGGTAGAGCCCTGGAGCCTGCTACCCCCCAGCGAGCACGATCACGTCAAGGAGACTGCCGTGGAGCAGTGCAAGATATCAGCCGCTCGCGTTGTTGACGCGTTCCCATGCACAGGCATCCAGGCAGGCCTCATCACTCTCGCCGAGAGGTACCCAGGGTCTTATATGGCTCGATTCAACATCCCGGTTCCCAAGATCGTGGACCTTGAGCTGTTCAAAGAAGCCGTCACCTGCATGGTGCGTGCCTGCGAGAACCTTCGCACCAGGTTCATCATGACCACGCAGGGTCCCCGCCAGATTATTGTGCACGAAGCAGTGACATGGCAGAATCATGAGCCCCTGCCTCTAGCCGAAGTCTCTACAAAGCCGCCCCCGTCGGTTGGGTACGGCAGCCGCTTGTCGTTTTATACTTTGGCACAAGAGAGGGGTGAGCTGTACATGGTATGGGACTTGCATCACTCCATCTTCGACGGATGGACGATGGGTCGTATGAGCCAGATCCTCCAAGACGCTTGCGCCGGCAGCAGGATCGCGCAACCCCTTTCTTACAACAAGTTTGTCAGATACACGGCCTCTCAAACCCAAGACCAGGCACGCGACTACTGGATATCTCAACTTGACGGCGCAGACCCCGTTGAGTTTCCGGCCGTCCCCGCCAACGTGTCGGAAATCCGCTGCGATGGGGCTGTCTTGCGTGGCATAACAGTCCCGGAGCGGCAGGGCGCCAGCATCACGACGGCCACCATCCTGCGCGCAGCCTGGGCCGTTGTCGTGTCATGGTATAGCGGCAGCCGCGGGGTCGTCATCGGAAGCACCATCTCCGGCCGCGGGGCTCCGATCCCGGGGATCCAAGACATTCTCGGCCCGACCATCGGCACCGTCCCGGTGCACGTCAGAGTCGACGCGTCGGACCGCATTGTCGACTTTCTGGGTGACGTGCAGAGCCAAGCGAACGCCATGATACCCTTCGAGCACACCGGCTTGCAGACGATTGCAAAGCTTAGCCCGCGTGCCCGCGATGCGTGTAATTTCAAGAATCACCTCGTCATCCAGCCGGGCGGCAAGCCGGCCAACCTGCCCGAGACCTGCATCAAGATCAACGACATGACGGCGGGCAAAAATCAGAGCTACGACGTCTACCCGTTGGTCTTCCAATGTGTGGTGGGTGAGAAGGGCGCGGTGGAAATCATGGCATCGCACGACACCCGCGTCGTTCCGCCAGTGATGATGGACCGCATCTGCGACCAGTTCGCCCACGTTGCTATGCAACTGTCCACCGCGGACCGGGGCCTTCGCCTCTCGGACATGGAGCTTTGCGGACCGCACGATATCAGACAGATCAGGCAGTGGAACATGACCAGGCCGCCAACCGCCGTTCGCGAGTGTGTCCATGACATGATCTCCAGGCGAGCCGCCTCTCAGCCGACACATTCCGCCGTGGACTCGTGGGACGGCCATCTGACCTACAGCGAGCTAGATCGTCTGTCCGATGTCCTTGCCAACCACCTGCGCTCCCTCGGCGTCCGTCCGGATACCCGTGTTCCGGTTTGCTTCGAAAAGTCCATGTGGGCAACGGTTGCAACGCTGGCTGTCCTCAAAGCCGGCGCAGCCTTCGTTCCCCTTGACCCAACCTACCCCGAGACACGCCGCCGCCACCTCGCAGAACAGGTTGGAGCCGAGGTCATTCTCGCCTCTCCGACGACGTCGCAATCATGTGTCGGCACAGCACCCACAGTCGTTTGCGTTTCGGCAACTCTTATGTCACAGCTACCGAGTGGAGGACCGACAACAGTGACGAGGACTGCCGCCAACACGGCCCTCGCGAGCCCCGATAGTGCCGCATATGTCATTTTTACATCCGGTTCCACAGGAAAGCCCAAGGGTGTGGTGGTTGATCACGTAGCCCTCTGTTCTAGCATCATGGGCCACGGGACTGCTTACGGCCTGAGCCCGTCTTCACGGGTTCTGCAGTTCTCCAACTACGTGTTCGACGGCAGTCTCAGCGAGATCCTGACGCCGTTGGTGTTTGGCGGGACCGTCTGCGTTCCCTCGGACACGGATCGGCTGCAAGAGACGGCCAAGTTCATCCGCGACAAACGTGTCAACGTGGCCATGTTAACCCCCTCGTTTGCAACCACACTGACCCCCGAGGAGGTGCCTGGTCTCGAGACGCTGCTTCTGGGGGCGAGGCCTTGACGACGGACAACCTCGACACCTGGTTCGGCCACGTGAAGCTCATCAACGCATACGGACCCACGGAGGTGTGCGTTGACTGCGTCTCGCACATCTTCACCTCGGTGGACGAGCCGCCAACAACCATAGGCCTCAGTCAAAACGCAACGTCGTGGATTGTAGATCCACAAGACCACGACCGCCTGGCACCGGTAGGGTGCGTCGGAGAACTGCTTGTGCAGGGATACACGCTGTCCCGTGGGTATCTCGACGATGCCGAGCAGACCGCCGAGGTTTTCATCAGCAATCCCGCCTGGCTCCGGCACTTCATGTCGGATCCTGGACCACTGCAGAGATTCTACAAGACTGGGGACCTGGTCAAGTACAATGACGACGGCTCAATAGAGTATCTGGGGCGTCGGGACACCCAAGTCAAGCTGCGGGGTCAACGCATCGAGCTCGCCGAGATCGAACACCAGATGAAGAGAGCGTGTGCCGATGTTGAACACGCCGCTGTGGAGGTTGTCAAACGGGAGTCTGGCGCTACCTTGCTCGGCTTCGTGACCTTCCGTGCCAACGGAGAAGAATCGCCCGAAGAGTCGTCATCCTCAAGCCGAAGAGATCGGGATCCGGTCCTGCTCCCTATGGACGAGACCTCGGAGGCGAGAGTCATCTCGATGCTTGCCAGCCTCAGAGCTGTGCTGCCGGACTACATGGTTCCTACAAACATTCTCCCCTTGCAGGATATGCCATTCGGGTCTTCCATGAAGCTCGACAGGAAGGCTCTCCGGGCATTCTCGAGCCATCTGACGCCCGAAAGCTTGTCGTCGACGACGGGATTGGTGGGTGCTCGTGAGCCATCCTTGTCCCTGCCATCTTCCACGATGGAACTGAAGCTTCGCGACATGTGGGCTCAGATCCTTCATATCTCTCCGTCGAGCATCGATCGAGAAGATAACTTCCTGCGAATTGGCGGCGACTCAATCACCGCTATCCAACTCGTCACCCTTGCCCGCAAGAATGACATCAACATCACGGTCAGCGCCATTTTCAAGGACGCCCGGCTCAGCAGCCTTGCGTCGATGGCCACGGTTGCCGGCGGCAATGTCGCGGACTTGGACGCCGTGCCTTTCAGTATGCTGAAGGCATCTTTGGTGGACAAAATCCTCCGCCAGGCTGCTGGGCAATGCGGCCTCGCGAGCATTGGTGTCATCGAAGACGCATACCCCTGCTCCAAATTCCAGGAAGGACTGATGGCGCTGACCGAAAAGCTGAAGGGATCCTATGTTGCCAAGCTACTTTACAGGATTCCTGACGACATCGACTTGGACAAGTTCAAAGCGGCGTGGGAAAAGACAGTCGTTCTGTTCCACAATCTCCGCACTAGGGTTGTCTTCCTGGACGGAGCTACTATCCAGGTCGTCGTACGAGACGAAGAAGCTGAGTGGGACTCCTTTGGGGACGTCAGCGTCCATGACGCGTTGGACCGCAAACCTGAGATGACTTACGGCTCCCGGCTCTCTTGTTACGCCGTTGCAAAGGGGGAGGACGGCTCGAACTACTTCGTCTGGACGTTACACCACGCCATCTACGACGGCTGGTCTCTGCGGATCATCATGGAAACCCTGCACAAGATATACTACGGCCATGACCACCACCAAACCGTTCCATACTCACGGTTTATCAAGTACATTGGCGAAACTGACCACGAGGCGGGCAGTCGGTACTGGAGCCAACAGCTTCGGGATGCCAGGCCGGCAACCTTTCCACCTCCTGGCCGCGCAACGGGGCCTTCCAAAACCCGCGTCACCAGCACCATCATCAGCTCTCCGACCTCGGGCGGCTCTGCCGTAACCAAGGCCACGATCCTCCGTGCGGCCTGGGCCATACTACTTGCACGCTACTCCGAAGACACAGACGACATATGCTTTGCTACTTCAGCCTCGGGTAGACAAGCCCCGGTGCCAGGCTTGGAAGACATGGCCGGTCCGGTCGTTGCCACGGTCCCGCATCGGATCCGTCTGAACCGGGAGCAGCCTATATCCCAGTTCCTCTGCGACGTCCAGGACCAGGCATCCGAGATGGTAGCGTTCGAACAGTTCGGTCTGCAGGAGATTGCAAAGTTGAGCACCGAGGCGAAGGAAATCTGCGACTTCTCCAGCCTGTTCGTCATCCAGCCGGGCCAGTCTGACGACGAGGCTGCTGATGGAACACCTGGTCAGGTTCTCGTCACGGCCAGTTCTGAACAGTTCCACGGAAGCGAGAACATCGAAGGCTACTTCAGTTACCCTCTCGTCGCGCAAGCTCACGTTTTCGAAAACTTTGTGGAGCTCAGCCTCATCTACGACGCCAACATCCTACCCGAATCGCAGATGACGGCTTTCTCCAACCAGTTCGACAACATCGTGCAGCAGCTTCTCCCCCAAGACCAGAGCCCGCTGGGCAGCGTCTCCGTTGCCGGATCCTTCGATCTACAACAGTCGATGCAATGGAACAGCGAGTATACCCCCATTGTCAATGCCTGCTTCCACCAACTCCTCGAGGAGCAGGCGGTTCGACGACCATCCGTACCCGCCATCATTGCGGCCGACGGAGAGCTTACTTACGCGGCGTTGAACCGAGCCGCGAACAGGCTCGCTCACCAGCTCGTGAAACTGGGCGTTGGGGTCGGCGAACTCGTCCACGTCTGCTTCGAAAAGTCGGTATGGTTTTTTGTGTCCATCTTGGCCATCAACAAGGCCGGCGCCGCCTGGGTCCCGCTGGACCCGTCTCATCCCGAGCAGCACCAGGCACGAGTAACTCAACAGACCAAGGCAAAACTGGCGCTGACATCGCCGATCAACACCCCGCGGGTGACTGGCCTCGTGCCGACCACAGTGGAAGTCTCCCAAGAACTGGATGACACGCTGCAACGGGACCTCAGGACAGACGACAGCAAGCGTGCGCCGAAGACGAGCGTCGGCCCTCGGGACATCTGTTACGTCGTCTTTACGTCTGGCAGCACGGGAACGCCCAAAGGTGTTGTCCTGGAGCATAGATCCGTCTGTACGATGCTGACGGCCGCTGGCAAGAGGCTCGGAATGACGCCCCATGTACGCATCATGCAGTTCGCCTCGTACGTCTTCGACATGTCGGTCGCCGAAACAATCATGCCGCTCATCCACGGAGCCTGCGTCTGCGTGCCTTCGGACGAGATTCGGGTGAGCGGACTTCTCTCTCAGTTCATCCGCAATATGCGCATAACCTGGCTGTTCCTCACGCCGGCCTTTGGCCGCACTCTCACGCCCGACGACGTGCCTGGCGTGGAGCTTCTCCTCCTAGGCGGAGAGGCCCTAAGCCGTGATAACTTGGATACGTGGCTCGGAAGAGTTCGACTGGTCAATGCATGGGGCCCAACCGAGACATGCGTCTTTGGCACCCTTCACGAACTGGATCCATCTGACAAGACCCCGTCCCCTCTCACAATCGGTCGCCCCGTCGGCGGTAAATGCTGGATTGTCGATCCTCGAAACCACGACCGGCTCGCGCCCATCGGGTGTGCCGGCGAGATTGTCGTCCAAGGCCCCACCCTGCTCCGTGAATATCTCGGAGACCCCGCGCAGACGGAGGAGACCACGGTCCGGCGTCTACCGAAATGGGTGTCTCAGCTGCCTGGGTGGGACAGATTCTTCAAGACGGGAGATCTGGCCCGGTACAACGCGGACGGGACCATTGAGTTCATCGGCCGCAAAGATAGCCAAGTCAAGGTCCGTGGCTTCCGCATCGAGGTCGGCGCAGTAGAGTACAACATCCGCGCCGTCATGGATGTCGTCGACGTAGCCGTCGACGTCCTCAGAACCGATGGCGGCACAGCTCTCGTGGGATACTTTGTTTGCGCCAACGAAGAGAGCAGCGAAAAGGGAGATGACGGCGCTATCTTTCAGGCCATCACTCCCGACTTTGAGCGGCGCGTTAGAGCCATGGTTGGCGACCTACGGGCCCGGCTCCCGCATTATATGGTACCAACAACATTCATACCGTGTCGCAGGCTGCCTTTCGTCACCTCGGACAAGCTCGACAGGGGCCTCTTGCGGCAGCTCACAGCCGCTCTGGATCGCAACGAGCTTGCTGCGTATTCTCTCGTAGATTCGCAGAAGAGACCCCCGGCCACGGCCATGGAGCTGCGTCTTCGACAGATTTGGGCCGACGTCCTGCGTATCCCGGTAGATTCCATCGGCCGGAACGACGACTTCATTGCCCTCGGAGGTGAATCGATTGCAGCTATTTCCGTCTCTACCAAGGCACGAGAGAGCGGCATCTGCGTGACGGTAGCCAAGCTCTTCGAGGACCCGCGTCTCCTGGCCGTCGCCGCCTCGGCCACATGGCTGGAGGATGGCCCGTTAGACGAAAACAGCGAGCCATGGAGTCTCGTTCCGAGTGAAAGCCGAGACATGATCATTGGGACCGCCGTCGAACAATGTCGACCACACCGACCCCTCCTAACGCAGGCAGTTCTCGATGCATTCCCCTGCACGCCGATGCAGGAGGGCCTGATGGCCCTAGCGGAGACGCGTCCGGGATCGTACATGGCACGATTGACCATCACCGCACGCGAGGGACTCCCAATCGACATGAACCGTCTCACGGGGGCCGTGGCCACCACTGTGTCGGTGTGTGACAATCTCCGAACTCGCTTCCTCCTCTCTCCGCGGGGCTCCGTACAGATCATTGTCGACGAAGAGATGACCTGGCAACATCCAGACGAGATTGTGCGGCTTTCGGATGCTTTGGCCAAGTCCGCACCTGTTGTTGACTACGGAACACCGCTCTCTTACTTCACCCTCGCCAGAGACGACCAGGACCAGGTTGGTGTGCTCTGGGATATACATCACTCCGTCTTTGACGGGTGGACAATGGGCCATATGGTCCAGATCATGCAAGAAGCCTACTCCGGGAGCGGCGTAATGACCAGGCCGGTTTCCATTGCCAACTATGTCAGGCACACGCAGAGTGTCACCGACGAGGCGCTTCGTGACTACTGGGTTTCTCAGCTTGAGGGGGCTGACCCGGTCAAGTTCCCAAGCCTTCCCATCGGCATGTCGGGCTCCCAGGTCCGGTGCACTGGCGCTGTCAGGAGTCGTCTTCGCATTGCAGAGCGGTCCGGATCAGCAGTCACAACACCAAGTCTCTTACGCGCTGCCTGGGCTTTCCTCGTAGGCCTGTACTCCGAGAGTGACCGCGTCGTGTTCGGCAGTACCATGTCTGGCCGCACGGCGCCCGTCGTCGGAATCGAGAGAATCCTCGGCCCTACCATCTCCACCGTTCCGGTCCAGGTCCACGTCGACCCCGAGCTGACAGTCGGCGAATTTCTGACCAAGGTCCAGAGGCAAGCCAACGCGATGATCCCCTTCGAGCACACTGGACTGCAGAACATCTCCAAGTACGGGCCGGCGGCACAACAAGCATGCGACTTCCACAACCAGCTCGTCATTCAGCCTGCGGCTCCCGTTCCCGACGGCCTTCGGGAGGTGTCGGATCTCCAAATCACCGACGTCGCCAGCAAGAACGAAAGCTTCGACATCTATCCTCTCGTGATGCAGTGCAACGTCGGACCCGATGACGGTGTGGACGTCAGCTCATCTTTCGATCCATGCGTCATCCCAGAGACGCAAGTGCGCCGCATGTGCGAGCAGTTCGAGCACGTCGTTAGCCAGTTGTGCGGCGCAGACGAAGCCTTGAAGCTTTCCGATATCAACGTCTGCGGTCCTCACGACATCGCCGAGATCCGTGAATGGAACTTCGAGACCCGGCCGCCACCCGAGGCCGTCCGTACCTGCGTACACGACTTGATTCGCCAAAAGTCCGTCGAGATGCCGAGAAAGGAAGCCATCTACTCTTGGGAAGGTAACCTGACCTATAGCCAGCTCGACGCTTTGTCAACAGCCTTGGCCACTCGCCTCACCGGCCTCGGGGTTGGGCCGGAGGTGCTGGTTCCCATGTGCTTCGAAAAGTCCAGGTGGGCGATCGTTGCTATGCTGGGCATTATGAAGGCCGGCGGCGCTTTCGTTCCCTTGGATCCTACGAGCTCCCTCGCCCGCAAGCAGGAGATTGTGCAGAGGGTCAACGCCCAGGTTGTCGTGCTATCGTCGGCGCTGGCAGAACCCTGCGCCGAATTGGCGCCGCATATCGTCCGACTCTCGTCGGCGTCGATATCCGATCTTCTTTCCTCTTCTCAGCACGCATCGGCACGTTCGAGCACTGTGACGCTACCCGAAACTCCTGCCTATGTCATCTTTACATCGGGATCGACCGGGAAGCCCAAAGGTGTCGTCGTTGAACATACGGCCCTTTCCTCTAGCATCATGGGTCACGGCAAGGCATATGGGCTCTCTTCCCATTCCCGCGTACTCCAATTCTCCAACTTTGTCTTTGATGGTTGTCTCAGCGAGATCCTCACGCCCCTAGTCTTTGGGGGCACCGTCTGTATCCCGGCAGAAGACGACCGTGTCCATAACGTGGCCCGCTTCATGCACGATGCCGACGTCAACGTTGCAATGCTCACGCCGTCGTTCGTCTCTACCCTTGCGCCGCAGGATCTCCCACGTCTCAGCACACTCCTGTTGGGCGGCGAAGCTTTGACAAAGCAAAACGTCCAAACCTGGCTTCCCGTCGTGGACAAGCTGATCAACGCATACGGACCAACCGAGACCTGTGTCGACTGCATGTCGCACATCTTCCACTCCGCAGATGAGCTGCCCACCACGATCGGCCGCAGTCAGAACGCCACGGCCTGGATTGTGAATCCAAGCAACCACAACCTGCTGGCGCCCGTCGGCTGTGTGGGCGAGCTGATCATCCAAGGTTACACTTTAGCTCGCGGCTATCACAACGACGAGGAGCAAACCCGGGCGGCATTTGTCGAGAATCCCGATTTCATGTCTGCCTTTGCTACCACCGGGCCGACACGCTTCTACAAGACAGGCGATCTCGTCCGTTATAACACCGATGGCACGATCCATTACATCGGTCGCCGGGATACGCAAGTCAAACTACGAGGCCAGAGAATTGAACTCGGCGAAATCGAGCAAGTCATCAAGCTGACGGCTCCCAACACGATTGAGCATGCGGTTGTCGATGTCATCTCTCGCGACTCGGGCGATGTGCTTACTGCTTTCCTATCCCTCTTCAACCCGATGGGGGATGCGGGCGACGACGAGGATTTGGCCGGCAACCTCGTACAGCTTGATGAGAAGCTTCGAGAGTCCCTTGCCAACCTTGGTGATACCTTGAGGCAGGCCTTACCCGTGTACATGGTGCCTGCGATCACACTTGTACTTAAAGACATGCCTTTCGCCTCGGCAATGAAAATTGACAGGAAGAGACTCCGTCAGCAAGCCTCGGCCTTACCCGCGAGCGTTACTGCGGCATACGCTCTCGAGCAACGATCGGCGGCGTTCCGAGAACCCACCACAGAGCTGGAAACTCAACTCCGTCAAGCATGGGCTCGTGTTCTCCAGATACCCCAGGGCTCCATCAGCACCGACGACAACTTCTACCAACTCGGCGGCGATTCCATCCGGGTGGTAACCCTGTCCAGGTACATCAAAGACGACCACGACGTGCAGCTCGGCCTCTCTGAGATCAACGGCGGCAACTCGACGGTCCGCGGCATGGCACGATACATCGAGCAAGCGCGTGATATTGGCTCTTCCGCTGCTCTTCCCTACGTCAATCTGATGAGCAAGATAGCGCCTTTGCTCGAGGAGACGTGGACAGCCGGCCGGCAGCAGCTCTTGGACCATCCGCTTACCGGCCTGCCCAACAGGGCCACCGTTCTTCTCACCGGCGCCACTGGCTACCTCGGCAATGAGATCCTCAAACAGATTTTGCAATCGGAAAAGGTCGGCACCGTCATCGCGCTCGTGCGTGCTTCAACCTGCGCCCACGGTCTCGAACGCGTCAAGAAGACAGCCAAGATCGCCTCCTGGTGGGACGATTCGTACGCCGACAAGATTGAAATCTGGCCCGGAGATCTCTCTGCCAACGGCATGGGTCTAGACAAGGACCAATGGGAGCGAGTCACGGGCTGTTCTCGCAAGGCCGCGAATGTTGACGCCGTTATCCACAACGGAGCCTCCATGAGCTGGACCGCAGACTACGACAGAGTGCGCGCCGCCAACGTTGACTCCACCGTCGCCCTTCTCAAAGCTGCCGCTGCCTCTTCTATTCATACCCGGTTCGTGTACGTGTCGGGTGGAGCCAAGGCCGATACACAGAGGGACCGCGACGCCTTTGCTCGTATACTCGGCCACGGCACCGGTTACGCGCAGACCAAGTTCGTCTCGGAGAGCATTGTCTACGGCGTTTCAACCCGGCTGCCGGACGTCCAGAACCGCGTGTCTGTCGTCAAGCCCGGCCTCATCATCGGCGGCGCCGACAAGGGCGTTGCAAACGTCGACGATTACCTCTGGCGTGTCGTCGGCGCCGCCGCGAGTCTGGGAGTCCACCCCTCCGAGCCGGAGGGCCACTGGCTGCCAATGCTCGACGTGAGGCGCGTTGCTGGCGCCGTCGTGAACCAGCTGCTTGCGGACGCGAACGCGGGAGTCGACAATTTCGTCGATATCCCCGATGGCATATCCGTGGCCGATTTCTGGAGCCTGGTCAACGCGGAGCTCCGACAACCCTGCGCACCGATGCCATGGGCCGAATGGCTACCGCTGGCGCACGCTGATATGGAAAAGGTCGGCGACAGTCACCCACTGTGGCCGGTGCAGGCGTTTCTCGGAGAGATCGGGATACCTTCAGTCGACGGCTCTCCGGCTTCTGCCGCGGACGCCGAGCTAAACCGTGCAGTAAGAGAGAACATCAAGTACCTTTCCCGCGTCGGGTTCTTGGCCTCTGCGCCGAGCGAGCAGGTCACGCTCAAAGAGGACGTCATCAAACGTACGGAGACGATCAAGTTTTGAGGTTTCGCATAATGGTTTTTTTCTTTTTTCTTTTTGAAGCACTCGTTCATCAGTCGTGGGGACGCACAAGGAATAATGATTGTGATATTCCGGGCGATTAATAGTTTCTTTTGTTTAGACTCGATCGTTTTCTTATCAACTACATGATGCAGTCCAGGTGGCATTCTTTCTAGATGCTACAGCACATCTAGTTCAGGCACATTTTCATCTGTAACTTATTGAAAAATCAACACTCTTGGAAACAATGGCGACATATGTCGAATGGAAGCCGATATTCCACAGACTCAATATTTATTTTCTTCAACGACAGATGTTCTAATTTAACTCGTTGTCCGCTGGTCTTTCAAGACATATGGGGTGAGGATGCTAAATTCATGTGGTTCGTATCATCAGCTGTAACCGCCACAGTAATAGCTAACCTGACACGCAGGCTAGTTCAAGGGGTACGCGTATACTAAGATTCTAAATATATGAACTACTTTCCCCTATGCCTTGCAGACCTCCCGGCTCATCACATAATACTATTCCACTCTGTTACTCTGTTCCATGAACAGACTGAACATAAGGCCATGTCGTGAATACGGGAATGGCTTCGTGTGGCCGCCACAGGTGTGGCTTACCACACACGCAGACCACTTTACACCGGTATTTCTGCCCAGAATTGCTTCATGAATACTTTCCGATAGGACTACCAACGACGTTGCATTCATCTAGCGGACGCTGCGGTTCCTCACCGGCTTCACATATGAATATGAAACGGCTTGACTCGGTGCAAATGGGCAATTGCAGCCCAACGGGTCAGGTCGTCGCTGGTCGCTGAAGCGAAACTGCAATCAGCTCACCGGGTAGCTCAAGATGCCGAGGGGATCGCGGCACCTGTTATACATGTGCGCAGCTCTAATGGTTCCTTTCCATATTCAAATTTACAACTTCCTAACTCGGTTGACCATTTTAACTTCGGCCAAGCCACGAAGTCCATAATTGTTCTACCCCAGTCATGCATTGATAACTCTCGACATTCTAGTGCCTGGTTTCGTTCGTCTTCAAGTGAGGCAGGTAACCACTTCAGGCAGTGCCCGACACGATGACTCCAACCTGATCACTGCTCTTTCACAAGTGCTAAAAATGCAAAGGAAAATGGGGGAAAGAAAATTGGAAGCATCAGTATAAGGCCAGTACAATGAATCACCCAGGTTTCTGCCTTTGAACAATTGAGGCGAGGTAAACGCTTCACGGAGGAGGCATCTATACACGTCATGTCTTGAACACATTTGAAATGTGTCTGCAGGTATAAGCTGCATGTTCGTCTGTACTTTGTACAGCTACTACTTCTCTCGTTGCCTGGTTCATCCGCTTGCTCGCAGCCATGAATAAATAACGATTGGTGACGTACGGCTCCTGTGTGGTATGTTGTTCTCAGTCATTGGTTTAACACGGCTGTATCGTTTTGCAGCAACAGAAAAGTAAAGCTGCCTTGTCTGGCAGATAATACTGCGCCCATTGCGTAATACTGTGCTGGCGGAACCATCACCTATTAATTCGTAAGGTATCATCAAGCTTACTGTCCGCGGCACTAGCACCATGCAGCCACCGAAAATGTCAGAGTGGGATAGTAAGTCGCACTCCACTCCGTGCCGTAGCTCTCCCAAAGAAACCGGGGGGCCGAAGGATATTTTCTGTTCCGGTCGGAAATGCACAAACATCGTCTGTTCAGGGGCTTGCTATACGTAATCTGCAATCATGCTTGGCTTCAGGAGATCAGCGAAAGGAGGCTGTGCCCGCCGAGAGTCCACGGCATCGTGGGCGCAGCAGCCGGGTTGGAACATGTTGAACATCGACACCAGGGAGGTTGGGACGCGTACGCATCACTACAACTCCCCTTGGCACCAGGTTTCTCGGTGCTCATGGTAAAAGAAAGGGACAACATGGTCTTCTATCACGCCGGTGCCTCCCTTCACCGGTCTTCTCCCTTCTTTTGCCCGAAATCCTCGCTCATCGAGTCTGTTTTCTATCCTGCCAGTGCCTGCGACGCGGCTAAACTCTTTCGAGGCCATACGATACCGTCACCAACCATCAACATATTTATCGAGGATGGGAGACAACGGCGGATACGGTTCGTACTCGCCCTTCCAATCGATCACATTCGGTATAATAAACTGATTATCGGAGGCAAAATGGTATAGCGGTCGGGAGCGTCTGGTTTTACGACCCGAACAAGATTGCGCCAATCGTCTTCGCAGCCGTCTTCGGTGCTTCAGGACTAGTTCACGCCTGGCAATGCTAGTACGTAAACCATACGTTGACTGATCGTGAGAACGTAGGACAAGAAACTCTACATAAACTTTGAGTACTGACATGTCTTGGTGGGGGAAAAGCCGTTATAAATGTTGGAAACTCACGGGGTGGGCAGTTGCTGGTGCCGCTGCATACTGCGGTAGTTTTGTCGCCCGCGCCTTCGGTGCCGCAGACTACAAAGACCTGACGGCATATGTCGTGCACTTCAACTTCGTGTTCGCGGCTCCGTGAGTTTGCCCTTTCCCTTCTCCTAGCGGCCCTCTTTAATCGACACGCGCTCCCGAAAGACAGCTACCTCATTGAGTGCGGCAGGCTTCCCAACCCCGAGTGCCCTATCTCCTGCGCCGGAAGATGTCTGAGCAAGGATGACAGCCAACTTACACTGATACAACCTTTCCTCCTCTAGTCCCCTCTTCGAGCTCCTCAACTATGGCGTTCTTGCCCGCGTAGCTTACTACCTCCCCTATCACTGCCCTATTCACCCCGGCCGCCTCAAGACCACCTTCACGACCCTCGCCACCATCATCGAGGTCCTTGGTGGCTACGGCGCCTACTATGCCTCGAAGCGGAACGAGCCCGAGGGAGAACAAGCCATCGGACGCGGTTGCCTCCTGGCATCTCTGATCCTCCAGACTATATTGATCGCCGTCTTCCTGGGTCTGACCTCTGTCTTCCATGCCCGCGTTCGCCGCGCCCGTACCGTACGGGGCTCGGGTCCCAACTCCGTCATTTGGGTACTCTACGCCAGCTCTGCCTTGATTCTCGCTCGGACTGTCTTCCGCGTTGTCGACATCGTCAACCTTGCCGCTTTTGACCCCGAGCAGAACGACTTCGATCCATCCCTGGTGCCGGCCGTCGTCCGCTTCGAGTGGCCTTTCTACGTCTTCGAAGCTTCCATCATGCTCGTCAACCAGCTTATGCTTCATGTGGCCCACCCACGTAGGCACCTTCCCGAGAACAATGCTGTCTACCTTGCCCAGGACGGTATGACAGAGCTCAAGGGACCCGGGTTCAAGGACAACCGCAATTGGTGCCTCATCCTCATGGACCCGCTAGATTTCATTGGCCTTTTCAAACGGACGGACAAGTCAATGAACTTCTGGCAGAACAACGGCTTCAGCGAGCTCGGCGAGAACGTCAGGGATCGGCCCACGCGCGTCCAGCATCGTCGAAGACGCAGACGTTGAGTCAGGACTGGGCAAAACGGGCAGTCAAGGCCTTGTTGTCCCAGGCTCTCCTGTTGTTTGCTTCGGTTAGAATCAAAGTACTTCGCACGTTGTTTGCAATATGTATTGATATTATATATCCATAGCACATCTCCGGTCTTGATCGGTTAGTTGCATTAGAATCTAGTCATCCCCGCTCTTCAAATATGCCGAAACCCTTTCCTCTTCGAAACCCCTCCCGCACTCGTGATTGTTTTGCCATGAGCCGAGAGTTCATCTTGACTAGTTGTCACACCAATATTGTTGGAGTACGTAGATACGGCGGTTAATACGGCGATAATCCCTGGTTACTTAGGCGTATATTAATGTGTGTATCTCTAACTATTTACTGTATTTTAGCCTAAAATACCTAGCTATTTAGCTAACTGTATCGGTGGTTATTTGTTATCATATTTCCTATTTTTTGGTAGGGAAATCCATCCAATTAATGTGTGTGACATTTTCGCCACACTTTGACACGCGCAGCCGAGGACTGAAGAGTTTCAACCTGGACATCCTACATCGCTATCTGCCATCAATCGGCATGGCGAATCTACCACTCTACCGGTGCGATATCGCACAGTGGCAGGTACACGAAACTGAAGACGACTGCGACCTCATCGTACGAACCAACAACGGGCGAGCCCTCTATTGCACCATCTCCCCGTCGCATTTTCATCGATCACCAAAGCTCACAGGCCAGTACTTCAAGTGCCTACACCTGCTGCGGTCTGGAGAAGAAGAGCAGGACGGTTTCTATATGGAGGATGCTTACAACTGGCTGTTAAAGCTCTTCGAGCCTCTCGTCGCCCAGTTGGCCCCATTGTCTTCAACGGTTTCTGAGGATGACCAGCCAACTCTCTCCCAATATCTGTTCCCTCCGTATTTCGTTTGCTGTCTTGATGCTGCTGACGAAGTCCCACGCCCGTACAAAGCGGAGACTAAGGAACACGGCTGGGCCAAGCCGGGTCTAGTTGTAAAAGACGACATCCCCACAGACCTTAACCAGTGGGCTAAGTCCTACCATCCATCAGACGTCAAGATAATATACAATCGCTTAGAAGACGTTTTAATTAAACGACCTAGCAAGGTTGTTGTTAGTGGAGTTGAATGCCACTTTAAACGCTTTGGGTTCCCATTTGGTCCAGCGCATGCGAAAAGGGAGCTTACAACGTTAAATGCAATTACTATAGCGCAATACCTTATCCCCCCGAAGCATGGATCTGTTGCCTACACGGAGTTGTCCGAGACGGAGACAAGTTGATGGGCATGCTCTTTCAATGGATCAACACGAAGGGAGTGCTATCAAAAGCAAGAGCTGACCAGAGTTCACCCGATCTAAGGAAACGTTAGAAGGCATAGATCAGTATATCTTTGGAGAAGCTGCACCAGAATGGCATCATCTGGGGCGATGTCAAAGCCGAGAATGTCCTCATCGACCGTGAAGACAATGCCTGGATCATCGATTTTGGGGGCAGTTACACTCCTGCAGGGGTTGACATGGAGATAGCTGGGACACTGGCTGGTGATGCAGAGGGCTTAGCAAAGATACTCGATATCCTGCATTGAAAACAGACGCTGCATTCGGTGCAAAACATACGTTCTTCATTAGTTCCTAAGTCATGAGACCACTTGCACTTCGTCAGCAAAACGCTACGCCTGCCGTTCAACACGTATTCGGCTCCTCTACGTGCCCCTGTCTCTCTATCTTATCTTGAAATTTCTTTCAACGCAATGGCAGCTTGACAGGACTCTGACAACGTTGCCTGGGATTAAATCGATGACCTATGGGATGAGGCAGTGAAGCAGGTCTGATTGTCATCCCAGCGTTGAAAAATCGAATCCTTTGCCGAGAGCAAATTAGGAAAGCCTACTAACAAGACAGCTGTCTTGAATCTGGGTTGAGTGGAATTAACTCATGTTCTACGCCGTCGGACACGACGCCGAAGATATCTTACACTTTCGAAACACTCCTTCATCCAGATATTCTACTCGTCAGCTCCGAGCGACAACTCGAACAGTTTCCTAAACGCCGAGCCATCTCGCTGCACGAGCTCTTTTGGCTCGTCATACTCGACAACCCTGCCGGAGCTTAGGACTGCCACTCGGTCGAAATCCAGGATGGGCTCGAGCTTGTGCGCTATTGCGATGACGGTGCATCCATCAAAGAACTCCCGAACGACACCGTACACAATTTTCGCCGTCTCGTCGTCCATGCTTCGGTTGGTATGTATTAGCACCCCTGTTTCGTCGGACGTTTTGTCAACGGGCGCGTGGTCTTTCTTACCTGCTGGTGAACTCGTCGAGTATGAGCACCTTGCTCGTCATCAGCATCGCCCGGGCGAAGACGAGCAGCTGTGACTCGCCGCGAGAGAAGAAGGCGTCGTTTATTATCACATCGAGGCCCCCTCTTTGCTCTATCTTGCCCCACAAATGCACCCTCTCCAGGGCTCGCTTGATGTCTTCGTCTGACGCCGTCTTCTTGGGGTCTACGTTCAACCGTATTGTTCCGTCGAATATGAACACGTCTTGCGGTATGGCCGTCAGCCTGGACCGCAGGTACTCGTGAGGAACAGTAGACAGATCCACCCCGTCAATACTGATGGTCCCAGAGTCCAGCTGCATCAGTCGGAGGATGCAGAGTACTAGCGAGCTTTTGCCACTATTTTGCAACGCAAGTTAGAATGAGTTGTTGGTAATTCCACGAAAAAGAGTACGTACCTTCCGCTTCGCCCGCAGATGGCTACCTTTTCCCCGGCCTTGATGGATAGATCCACGCCGTGAAGAACGGTTCCCGACGAGCTGGCTTCTGATCAGCATCTGAATCCAAGTTATGCGGAAAATATCACACTTACGGATAAGACGCCGTAACACCGCGCAGGTCGATAGCCCCCTGGCTTGGCCAGCCCCCATCAGACGGCTCGGTCAGCTCCTTTGTGGGATCAGCTTCCTGCTCCGTGGTCATGGAAAAGTCACGAATGCGGGCGACGGCGCTGATGGCGATTTCCAGTGTGACCCATGAGGTCAAGGCGGCTTTGATGGTGCCGCTGAATCCAAGGATGTTGCTGAGAGCTATCCCCATGTAGCCGGGCCCGATCTGCTCCCTGAGGGTGGTCGTCACCACGATCAGGACTAGAGCGATCACGGCGATCATCATATCAACTGTGAAGGTGAGCCAGCGTTGAATGCAAAAGAGGAGATAACTTGGCCTCTGGGAAGTGTTGAGTAATTCCATATTCTTCTTCTCGAATTCGTCCTGCCGCTGAAATGCCCTGATTGTCACGAGGCCATCCAGTGTTTTGATGAGTTGCGTGTAAAGAGGCGCCTTGTATTCGATGTCGAGGAGACGTATCTGCCTGGAAGTGCGGAGGTAGAAATGCTGAATCGCATAGAAACAGAGTATGAGGAATGGTAACAGTATGGCAATGTATCGGGAAGCCACGGATATCATGACGAATTCCGAAAGACCGAAAGCGACGCCTGTAGCAGAGACGGCCTGTCAGCACCTCCGGTGGCTCTGTCGTAGTTGGATGCACTCTGAAAACGTACCAACAGCTAACCCGAGTGCTGTGCTGGGTAACTCCATGTCAATGAGTTGTAAGTCCTGGCTGAACCTATTGACGGTGACACCGCTGTCTGTAGCGACGTGGAAAGATAATGGGGCCCTGAGTATGCTTAGCATACAAAGAAAAAACTAAAAAAAAAGCCCAAAGCGGCAAACATATTGCTGATGACCTGCACTCACTTGGCTGTCGTGTCCGCGAGAAGACTGTGAAAGCTAGTTCCGGAGTTGTTGATGATGTTGATGAAGAGTTGCCTGGAAGAATTCTATGTGTCAGGTACTGATTCTTTCGTTGAATAGGTGGTGTAACGGCATACCATGCCCCCAGCGCAACAGCAAGAACCGAGCCCACTCCAAGGGCCACGTACACGCCGAGCCATTTCCCGAGATTCGAACTAGGACTCGGGTCTTCTGCCCACCATTTGAGCCAGATGTCTGTCCAGGGTGTTGATGGTCAGCCGCGTGGCGGTGTGGAAGCCCACTGATACCTTGCTTACTTGGAAAGGAGCTGCAAAAAGCGAAAACGGCCATTGAGAGGACGAAGACCACAATCGGCCACCAGCCAGCAGATTTAGCGTAGAATAGGTAGACTGCCGAGTCACCCAGACGTCGTGTGACCTTTGCCTGATATTCTATGTCAACAAGTGCTGTCTCAGCCGGAGGTGCCGTTTCTCCGCCTGGCTGTGCCACTTGTGTCCTCGTTCCTGATACAGGATGAGCGATGCCTTTCATGCCTGCCTGCTGGACTTCAATTTTCGAAGAAAGGTCGGCCGGGGTACCGACCTCGCTGATCTGACCCTTGGCGCTGAGAAGCACCACTTGATCAGCATACGGCAGGCGTCGGGCTGTCGATAGTTAGCCTTGGTCAAACGAGAGTGTCGGGGGCGCTATCACTGACCGTCTGAAGAGGTGACGACTATTGTCATGTCTGCTAGCCGAAGCAGCCCTTGCTCTCCCAACAGGTTGTGGAAAATAGAGTCTTCCGTCTCCGAGTCCAGGCCGCAAAATGGATCATCCAAGATGACAAACTCTGCTTTGGAGTACACAGCTCGTGCCAAAGACTGGTATCTGTCAGCCTTCCAGCATCGTTATCCGCAAACCCTCGAGGAACATCGTACCAGTCGGTGCTTCTGGCCCCCGCTCATTGAAATCCCCATTGTTCCCACAACAGTCTCTTCTCCCTTTGGCCAGTCTTTGAAATCTTGCTCCAGACAGCACGCTCTTACCACTTGGTGATACCAAGTTTCGTCAAAGTTTGCCTGGCCGAGAATGATATTGGCCACCGTATCATTAGGCAGCCAAGCGTTCTGGTCACAGTAGCCGACTCTTGAGTAGTTGGCCCGAATGGTCCCCTCGAAACCTGAGAGTTCGCCCAGGAGCGCTTTGAGTAAAGTAGACTTGCCGCATCCGACGGGGCCAAGAATAAGCGTAAATGTTTTGGCCTGTATTCTCAAGTCGCCGATGTCAAGGACGGGCTCTGAACCTTCCTCCCAACAAAATTTCCCCTGGAGAGATGCGACAGTTTTCACATCTAGAGAAACCGTCGCGTCCTCACTAGAGTGTACTCCTTGAGATGCCGGTGTTTTTTCAACAGAGTAACGACTTGCGGCGGGGGTGCCACCCTCACTAGAGTCGGAATTTTCTTGTCCTTGTGGAAGCCGTTTGTCGTGCCTTTCCTTACCATTCAGGTAGTCTTGTATCCGCTGGAATGAGGTCACGGATCCGGCCAGAATAGGGAGCGCGAGGATGACATCTGACAATGGCCGGTTGACCAAGGTGAGCAGTGAATAGGCGGTAAAGGCTCGCTGGATGTTCAACGTGGAGCCAGATTGTGCAGCAAAAACACAAAAGGTAAGGATGGGAGACCAGATGGGGATGCAAATCACTGATTCGGATTAGTGTCGAGCCTGGACCTGGAGGGAGCTGAAGACATACTAAGCACCAATACACCTCCGAGTAGTTTTCTGTACCTTTCGGAAACCCCCAACTCTTTTGTTCTTAGGTCTCTGATCAAAGAGAAGACGAGATCGCTCAGACCTGTCATTTTGAGGGGCTTTATGCTACCGAGGACTTTGGACGTCGTCGTCACACGATCTTGGGACGCGCGGATCCACTTTGCTTGCGCGTTGCCGATTTGCAAGGAAAGTATCGCTGTAACCAACAATACGACTATAGAAGGGAGGGTCAGTGTGTATGTTCTAGGGGTATATTGAGGGCCGCCCCCCGGACTGGAATGGTACCGAAGACAATGGCCACGGGCATTGCACATGCCGATCCCAGTTGCCTGTAGATCAGGTATATGCCAACGGCGATTTCCACAAAAGCGCCCCAGATGTCGTGAAGGTAAACGACGCCTTGGGTTATGGTCTCGACATCGGTGGTGACCAAGGTCAAAGCACCTTCAGGACTAACGTCGGGCGTTGTAGTGTCGAGGCGCAGCGACTTTTGGTAGACCAAACCAATGATGCCTCCTCGCATGACCGACGCGGCCCGGTAAGCGCGCCATTCGTACTGGCCCGTTGAGATCTGCAGATGTGCCGCGATTGAGATGTCTGTTGCAGGCAGAGGAAGTGTGAGGGGAGAGAACTGACAGCAATGCCTGTGTAGACTAATGCGTAGGCGCCTATCAAGCCGTACCCCGTGTTGTTCGCCGAGCCACCTTGGGGCTGGGCGGCAAGGCCGATGCCCCGTTCGATGAGAAAGGGCTGTGTGTATGTGAAGGCAATCTGACAGAGCTTGGGAATGAATGCGGCCATGACGTGAGCAGCGAATACCTTGAGCCATGTCATGTATAAGACGCCGCTAACGGTTTTGTCGGGAACTGCGCGCACGGTTTGAGCATCACTTGCGTTAAGATGTCAAGTGCAAGGGGTATGTATGGTGGGAGATTGCACCTACCCAGATCCCATGCATGACGATATGCGCGATATAAAGGCTCAGACTCCAGGCCGGGCTCCAGGGGGTCCAGGTCTTGGAGATGCAGATTCTTCTTGTATCCGCGAACGAAGAGCGATTTGAGCCAGAAGAAGGTGCTTCTGCTGAGTGTACCGGCAGTCGTCGATCTCGCGTAGGCACGGTACTCTGGAAGCAGAAGCCGTCGCTTCCCGACCGACTCCTGGATCAGGATCAAAAAGCGCAGTGCCAAGCTGACGGTGAAGAGGGCAGGTATGGCGGGAGACGTCTCGGACATGAACAAGGTGCGACATCGCGGGAGGTCGAGGAGGACTGATAAGAAGATATAGGCAAACGGGATGAAGGAAGGCTTGACGTTACGGTGATGCTCGAGCCAAGTGAGGGCGGAGTAGAAAAGAGAGGCGACCAGCACTAGAGCGGCGGACGGGACTGTGGCTGCCGTCTTCAGGTGGGCGGACGGGCCAGCCCAAAGGGCCAGGAGAGCAGTGCTGCAGGAGAAGACACACAGCGCAGAAGTCTAGGGGGTCAGAAGTGTCCAGCAAGCGCGACGAGTAGATGAAGGGCTGGTATGGAGACGATGGGGAGACGATGGGGAGACGGTGGCGGTTAGTCAGTCGGACAGGGCAGCTCACCAACTTCAGTGTGCCTTGGACGTTGGCAACAGTCTTTCTGGTCATGGAGTACAGCTGGCCCATACGAATGGGCAGCGCAAGGAGAAAGAGGCATTGCAGAGGGATGGTGAGAATGGACTCCTCGAACATCAGGGTGAAGTCAAAGCCACCGCGACAAGCGTCGCCGGCCCAAGGACCGAAGGACTGATCGGGACATTCCAGCGGTGGTTGCTGCGACATGGCGAGACAGCGTAGGTAGGTAGATGCGGGTCTTGTCCGAAGCAGGACCGGAGCCGGAGCCGGAACCGGGACCGGCCGGGCCGTTCAACTGTGGATGGAGGAACGAAGCCGAAGACGGGACAAAGGGGAAAGTTGAATAGGTAGGCGCACAGCAGCAGCGAACGGGGCTAGCCAATGGAATTGGGCCTTGACTTGACCACTCAGAAAGTGCCAATCGGAGAATGTGTGGCAAACGGACTTTGTGTCGGCGGCAACACAACACAGAGAGAGAGAGGGCGGCAGACGAGAAAGAGAGATTGGAGAGAGCACAAGTGCGAGGAAACGAGGGCGGAAGAGGACAAGACAAGAACAGCCCGCTGCCGACAAAACCAGACCCCTGTAGGACAAACACCGTCCAACGGATACCGCAAGACTGCGCCTCACCGATGCTGATGCCTACCTTTCCACACTCATCCGTGATGCATGCAAGACAAAAGTACCCTGTATCCGTACGATGTAGGCGAGACTCACCGAGTGGGTCGGACAGTAAGCCGGTGGGGCCGACCTGGTGAGAGTACGTACCGAGATCACGTGTTTGTGCTGGTTCACGGAGCAGTGATGCATGAAGGGATGCCCCAGGTTCTCTTTTCAAGGGACGGACCGTCGACGCCATTGGGCTGGATGTACGTATCGGTACGTATAGATATCTCAATGCCTACCCGGCGCCGATGTAGGTACTTTGGTACTACGTAAGCTGCACATACAGGTACATAGTATGTGATTCAGCGTAGCAGGGGTAAGTCTCTGACCCCTATGATATTATCCCCCACGGCTGAATCATCATAGAGGGGGAATATTTACCAAAAGTGAAGTTCTACAGTAGGGGGGTGAGCATCAGTTACCTAGCAGGGGTAATCAACTTCGGCCTAGTACCGTTGTACAGGTACGTGTCAGTACATACAGGTACCTCAATGCCTACGCCGAATGTAGGTACTTTTGTATTACGTAAGCCGTACGTACAGGTATATGATTAAGGGTGGCAGGGGTACGTCTCTGACCCCTATGATGTTACCCCCTACAGCTGAATCATACTAGAGGGGGAATATTCACCAAAAGTGAGGTTCTACAGTAGGGGGTGAGTATCAACTTCGGCCAAGTACCATAGTACATACCTAACCTTGGAGGTACGTACACGCCGTCCCGAGCCGTGCCATCTACGGTACCGGTAGACTCTACCTATCTACGTGTATTAAGGCGCTACACAGCAGACCTAACGTACCCTCTCCTCGTCTAACTTGATGTAGGCCTACTTATAGAACTTACTTAGGCTTAGGCTTAAGCAAATAAGCGAAGGAATATCAGATAGGCTTGGGGGGGAAACATTATTCTTTCCCCCTTCAAGAGAGGTGTTTTACTATAGGAACGGTACGTTAGGTCAGCTGTAACCTGCCATCGAGGCCGTGCCCACTCAGCCAGACTTGGGGGATGCACTCATCCAATGACAACCCCCACCCTAGACCGTAGAGGATGGATGATGGCGATACCACATAGTAATTCCCAGGCTTACCTGTCTAAGCACTGTCTTCTTCGTTTCTTACAACTTGGCTATTGTTGCCATACATTACTTGTCATTTCACCAGTCCATCTGATCCTCAATCTGACGCCATGCATTTAAAGATGCGGCGTTGGTGGCATGTGACTTATAGGAGAAGGTAAGTTACTGCGTTCATCAACCAATGTCCACAGGTCTTCCCTCAACCGCACTCGACTTGCCTTCAGGACGTTCAAGTCTGTCTACACTTGCCTTCTTATCCCATCATGTCTGGTCTTATGCCGGCCCACCGCGCAGCCTCGGTGGCTGCGTCTCTGCTCCGCCTGCCAGCAAATGGGCTGCGGCATCCCCTCGCACTGGCATCGCGACAATACCGTACCCAGGCCCAGGCCCATCCCCAGCCAAAAGCCGGTACCATCCGTCAGGCCCCCCACACCCGAGGCGCCGCCACCGCAGCTGCTGCCTCCCCGGCCGCCGCCATCCCTCACCCGTCCCAGGCTTCCATGTCGGAACCCGTACCGGTTTCGCCGAGAAAGCCACAGCTGAACCTGCCGGCGCAGGCCTATAAGCCCGATTTCTACAACGCCATATCCACCATCATGCAGCTGCGCGACAGGTATATCGAGGATCGCGTTCTCTTCGTTCCTGGGCGCGAGATGGCTCGCCTCCTCAAGCAGCTTGGCGCCCGGGACGAAGACTTCTCATCACTGCAGGCCGTCAGCGACAACCTCGTCGGGGACCCGACCCTTCCCTACCGCAAGACGCGCAACGGCCGCTTCTGCCTCGACTTCGATGCCGGCACCCTCCACCGCCTCGAGTTCCAGCCTTTCATCCTCTCAAAGGCCGAGGACTTCAGCCGCTACGACTCGGACAAGGTCCGTCATTTCGACGAAGTCGAAAACGACCTCCAGCTCAACACCGTCTTCCAGGCCCTCATGGTCTTCAAGTCCGCCATCTATCACGGCGTGCGCTCCTTGCGCCGCCCCAACATGGACTACGAGACCAACAAGTGGATTTGCACCCTCTTCTCCGTCCGAACCACCACCACCCCGGAGCGCCTCGGCGAGCCCGCCCTCGAGGGCGTCCACACGGACGGCGTCGACCACACCATGACTACTTTCCTCGGCTGCCGTAACATGCGGCCCGAAAGTGCTGTAACCTACGTCCACGACATGAAAGAAGCTACCGGTGTTCGCTACACCGAAGCCTCCCCCGACCACATCAAGGGTTGCGTCCACCACCGCCATTTCCTCGACACCATGATTGTCGTCGACAGTGAACGCAAGCACAGCCTGTCGCCTGTATACGCAGTCGATCCCAACCGACCGGCTACCCGGGATATGCTCGTGTTCTTCAGCCGGAAGCCCACTGTCGCCGGCCACGTGTCTGCAGACATGGATTCTCTGACACCCCATTTGAACTTGCCCATGGAAATACCCGTTTTCGTCCCTTTTTGGCCCCGTGGCCCTGCAGGAACACGCGTGTGAGAAAGAACAGCTCAAAGAGCAGGGCGATCCAGTCGAGTTTCACAATGGCGTCAAAGGGCCTTTACATATCAGGCGCACCTCAGATGCTCCTCGTGTCTATGGGGATTCTCGTGCCGTATGATACAAGACCTCCAATACAGTGTAAGTAAAACAAAAGCGATACATAGACGCGCTACTACAAGGCTGGTTTCTTCAATCCAACACGGGTGAAAATCAGGATGATAGGCAGAGAGTCAGATATACTTATTACTCCACATCAATCGAGGGATAGATTTACTATTTGTTTATGTCTATGAACGCTGCCACGATTAGTCTCAGGTGCAGCCGGATCACCCGCCGCCCTAATGTCGCCTGAGCAGGATGAGGAGGGGGGGCAAGGTGAGCAGGGCAGGTTGCTTGCAAAACTGATAGTGGGATGTTAGCACAATTTACATTTGTGATCTCTTCAGGGAGGTCGTTGTGCTTGAATGGAATGGGATCAACAGTGTGTAGTCAATGCCAGCTTTTGATTCGAGGGAAGAAGTACAATAAAGACCCTTGACTGAAACAATCGCAAAACTTGGTCGGGGAGAATGTGCGTGTGCGGATGTTTCCCGCAAACTGCGTATCGCGAATGATTGAGGTGAAGCATGCGCACATCCATGGATCTCACATACTTGGTTACAAGCTGTCGAAGACCAATTAACCAAGTGAAAAGATAATACTACCTGCCTAAATCTGCTAGCCTTCCTACCCGACTGATTGCCTGACCCCTGGTGGCTGCGCCGCAAGTCTGCAGCTGATAGATTGCGAGACCGATGTCCAACCAACATAAATCCCCCAGCCTTTCCCAGCCGTCGCTTCTTCTGGGTGTAAAAGATAACCTTGCACCTCGCCCTGGCTGTCTTCTAACGCCGAATCTAGCTATGGCCTCTAATGACGAGGTTGAGGCAATCGTCTCTGACCCAAACTTCGAGATCATTACAACCTTTGCCTACTCGGCTGGTCTCCCCCACAACGAGGCATCTCTGTCAGGATCGCACTGCTACCTGCTTCAGCACGGGATCGATCGTCTCCAGGCCGCCGCGTCTGATCTTTCATGGACCGCCGTGGCTGAGGACTTGCGTAGCATCGACCGTTTACAATCACTGTCTAAGGAGGTCGGCACCCACATGCTTTCAACCCACGGGGAAGCATCCAAAGACCCAAGCAGACGCTTCATCGTGCGCTTGGCCTTGAAGAGGGACGGAATCCTCAGCATTATGTCAGGCCCAAGGCCCAACTCGTCGGATCCCCTTTACCCAACAACCTTATCGAACATCATAAGCCCTCTCCATACTTCGGCAATCCCCATTTACCTGGACTCGGAGCCGACAACGCCCTCGCTGTTCACCAAGCACAAGACAACGCATCGCCAGCCTTACAGTGCCGCTTGGAAACGTGTGGGCATGGACGAGACGACGTCGCCTGCTGGATGTGATGTACTGTTACAGAATGAGAACGGCCATATCATGGGAGCCGCGTTTAGGACGGTTTATTTTTGGAGGGATGGCCGACTGGTGACTCCGAGTAGTGCGACTGGATGCAAGATGGGCGTCTCGAGGAGATGGGCAGTAGAAAATGCAGGTGTGAGGGAGACATTGATCCCAGCCATAGACATCAGCGATGGCGAGGTGGTTTGGTTGAGTTCGGCTGTCGGGGGCTTTATACAGGGAAAGGTTACTCTGGAAAGAAAGACACAAAATAACTAAGTTTGCGAGCCCACGGATGCTTGCGGCTCTATGATTTACGGCATTTCTACCAAAATGAGAGCTCTCGGATAAAGAATGGATGTTCCGTGTATTTTATGGCCTGTTTGAACATAAAGTGAATAGCGTAGCAACATAAGACCGCTGCCGCACGGTTTAGATTTGTTATATCTCGTGTTCAGATGGTCTCAAAGCAACAAAATCTCCGCCTGGAGCTCCTATAAGTGCTGGGAATACATGTTCTTCTTCTTGCCTTTCTGGTCACGGTCTCCCACGCGCTCAGTTCTTGGTAACTGATGAGTTCTATCGTTTGTCTTGCTTTGGCGTAAAGACGGTCTAATATATTCAGGCCCATTGAGATTACCCCTTTTTCTGGTTGCGAAATACCTCTTTCGCCGTCTCAAAAGCATTGGGATAGAGACAGTCTTTGGCGTGCCGGGTGGTAAGTGCAGAACTGACGTTGATCTGTATCTGCCTCGACGGACAAGGGAGCGTCGAGGCCTTGTGAGATCGAAGAAGCACACACTAACTCTGTTGGAATTCAGATTACGAGCTCGCCCTTCTTGACTTTGTCCCTGAAGAAGGCCTGAACTGGATCGGTACCCCCAATGAGCTCATAGGCGCCTATGCAGCCGATGGCTACGCTCGCCAGAAAGGCGCTGGAGCCTTGGTCACCACATTTGGGCCTGGCGAGCTCAGTGCGCTCTGCGGCATCGGCGGGTCATTCGGTGAGAACGTTCCTGTCCTTCACGTAGTCGGCTATCCCACTCGTCCCGCCCAGGCCAGTGGCAAAATTCTCCATCACACGCTGGGTGATCTCAGCTATGAGTATGTCCCTGACTTGTAGACCATCACAAATGAGTTTCTCTTAGTTAGCATCAACTTAGACACTACCGTGAGATGTCAGCCGAGTTGTCTTGTGCCACCACGATTCTCGAGGACGCCCACTCGGCGCCGTCTGAGGTAGACAGGGTCCTGAATGGTATGCGTTTACCTTTCTCTCAACCTCATGTACAGTTGTAAGAACCTCTGTTAATAATCAACTGCAGCTATGATGTATCATTCCAAGCCAGGTTAGTAAGCTAGGTGTATCAGCCCCTAGTCTCGTGTTCCACGATGACTGACGATTGCATGTTTAGCATCGGAATTTCCGAAGACGTCGCTTTGGCCCAGATGCCAACTTCCTACCTGGAGTCCAAGATTGTGACCCAACTCACACCAGGCAATGCTGAGGTAGAAGACATGGTTATTAATAAAATCACGGAGAAGCTGTCATCCGCAAAGAGCCCGATCATTGTGGTTGATGGCGGCGCTGCTTGAGGAAGCTGGGAAAAGGAAGTGCCTGGCTTCATCGATGCTCTCAAACTCCCCTGCTTCAACACCATCCTCGGAAAAGGCATCTGTTGCAATGTTGACCATCACGGATAAATATTGGAGTTATTAGGTTAACCCTGATGACTCATTGCTAGCAAATCCTTGGATATTTAGCTATAGATTCTCTAAGGATTTATAGGTAATAAGTTAGTTATTTAACTAACTAACCTATAATAATTACCCTTTTTTTCTTTATGTATAATAAAGAACTATAGTTACCCTTATTATTTATTAATTACTACTAATATATATAGTTAACTATATTAACTTATCTCTTAGTATTACTAACACTAATTAGTAGTTAACTTTACTATTAACTATATAGGTTAACTTTACTGTCTAAACTATAGATTAGTAAGGACTACAAGAAGAGGTAATTATTACTAGTTAATTATTTATACACCTAGAGTAGGCAAAGACTAAAAAACGCCTTTATAAATACCTTTACTATAATATTATACTAATTACTTATTATAATAAGTTAATTAATAGATCTATAACTAGTCCCCTTAACTAGTAGAAACCTTGTTAATTTATGTCTATTATATAAGCTTTATTACCTTTAGAGAAGCACTCTTAACTATAAAAAACCCTTTACTTTATATACCTATAGCTAACTAGTAACTATTTACTATATCTTATTTATTATAAGCTCTTTAGCTTACTAACTTCTTTTTCTTATATATATACTTCTTTTACTAACTAATAGTGTTAATAAGTTACTAATATAATAGCTTATTATTTCCTCTTTTTTTACTAATTAATAGTGTTAATAAGTAACTAATATAATAGCCTATTATTTTTCCTAAGTTATTTACCTATAAGAGTATATTTTTTTTTAGTTGTTTATACTACTAGTAGTAATCTCTTTAATAAATATATATACCTTTTAGTCTACTAAAAGAAACACCTATGTTTAAGAGGTTATTAGGTTAACAAAGGATAACAGTAAGTAATACTACACCTATAAGTAAAAGACCTAAGCTAAAATAAGTAAACAAAATAAGCTTATAAGTAAGTAAGGCTCTTAGGTTACTACACCTTTACTTATAAGGCAACAAAAAAAAAAAATTTATAGTAAATATAATATACTACCTAATATAGTAAAAAAGATAGTAGTAATAAATAATATTATTACTATACTTTTTACCCTTATATAGTATATTCTTTTATACTAATAAAGGAAAAATTATATTATAAGGTTACTAACTAACCTTATAAAGAAGTAATAGTCCTTTATACTTAACACTATTATTATATTTTACCTTAGTAAATCTAAGTATAATAACTACCTTAGTAGTAAATTACTCTACTATATATAAGAAGACCTTACTAACTAGCTTATTAGTAACTTTAAGGCTATTAACCTAAAGGTCTTAATAGGTCTATATAACTTCTTTATTAACTATAGAGTATAGGTTAACTATAGTAAATACCTATTAATTACTTAATATATATTTAATACTCTTTAATAAGAGGAAGGTACCTACTAGACTAATAAAATAATTACTATTATTAAAAGGTTATTATATAACTTTAGAGAACGCCTTAAAGACCTTAACTTTATTAAAGATATTAAGGGCTATAAGATAATTATATATAGAGTAAAAATAGTTAAAGTACGCCTATTACTAGTAACTAGCTACTAAACCTTCTATAATAACCTAACCTTTACCTTACTACTGCCTATATTAACACTAAAACCCTATATAATAGCTAAAATTAATAGCCTATATATAATAACTACTATATAACTATAGGAGCTCTTATTAACTATAGTAATATTAATAGTAATATTAAGACTAATACTAAAGTAAATAAGTAACCTTATAAAAATATACTTTAATAACTAGGCTATAAAGTATACTAGTAGCTAGTATAAGACTATTAACTTAAAATTACTACTATTCTATAACCTTTGTGTTTAGGTAGGTATAATATAAGACTACTATAGAGTAGTAATTTAAGTAATACTTTAAAGTAAACTATAAGAGTATTATACCTTTACTTTTTACTAATAAGTAGATAATTTTAATACTCTAATAGTAAAGCTTAAAGAATAATTTAAAGGTAATAAGGTACACTTAGCCTATATTACTAAGCTTTACTATATATTATTTAACTTAATTACCTATAAAAACTATAGTAAGAATAAGCTTAAGATCCTTAAGTTACTTATTAAAAGGGTTACTAAACTAGTTAAAGTAACTACTTATAATAGCCTACCTAAAGATAAAGATTATTATAAATACCTTATTACCTATTACTATAGTATACCTAAGTATACTATAGCTTTCTTTAACCTACTAGCTATATTTTATAGCCTTTATATATAACTATATAATAGAGTAGTAAATACTTTACTTTATTATAAGCTACCTATATAATACCCTATAGATAAATCTACTATAGAGGATAAGTAATTTTAGGTTAACTATAAATATAATAGTAGCTATAATAATTACACTAATCTATAGTAAATATAAGGTTCTTTATAAAGTAACTACTATAGTAAAAACTAGTGTAGTAATAAATTAACTAAGAAGTGCTTTATCTATAGTAAGCCTAGTTATTAGTTAACTAAGTATACTAAAGAAGAGTAGTAATCTTTGTTTAACTAGTATAAAAGTACCTATTTTATATAAGCTTTACTAGCTACCTTTAATTACTTTTTTTTAACTATAAAGGTTATAATATAAGTTATCTTTAAGAAGTAAGTAATAGTAAAAAATAACCTTTTAGTAATAATAATAACTATATAGATATAGTGTTCTTTATATTTACTACCTTCTTTATATAACTATTAATTAATAGCCTAACTATATTCTTTAAGTTATATAACTAGGTAACTACTTATATACTTACTTATAAAAACCTACTAAAGGAGCTATTACCTAGTAAACTATAAAAACTAATAAGATATTTACACTTAATAAGCACTATTTAGTAGTAACTTTTTATAGTATTATACCTAATATTAGTATAGCTAAGAAATTAACTACTAGCTATAAGTAATACTTTATCTTTTAGTGCTACTTAGGCAAAAAGATACCTATAGATACTGCCTAAGTAAGTAAAGTAAGTATTTACTTTAGTAGTAGTAATTACTTTAAATCCCTAAGGGTAATTAATATACTTATACTACTTAGTAACCTTGTTTTTTATATAATAACTACTAATACTTTATTTCTCTTTTACTTAAGGGATATAGACTATTATAGCGTAAAGTTTAATAACCTTACTAACTAGCTAATCTAGGGTAATAATATTATACCTATTATCTACTAATTTAGCTACCTATAGATGCTTTTATAACTACTAGAGAAGAGTATTACTAGGTAACACCTAATAGATAGTAAATTATACTAAATCTATTAGTAATTTAGCTACTTATCTATTTAGTAACTTTATAAGTTACTTAAATATACTAAAGAAAACACTTCTCTCTTATTAATAAAAGCTATTAATAAGTACTACTACTACTACTAACTATACTCTAAAGCCTCTAGTTACTTTAAATTTATACTATATAATAATAATAAGTTTAACTATAAGATCTTTATTAATATAATATACCTTAATAGTAATAAACTAGTACTTTATATAGTTAATATAGTAATAGTGTTTAATATAGTAAGATTCTTGTAATCTATTACTATAGAGTATATATAAGAGGCACTATAAATATACTAGATTAATATATATCTTAGCTTACTTAATTAGATAATAACTAACGTTAGCCTAAATTTTTACTTTAGTAAGTTTAAATATACTACCTATAGGTTATTTATTAAAGTAAAAGAAGTACTTATTAAAGCCTATTATAGTATTAGTAAAGTTAAGTGCTATTATATACTCTTTTACTACACCTATAAGATTATTTATAAAGAAATTAGCACTAAACCTAAAGTTACCTTTTAACTTACTATTAAAATAATTAATAATACTACTAGCCTAGATAGCTAATATAGCCTTTCTGCTAGCTATTATAGATCTAATAGAAGGAGTAAGGCTACAATAGGCAATATAAAGTAACACAGTGCAAAGGTAAAGTGTAACAGTAGAGCAGTAAAATAAGGTAAGTAATAATAAAGAGCTAAATAAATAACATAGGACAAAAGCTAGGTATTAGTATAGGTTGTTTATTAAGGTTACTTTTCCTTATAGGAGAAAATAGGCAATAGGATATATACCCCTAGGTATATACCTAGATATATACTAATAAGGTAATCCTATATTCTACCTATTTATCTACTATATAAGGCACTTGTCCTATAATAAGTGCTTTCCCCCTAAAGGACTTTATCCTCTTTTACTAAGAAAATATACTAAATAGTAGTATATATAAATATAAAGTATAAGAATTACCCTTTTTCCTATATAATAACTCTATTACTTATTATCTCTAAAGTTCTATTAAGATTATTTAGCCTTTAGTAGCGCCTAGGCTAGGTTATTATTATTAGCGTTATAGTAGCGTTTATTAGCTTAGCTGCCCTAGGTTATTAGGGCAGTAACCTTAGGCTAAGTAGCTAGGACCTAAAGGTTAACTATAGCCTTTTGTCTATTAAGCTTAGTAGCTATTTAGTTAACTTTGTCTATTAACTCCTTAAATAGGCTACTTTTAAAAGTAGTTAGTACGTTAAGGT